CTATTCTACCTCAAACAATGCCCAATGAATTTCTAAGGACAAAGAAATTCTCTCTGCCTTGCTTGTATAGAACATGTACAGAATGGAGTGCAGCAGGGCGTGCAGCCGCCTGTCCTGCTTTTGCCGTTCAGCTTCCTCGCGCTGTCGCTGAGCTTCCTGCTGCTGCTGTCTTTGTGCCTCCTCTCTTTGTAGCTGAGCTTCCTGTTGATGAAGAAATGCTTCTTGCTGTGCACGCTGCTGAGACAAAGAGGCCTAGCATACGAGTTTCAAGGAGTCTCGCAATACCGGATTTCTCAGAGTAGTCATAAAGACGTCAAGATTGTTTGGTATGTTCAGTAACAGAAACCTACAAGAAAGTCACACTGGAGTGCGACGTGCAAACCATTCTGAGACGCTGGGAATCAGCGGGAATCCCTCCATGCGATGAATTTGGTTCAGGTGCAGAAGCAGGTGCAGTCCAAGCCTTGGAGGCAGCGCCAGAAGCTCCACCTGCAGTAGGGATGCCTGGCATTCCAGCCTTAGCATTTTGCCAGATTTGGCCATGGCGATCTGCACGGATCTGTGATCTCCATTGTCTTCTTGGATTTGATGCCGCATTTTTTGCCTCTCCAGGCAGCAGTTTGTCGTTGGTTTTGACTGTTCTAAAGCCCAGCTTCCGGTTCTAAGATGTCATTGAGTTTGTGTTGTGCTTCCACTGAAAAGCTAGCAAAACAAAGCTACTGGCCCTGAGAGTGGGACTGGCACGAATGGCGTTTCTCGCATTGTGCTCTTTGTTGTCGACTCCTGCCATGTGCATGTCACCAACTCTTACAGCTTCTGACAGCAGGCAACTCACACTTTAAATTGCTGCAATCAAGCACCTCTGTATATCCCAAGCCTTAACGTCAGCCGCAGCTGTAGGTCCATAAGATTTGTCAAGGTTGGCCTGCAACGAAGTTGTGAAAAAAACTGAGAAACACTGAAGTATTGTACGATATTGTACGTACACTAATTGTACCGGGGTATACCAACAAGACGCAATATACCATAATACTGTACCATTATACCATCATATACCATCATATACCATCATATACCATTATATTATCTTATGATATCTTATGATTCTATATAATTCTATATAATTCTTATATATATATATAATATACATATATGGATGAACCTTTCCTGCACTCATACAGTTTGAGAACGAAAAGTATAGAGTTCACAAGCCTTTGAGGCTATGGAGGTCAGGGCCAAAGGGCCCAGTGTTGAGCCAGGTCCAAACATATCCAAACATGATACTTCTATGCACTGCAATCTTCTGAAGGTATTCAACAGCACTTGTGCCGGCAACCTCTGGACGATTGAAGACCTCCCGAGTCGCATGTGGTGCCCTCAGAGGGAGACCCATCAGTAGAAGCTTGACACATGTTGCAAAGGCAGCGGTGTATGGGAAGAATATCATAAGTATTTTGCGTCGACTCCATCCCAAACAGCAGCTGAGCCATACACGGGTAAGAGGACGGCTTGGAGGCATCCACTTTCTGCTTTTCTGCCTGTCATAAAATTCATAGGGTGTTGTTTAACGAATCTGACATTTGAAGCCAAGCGAAGTCTAGATGCACTTAAATTCAATTCACGACTTGCATTGCACTGGCAGGGATGAAGCGCGTGCACTGCGATGCTGTGGCCTCTTTCTGCATCCTGATTCAAGTACAACCCAAACCACATGTGTCAAGCGTGAGTCCAACAGTCAATAAGAAAGGTGCGTCAAAATGACATTTCTGTCCTGCTCAAATCTTCGAAAGAAGGGAAGCCAGCGGGTCCAGATGGGCCGTGCCGAGGCAAAGTCGTACTCGCCGTACTGTTCACACCTGAGCAATGCGTTCATAAAACGCAGAGCTGAACTAGAGCAATGTGGCAATGTGCGAGAGCGCGTGTCCCTCAGATTGGAATCAACACTCCTATCGAGCAAGGTGGAAAAACACATACCACATACTTCCACGAGTGGCAAATTCAATCACAGCACAAGATTACATGTCAAATGCAAATGGAAACTGGCTGAGTAACTCATTCTTGCTCCCATGTGCCACTAAGAAGGCAACTTGGAGCTGCATCAGGCCGGGAATCTCTTGTTTCCTGTCAATGCAGTTGCGAAATCATGCGAAATCTGTGTCATGACAACTATGTGAATTGGACTGAATTGAAATGATATTGTTTTTGATTTTTCTTGATTTATCTTGATTGCCTGCAACATGATTGGCAACTTCGACAACTCTAAGAATCAAAAAAACACTATTTTTGACCCTTATCCAATAATACATGATAATATTCGCATTTGGGATTTCACATCGACTCAAGAATTGCCCACATGCGACTTCTTTGTCTTGGATACTCAGTCTGTGCACTTCACAAAATACCAATGTCCAATGACCACGACAAACCTTTCACATTCATTATCATTTATCACATTTATCATACTTTATTATCAATCATTATCATTCATTATCATTCATTATCATTCATTATCATTCATTATCATTCATTATCATTCATTATCATTCATTATCAATCATTATCATTCATTATCATTCATTCTCAATCATTATCAATCATTATCAATCATTATCATTCATTATCATTCATTATCATTCATTATCATTCATTATCATTCATTATCATTCATTATCAATCATTATCAATTATTATCATTCATTATCATTCATTATCAATCATTATCAATCATTATCATTCATTATCATTCATTATCATTCATTATCATTCATTATCATTCATTATCATTCATTATCATGCATTATCATTATATTGTAATTCATTATTCACATATATTAATTCTTCAAACATGTTCAAGCCATTTCAAACCTTTGATTTCTCCTCCTTCCACCTCAGGACCCCATTGATGGCCATCGCCTCCCGTGCCTTGCTGCGACTGCGCATGTCCTCTTTGACCCCCTCGGACATTGGTTCGATGTGGATCGATTTTGTTCATGGCTGCACTATGAACCATGCGGTGAAGCATCAAGTGCTGGAAAAACATTGCACATTGATCCACATTGATCCACAGTATTGCACATTGCACACTTGAATAAGATTAGTACAGTCGGGACAGCGAAGTCACGCAATGGGTAACATGATGGATGATGACGATGAGTTGCAGCATGTTCTAGTGTTCTTAATTCTTTTCAATTGAAACTTGGATACCGATCAAAGAAAGGACTTGACTTCAGGTTTGTCTGGGTACATGTACCAGTGGGTGAGAGCTCTTCAGTGATACTTCAGCTGTGGGTTCTTTGAGATTCTTGGAGGACAGGCCTTGACTTCAGGGTACGCAGACGGCTCTGGCACCTCAGGCAATTTCGCGACTGGACTTTCCTTTCCAACCACACCTTTCTAAAGGTGTGTTTGTGCTGAGAAGAAGTATGCGAAGAGTAATCTTATCGAGATAGAGAGGCAATGAACGTTCGCAAGAAAACAACCGCCAAACTGTCTCGCTATAAATCAAATCTCTTTCCTTGTTCTTTGCGTGTTCGGGCAGCCTTAGCATTCCCTGCTTCTGCCTTTGAGAGGTAGCTGAAATCCTCAGCTGCCACACAAAACTGCTTTTGGTGAAAGCAAGACGATTAGTTGATGCTTCGTGTCACTCTCGGCACATGTGGTCTCTTTGCAGGACTTTACTGGAATCTTTAGGAATTTTTATAGGTTGCCGCTTTGACATGTCTGCAGTGTATGCTTACAATGCCCTTGAAAGACGAACTAGTCAATGAAGCAGGTAATGCAAAGAATGGCGAATGATGTTTCGGCAGTTTCAACCAATGGCTCTGGGGATCTTGCTGGCAATCCTTTTGGTGCTAAAGGCTCCTACAACATCAGGTTGACCAAAAAAACATGTGCATCGCTGGGTATCATTCTCCTTTGATCTTGATCTGCATGCCCGTTGTTGCCAGTCCACAGTTTTTTGATGATAAAATAATAGCGCCGAGGAAATGTCATGGAATGTCCTTCAGTTTTGTCTCCACCTGCTCTGTCAAGCTCTGATGTTGCTGTCGAAGCTCCTGACAAATATGCGAACAAATAAATAACAAATGGGGCCAAACATCATCTATAATCATCAATAACTATCCAACTTTTGATTCAGATCGCCAAAACTGTAGCCCCTGCCCTTCGGCTATTAGAATTGGCGATGCCTGTGGCTGGCCATGACATGCCGTCACGCTTGAATTTCCCAACGATTTCCCGTGGTGCATCGGCAGTCTAACGCCATGCAACTAACATCGGGAGGCATCAACTTCTCACAACAAGAAAGGTTCTGTCACTTGATGAGTTCAGTGTGTGTAGCTGTCCTACATCGAGTCATGAACTGATTAGCCAAATTGCCCAACTCTGGGCCTGCCTCCTGTGCTTGCAATAGCGTCTCTTCAGCAGTGCTTAATGCTTGCTTTGCCTGAAAAAAATGAGCTACGAGTAGCATGAGCATAGCATGAGCATAGCATGAGCTAGAAGAAACTCAGGTCAGGTCACTGCCGTGAATACTCTTCCAATCTAATAGATATGGAAAGTCCCAAACAACATGCGACAATCCAACTGTGGAGGCTCCTGCTCATGATCCTTCAAGGTCGCTTTCGCTGCATTTTGTTGCTGCAATGAGAGAGGGAGGAGCTTCTCTGCCCTAAGAGGCAGCCGGTAAAGAGAAACCCTCACAAGAGCTTGAGAAACCCGTAGAACACGATTGGAAAGAGTGCAGCAATTGCCGGAATGCCTACCCGACTCTTGTAAAAAGTGCCAGGGACAGCGGGAGGTGTCTGTTTGATTTTGTACTACCAAATGCAGCAAAGGCACTCTGTACCAACTATGCTCCCTGTGGTCGACATTCGCACCTTGGCAAGCATAGTCAGAGAACCATCTTTTCATATCTCTTCAACCCTATCTGCTAGAGTTCAACTTGCTGTGGCAAAAAACACTTTTGATCATGGTGTCTGTCGAGTCATGACACTATGACTCTGTCTAAAGTCTAACGACTTCAAACTCCTCTCCTAGTCATTGCGGCATTGCGTTCACCTTCATTACCTTGATTCCTCGACCCAAGCTTTCAAGATTTGACCCTTTCAGGTTTAGTGGCATTAGAGAAGAGTGCAACTGTCTTGCAAGGGACCATTGAAGAAACGGCATCTGCAAATGCGTGCAGTTGCCTCCTTCCCAAAACGAGAAAGACACCTGCCCTACCACACGTCCAGGCCTCGAAAAATGGTGGCTGCACATCCAATTGTACCTCAACAAGACTCAACAAGAGGTTCCCCGCAGGAAGGTGTACAGTAGATTTTTGCTTGGGAAATGTGCTTGGTGGCTTCTTATAATTGACTTCTAAGAGGCGGATTTTGCAGGAAGCAAATTCATCACAAAATTAATGGCCAGCCAGATGCAGCATCCCTGCTGCCTTGCAAAAACTGATGGAAACAAGCCTGGAGAAAAAATAGGGCCATCAGATTCTGGCACCATGGAAAGTTCGCAGAATCCTTTGCCGCGCCGTATGGCCATGTCACCTGCAGAAGTGGAGAATGATGGAGAATGATGGAGAATGCATGAGCCTGTGTCGTATCCGTATCCCACCAGCTATTGGTAATTAACATGAATTAACATGAAAAGAAAGAATCAAGAAGAGTCAGATTTGATCTGATTTTCAAAGCAAATCATCTTGGCCACGAACCCAACTTCCACTGGCCAGTAGATGGCGCAGGACTCGCCTTCAAGCAGTTGCACAAACGATTCAAAAGCTTCAATCGAAAGAGCTCAAAGTTTTCATGGCAGACATGCATAGCAATTAGAGCATGCTGCCTCAAACTTTCGTCGCAGGTCATCTAGAGAAGACTCATGCTGATGAAGTCTTGAGGAGAGAGTGTCCACCTTCACAGTTGATGAATCAGCAGAAATGTATGCACACGTAGCTTTAACCAACACTGGAACGGGAAAAATGATGAACAATGGAGGCATGGCATCGTATGCTTTGGATGTGGCCTGTCGTTGCAGCACCTCGACCCTTTTGACGGAGCGCTCGACGGCATCCTCCAATGAGTCGGCATCTTCAAAGGTCAACAGCTTTCACTGTGGCATACTGTGGCTATTTGACGCTTGCCACCTGATGCAACGCGAGCAAACTTCCGGGCCTTCAACTCTGAGAGCCCAAAAAGAGCATTCATCTCTTGCTTCCCCTGGCAACGAGTCGCTCTGCAGCGCACACATTGAAAATGCATGACAGTGCATCACATAAAATAATCATATTAAATTCAGGGAGGTGAATGGAGATGACGGAAGGGTTGATGACAGCCGCCTTCACAGAACTTTGTCGTGACATCAAGTCATCCCATACCTGCAAGCTGGAAATACATACAAGTGGATACAAGTGGGTGAAAGCTGCTGGCCTTCTGTATCGCTGATTCCACAGGCTGTCTAAGTCTTCAGCACCAAATGTGACAGAACGTGATTGCTATATCCAAGAACCAATCATGACGCGGCTGATCTCACCGCTTACTGAAGTCAGCTCCAGGGGAAGGAGACTGTCTCCGCATGTCGCGTCGGCCTTGTTTGCTGCATCCGCCAGATTGGAAAAGCCCGCCAGGTCATCATCGTCGTCCTCACCATCTTTCGTCAGCACACCAGGTAGTGAGATGCACTGAGCATACCAACGTACAGTATTAATGCGAATATCACTTTTAAAATATATTTACTATTATTATACATTATATAAATATATCAAACATATATTATAAATTAATATATCGTTCATCATATTATACGTGTAGTATTGTAAATGCTAAAATTAAATGTATGGATATGGTACAATATAGTAACACGATAGATGGCAAACGCATGCAGAAGCACTACCCACGGCTCCGAACCTGTGACGGCGCAGTCGATGAATGTACCTGGCAACGAAAGCAAAGAGTCTAAGAGCATTTTCACAGCTGAAGCACCATCTCTGAAATCTCAACCTGATGGATCCTGATGGCACTCTAGTACCACATTAGTACATTCTAGTACGAGTACCACTAATGGCATGCTTTTCCGACCTTTTCTACATGAGAAACGAGGCCGTGCGCATCCGCATTCATTTTCTGAATGGCTGAAGCGGTGAAAAACTGTTTCCTAAGATTCGGACAGCGGAACTGCCTTTTCCCGGAGGGGCCTCAATATTCAAAACTCCGATGCTTGAAGTGCCATGTTCAACATTATCTTTATATATCTTTTTTATCTTGCTCATCGGGAATTTCAAAATTCATGAACAAGTGACAGCTTTCCACATGATCACCAGGTGGTCCACCAGGAGTTTGACATTTTTCTTTGCTCCGACGTAGATGCAGATTCAGCTGCAGACTCCAGGTGCGTTTGTGGTGTTGACGCTCTTGACTCCAGCCTTGGAAAGACGATTTCGGATGCTCGAGATGTTCCAGTGATGTTCAAATCTTGATCAATCATACTATATATATATAATTATATATATAATTATATATATATGTATTATAATATATATATCATAATGTATCTAAATATCTCAATCATACTGAATCATTTGACCAGGCAGAACCGACTGAAGAGTGTCTATACACGGCAGACCAAGGGAGAAATAGAGGGATCTCTAGGGAATATTAGAGAATCATGGATGCGTAGCTGCGTAGCTTAGACACAATTTCTGCATGTCACAATATGTCACAATATGTCACAGCTGGTTTGTTTCTGTTCCTTTTGAATACTACCAGTATCTTCCAGCTTGGAACCGCTACTCTGAGCCAGGTCTGTGCCACCTGATTTGCATCCGGTGCCGGTGCAGCCTGCTACAGGTTGTCACAGGCCTTTTTTGCACTGCGCAAAGTTCCGCATCATTGTCATGGAAAGATTGCCAAGCTTACTCACTGCACGAGGAAGAGAAATTGTTCGAGTGATTTAGCGTGTTCTTTCCATGGCTCGCCCACCCAAAATTGTAGGGTCTGCGATGTCCGGCCTTGTCCTTGGCTGCACTTTTTGCCTTGGGCTTGCGCCAGCCGTCATGGTTGGCCTTCAATCAATGCATTGAGCGCTTTGGACATCTTTGGACTCCTGAACCCTGAAAGTTTACTCTGCCTATCTGACTCCCGTTGCAGCATTGCAAGGGACAAACCAACTTCATGGGTAGCCATGGTCTCCGTTCAAACGTCTCACTGTTCAGAGAGACAACAGCATGCAATAGCAGAGCGTGCTTTGCAAAGTGCTATCCATTCTTTTCAGAAAATAGACATGCAGCGGATAGCTACTGTAGCAAACGCGTGCCTCTGGCTGTGTCCTGTATCGCCTCTATTCAGCCATAGTGCACAAAATGCAAGGGCAAGAAGCTTCTCAGTGGAAGGGCAATAGCCAAATCTGTTTGTCTCTATGGACATCTATGACCATTTATGCAATCCAAATGGACATAGACAATCTACCATACTGATTAATCATAAGTAGATTGAAGTAGGCGACACACAAAGGTCTTCTCCAGACTGAGAACAACAGCTGAGCCTGGCCTAAGGACACTGTTGCCCATGGTTCCATGGAGCCAACCTCAACAAGATGAGGGTCTTCAACCATCTCCAAGGTGCTTTGAACTCAAAAAATGTCGAACAGGAATCAAGTTCTGCCACATCCTGCCTTACAGATTGAGACAGTGTGCTGATTGCATGGCCATGGCTTCGAAGTGGGTGATCATTTTACACTGGAAGAAGCTGGTCCAAAAAAAAGAGGTTCAAACACTGAATCGCTGTTGACTAGTCGACCTGTAATACCACACAGCCATACACAGCAAACACCCTAATGAAGGGTTTCAGATTTACAGCGCTATACAGCACTAGATATACCGTAGGCTTTCATGGAGTCTATGACTATGATGTCTATGTAACAACGTTAAGAATTACAGTATGTTAGTATGTTGATGTATGTTGTGTGTTTTCGCGAGTGTGGTCCCGAAGTTGGATGTTGATGTTTCTGCCTTGTCTGATACTTCTTTAAAAGGCTGCCGTCTGAGCGGTCCAAACAATAGCTTTGTGGATGAGGTGCTGACTACTAGTAGCTTCGAGCGCCCTGAACACCGAAAGAGATGGATGAATAAACTATGCTTACAATTGCAAGCCCGAACATCAAGTAACTCCAACACTTGCACAGCTGTACCCCTTGATGTAACTTGAGGCCACAGACTGTACATTCCCTCTGAACAAATTCTTTCAAGGCGATCCATCTACTTTGACCTTGAGATGTGAGATCAAGATTGGCAAGAGTCTTACCCTTGAGCACTGTCATTTCCCACCACCACAGCCCCTACCGTTTCCTTGCACCTTTTTGTAAATGTGGATCTGGTCGAGTCACTCTTTGCCCGGAGTTGTCCGAGATGGCAATCCCAGCGGTCCCAGCGATCCCAGTATTTGGATCACCGGATGGAAGGATAGTCGTCATGATTTTGCAAGCACAAAGGCGTGATGTGCTCGCATGCTTTGCCTCAGCGCCCAGGTCAAAATTATCGAAAGCCAAGAATTGCCATACTGGTGTTATTCTAATTTTTGACTCAGCAAATAGGGAACTGTCACAGTCGCTCTGTCAGTGCGCTCGCGCAGAGCCAAAGACGCCGCCAAAAATGAATTCTGGCTTGACTGAAGTGAAGTATCCAAGCACAGGCCGTGCAGTCTAGTGGGGACCCAGCATCACAACTCATGGGTGAGATGAAAGTCAGCAAGCACTGCCTGCAGCTTTATCAAGTGTTCTTGTAGTTGGCAGATTGAGAAAAACATGAGAAAACTACAGTAAATGGGTGAACAGTGTTGACAGTGTTGACCTGTATGTTGGTTGAAACTCATCTGGCACATACACAGGAAGTTCTTTGCCAACCTTAGTGACAAGGATGCATCAATAGCTACACAAAATGCGAACGGCTTCGAGAGCTGATGTAATTTCTGAAACAGCTAGACAACCCTTATGCAATCAACAACCCGAAAATGAACCAGCCATCTATGTAACACATAATTAATAACACATGACAAACATCTTCCTTTTTGAGTACAAGATCAATGAGCTTTGAGTCGACAACCTGGTGCGCACATCCCGCCTGCATCGCATTGCATCATGAACATTTGATGAAAACAGTGGATGTTGTGGACTCTGGTCAGTTGCAGGGATGCCTCACATTCGAAATGTTTCCTTAACAGATTGCAGTCGTTCAGAAAGTAGAGCCTTAAGAATGCAAATGCTCATCCCGTCCCCTTTGTGTCATTGCAAGAAATGGAACTGCAAAGCTAAGACTTGTGCTGCATTTTGTCGCACGTAGACCCCCTGCGAAGTACCAAGCGACAGCAACTCTTTACTGGTCACCTGTTTAGTATCCAGCCTTCTTTGGCAGACCTCGTCACATGACCTCAAGTCAGATCAAGTCAGTCTGGTGATGTCTGGCGCATCTCCACCAAGATATTGAGACTCGGAAACGCCCCCTCTGAGGACCATTCAAGCCCTTTGAGCCAGCAATCACTTCAAAGTCAGGCCCAAACCTTTCAGAGTGCTTGAAGCATGGTGCTGTGACAAGCTGTGCCTGACACCAATGTTAACCTCATAATGAAATCCAAGGAAAAGTTCACTAAAATGACCATTGGGCACTTTGTGGCCCTGCGATGATCAAAAAATATCGAAAAGCAAAGCACGTCAAAGTAGGCTCGAAGCTGCTGGGTTGATTGAAGTTTTTCCCCAAACAGTGTGGCCACACTGAGGGGTTCTTACGGTAAGTGTTAAGGCCCGGTATTCAGTCGAGGTTGTATCGGAAGCGTGCAAAACGCCTCTTGTGACATGTCCATGTTCATTTCGACGGCGCAGACTCGCACAAGGTGTGCTTCCCGGTCTTGGGATATCTTGGGATCGGCCTTCCTCCTCAACATCCTCCTCCTCAACATCATCATCTTCTTCTCATCATCATCGTCGTCGTCGTCATCACCATCACCATCACCCTCACCCTCCTCCTCCTCCTCCTCCCTCTCCTCCTCCTCCCACTCTGTTTGGGGTCTCTTGCCGGGATAATGTAATTCTACAGAACTGGCTTGGAGGCGCTACAGCATTCAACAAGGGGAGGAAATCAGAATCGCCAGAGCAAGTTAAACAGCAAGGAAGAGGTGGCAAGAATTGAACACATCCATTGGATCTATGGCCGCCTCTATTCTCGGCATTTCTTGGTAAATAATATATATATATATTGAAAAACACATAAAACAAGATCAGAATGCAGGCACTTGCCTGAGCTGCTCTGTCTTTTGCAAGTAGCCACGCGAGCTCCTGAGAAAAAATGATAAAAGCAAGCTACGCCGGTGTGAAGATATGTGAAGTGTTTCAGGAGCTGTCCTCCTATCCACCAAGAGCAATGGCAATCCCCTTGGTCACATGGCACTGCTATGCACAATATAGATTGCTCCAGTCTGTGATGTGGTGGTAGCATCTGAGCATCGCACTGAGACATCAATTTGCCAGCCTGAATAGAGCAGTAAAGCGACCAAGCATTTACGACATCTAGGAGTTCCCGTTCAATTGGTGTTCTTATTATTAGCTCCATTATCTTGAATGCGATGCTCTCAGGAGTTGACCATTGCACCATAGTGCTCTGAACGCAAATCTGCAGGAATGGAGCCCTTGGTGTTCCTGCACTACAGCGGTTCTCAAGAGCCTTCTACTTCTACTTAGCTGGAGAAACAGTTTGCAAAAAATCTGCATATTTCTGCTAGCTCTGACATTTTTCCTTTGGCGAGGCTGAAGCTCCTGGGCATCAGTCCAGATGCTTCTGCAATTCCATTGAACAGTTCCCGCCTCAATTTTGCCAGTTCCATGAACCATGCATTTTGTTCCGTCTCCCAATGCCGGAATTGCACAATGGAATTTCACGAATGGCCTGCTAGTTTTGAAGACACGGAAAGCATTGTTATCTGTATTCGTTTGTTATGTCTTCGCTGCAGCCCTGCTGATGCTCCTAGATGCAAAATCCGACGGGGTGCGGACTGAAATGGAACGACGTGCAGCATCCTCGGCCTTGGATAGAACAAAATCACACAAAGCGCAGCGGATCCAAGCGGCAAACGGCATCGTGTTTAAAAAACATCGTTTAGCGTCTGAGGCCCAAACAGAGTCTTCGGCTTTACACCAGGACGGGCTCGAAGCTCCTGAAAGTGCGATGCTTTCAATGCAAAAAATGATGTGCAATGGATTACCATGGATTACCATGGCATCAAGGCAATCACATGCAACGACCAGAAATCAATACATCAAATCATATCACTGCAATTTCGGCGTGCAGTTTCTCCGACGAGTCTATTCTGGGCGCTCTCTCAACGGTGCTGCGCATCCAGGACTCATACTCCTGTGGCTGATGGACGCACAACCGCCCAAGACGTCCCAAAACAACAGTACAAAGTCTTCAACAATCTCTCGGTGGATGCTCCTCTGACAGCAAGTATGAGACATTACCTTTGAGCGGCTAAAGCGCAGTGTCAACGGTGCAAGCAGAAACTTATAATCGACTTGATTTTCACCGAATACTCTGTGATTTACACCGTATGTCATCGTATATCATGTATATATGTATACATGTACACTCTTGATCACTCTTGTATATCTTGTATTGTAAGCATCCCACCAAAGTGACTGCAGGGTTCCACTGCCTTGGACCCACAACAGACATCAACAGACCATCCTAAGCATGTCCCTTCATCACCATGTTCAAGGTTGAAGGTACGAGTTCAGAGTAAAATAAAGGTGCTGTATGGTGCTGTCAAAACAGTATCATCAGGGTAAACGTCGCTCATTGGGCCTCCATGGGCCTCCCCTGTTCACTCTCGGGCAGAGCATGAGGATTATGAGCGAAGCTAAATATCTAGTCCATCTCCCCATCAATGTAAAAGTAAAAGGATGTAGAAGGCGTTAATCTTACACATAGATCACATAGGCCCAAATCATGGGAAGCGCACAAAGCCGATCAAAGCCGTACTTGTATGATCTTGTATGTTAGGCTGCAGAACACACTCTGAATATTGATGCTGCAATTTCATGCAATTTCTGCAACCATGACAATTCAAAATCGATTATTCTTCTGAGTGGAGCCACAGCTTGGACAAGCATTTGCAATCTTTCTCCCTGTCTCTTGACAACCGCCACCTTGAGCGGTCCTTTCTCAAGAATTAAAATACATTGAAAAACTATGTTGTATCGCATTCAGCCGAGTCAGCGAGACAGATCGAGACAGAGACCGAGGCCACACAGATTTCATACAATCTATGAAGATCTATAGAGATCTCTTAAGTGCATTCCAGGATATTCCAGGATGCACCTGAATTCAGGACACCTCTGATTCTGGAACAGCGCAAGCTCTGAGATGTCATCATACTCACAACAAAACAAAACACGAACCCTGTGCTCATAGAAGCAAATAGATACAGCATGAATGGCCATGTATGAAGAGCAACAACAGCTTCCACTACGCCTTGCGAGCTTTTTCATCCCATTCAGAATCATCCAGAAAGCTTGGATCTCCGCCAGACATAGTGATGTCGTCCTCCAAATCAGAGCCAAAGTCATCATCGTCGGCTCCCCATGTCCGGTCATCGAGGAAAGTTGGATCACCACCTGATGCTGTAATATCATCTTCCAGGTCGGGCTCATCTTCTTCCCCCATTGGATTGCTTTGCCATTTCTGGTCATCCAAAAAACTTGGATCTCCACCAGATATCAGCACCTCATCTTCCAAATCAATGTCTACATCTTCCCCAGCTGAGATAGCAAAAAGAACTTCTGGGTCTACCTCTGGAGGTTGGTCAAAGAATCCTTTGCCAGGTCGAAGGGTCGGCATCAGACCTTTTAAAGGGTTTTCAAGTCTTCTAGGCCTTTTTTCGAGTTCGGTTTCTTTCGACTCTTTCTCAGAGGTATCAACAAGCTTCGGTGTTCCAGAACACACAGTATATTGCACTGTGTTGTCCTTCAGGTGTTTGTCTGAATTGAGCCAGTGATCGCAACCAGTAGCTGAATCCCATTCCAGCACTGCAAGGTATTCACCGCTGCTCTCATCTCGCAGCAGAGATCCAGCAACTGTGCCTTCGGGAGGTTCCCAGGTCTCTTCAAATTTCTCATTCCACGGATAAAAGATATTGATTCGTGTGTGCGTAACAATTCGAGATTCAGCATCTCTTTGGATGCGAGGTTTCTGTCGAGTTTTCTGCACTGCTCTTCCAATCCATAGCCAGTCAAACTGCTGAACGCAAAAGAGGCAAAGGAGTGCCCAAAACTGCCACGATCTCCGCATCAAACCCTGTATGCTGTAGATTTCACTCAAGCCAAACTTGCTGCTATCATTTCATTTTGCACAGGCTCCTCCAAAACAAAGGAGGTTTCATGTTCATTGGATGGCAGTTTTTTCATACGGACGTACAGCACTCAAACAAACACGCTCCACGCCAGTGACTGCCAGTGGGCATGACATGTCATGACAAACATCTACACATTATCGTTTCATATCGTTTCAAACATTTTGTGGCATTGACAAACAGATTCCTATGCCAGCAGGCTGTTTTTGTTGATTCCATTCTGCGTCGGGATTCCATATCAGGAGCTCTCATGGCTCCATCCAGCGATCAGCTGCGACACTCGGATCGATTTTACGATCAAATGCCTACGGCTGTCACGGGCCTTCAAGTCACTTCGACAGGAATGACAGGATCTGCTGCAGGGTTGCACGTATTCAAGCATCATGGTTAAGAAATCCAATCCATCACTGTAAATACTATTGTAATAATTTGTAATATATCATAATACTAACACTGCGAACACCTTTACAAGCTTTGGCATGTTTGCTGTTGCCTGTAGGCTCCTGGTAAGGTGCATCCCCACCAAAAACAAAAAACACGTCAAAAATCAACGTCTGATTCGTGCCATCAGTTATTGGACCCTTTCTCGACAAAGTCCTTGTACTCCTGGATGGGTTGAAGAAAGGCACAGGGACTGGACTATGCTGAAGTGGTCTTTCAAAGGTCTACCATTCAAACATCAGCAATGACCTGAATTGATAAAAGATGCAGAATGATGAGGGCGGGAAACATGTCAAGCACAGCAGAAAGACAGAAAGAGGTGAACAAAAAGTAGAAGGCACTACCATGCCACATCATGTCACCATAATATATGCCACTACGATCTTTGTGCTATTTTTTAAAATTTATTTTACCAGTAGTACCCGCACGAGGCGGGGCGGAAGTTGCCTTAAAGATATATATAAGACTTTTCTCATCTATAGAACTTGCATGCGCCGTGCGCCAGCCAAGCCCGTGCGTGCGTGCTTTGTGCGAAACTGGTCTCTTGTTTCACATGTCACATTTGAAGCTCCACTTCACACTTCACACTGCACTCTTCACACTCCACACTACACACTTCACATTGCACTCTTCACACTCCACACTTCTCACTTCACACTGCACTCTTCCCAATCCACACTTCACACTTCACTGCACGCTTCCCCACTGCACACTCCACACTTCACACTTCACACTCCACACTTCACACTGCACTCTTCACGCCCCACACTTCACACTGCACTCTTCACACTCCACACTTCATCTCATCTGAGCTCTTCTCACCTTATCCCAGCTCATCTCTTCTCATCTCATCTCTTCTCATATGTCACCTAAGCCTTCATGAATCACTTCCCAGTACTACTACTAAGGAACTTGCATGCGCCGTGCGCCAGCCAGGCCCGTGCGTGCTTTGTGCGAAGCTGTTGCAGTGTTACTGTCCAAGAACATGACCTGCGCGCGACCCCGGTACAATGCAAACACTTTCCTCACACTTCACATTGCACTCTTCACACCCCACACTCCACACTTCACACTTGCACTTCATCTCAACTCATCTCATCTGAGCTCTTCTCATCTCATTCCATGTCTTCCCATATGTCAGCTAAGTTCTTCTTGGCTATTTTTATGTCAAGTACTTCCCAGTACTGATGTCTACTACAAAAGCTTGCAAAAACCACTTCCCAGTACTACTTTGTACTACAAAGCTTGCACAAAACACTTCGGTCCCAGTACTACTTTGTACTACAAAGCTTGCACAAAGCACTCCCCGGTACTACTTTGTACTACAAAGCTTGCACAAACTACTTCCCAGTACTACTTTGTACTACAAAGCTTGCACAAACTACTTCCCAGTACTACTTTGTACTACAAAGCTTCTACACACATCAAGTTCTTTCGCAGAGAAGCTTTTACACACAGCAAGCTTTTTTCAAGCAAGCTTTTCAAGCAGAGAAGCTTTTACACACAGAAGCTTTTACACACAACAAGCTTCTTCACAGAGAAGCTTTCACACACAGCAAGCGTTTACACACAGAACACTTACACACAGTGCTTTTACACATGGCAAGCGTTTACACACAGAAACTTTTGCACAGAGACGCTTTTACACACAGAGAGGCTTTTACACACAGCAAGCTTTTACACACAAAATCTTTTTCACACAGCAAGCTTTCAAACACAGCAAGCGTTTACACACAGAACACTTACACACAGTGCTTTTACACATGGCAAGCGTTTACACACACAGCAAGCTTTTTAAACAGAGAAGCTTTTACACACAACAAGCTTTTACACAGAGAAGCTTTACACAGCAAGCTTTCACACACAGCAAGCTTCTTCACAGAGAAGCTTTTACACACAGCAAGCTTTCACACACAGCAAGCGTTTACACACAGAACACTCACACACAGTGTTTTTACACATGGCAAGCGTTTACACACACAGCAAGCTTTTTAAACAGAGAAGCTTTTACACACAACAAGCTTTTACACAGAGAAGCTTTTACACACAGCAAGCTTTCACACACAGCAAGCGTTTACACACAGAACACTTACGCACTGTGCTTTTACACATGGCAAGCGTTTACACACACAGAAACTTTTACACAGAGACGCTTTTACACACAGAGAAGCTTTTACACACAGCAAGCTTTTACAGAAAAAGTTTTTTGCACAGAGAAGCTTTCTTGTACATAATCACAACAGGAATTGCAGCTCCAAAACTGGATCTCGACGCCAAAGCGACAAAAAGACGATTTTGAAGCACTTTTTAAAAAGATTTTTAAAAGGAAAATTATTAGCGCCAAAATTGCGAAAATCTGCTGACAAATCACTTTCGCAGCCTTGATGCAGCCATTCCAATACGATTTACGATCTTCAGCTGCAAAAGGCAATAGTATTGCGCATGCAGCCGCTGCACCAAGCAACCTTGACGCAGCCACTACAATGCGATCTGCAGAGACTGAGTTGCAAAACACAATAGAACTACGTGCAATGGCGTCGGAAATTGCAGCTCCAAAACCGGATCTCGACGCCAAAGCGACAAAAAGACGATTTTGAAGCACTTTTTAAAAGGAATTTTAGAAGGAAAATTGTTAGCGCCAAAATTGACAAAATCTGCTGACAAATCACTTTCGCAGCCTGGATGCAGCCATTCCAATACGATTTACGATGTTCAGCTGCAAAAGACAAAAGTATTACGCATGCAGCCGCGGCACCGAGCAACCTTGACGCAGCCACTACAATGCGATCTGCAGAGACTGCGTTGCAAAACACAATAGAACTACGCGCAACGGTGTCGGAAATTGCAGCTCCAAAACCGGATGTCGACGCCAAAGCGACAAAAAGACGATTTTGAAGCGCTTTTTAAAACGATTTTTAAAAGGAAAATTATTAGCGCCAAAATTGCGAAAATCTGCTGACAAATCCTTATCGCAGCCTGGATGCAGCCACTCCAATACGATTTACGATGTTCAGCTGCAAAAGACAAAAGTATTACGCATGCAGCCGCGGCACCGAGCAACCTTGACGCAGCCACTACAATGCGATCTGCAGAGACTGCGTTGCAAAACACAATAGAACTACGCGCAACGGTGTCGGAAATTGCAGCTCCAAAACCGGATGTCGACGCCAAAGCAGAAAAAGGACGATTTTGAAGCGCTTTTTAAAAAGATTTTTAAAAGGAAAATTATTAGCGCCAAAATTGCGAAAATCTGCTGACAAATCCTTATCGCAGCCTGGATGCAGCCACTCCAATACAATTTACGATGTTCAGCCACTCCATTACGATGTTCTCTGAGGCAGCCATTACAATGCGATCTGCAACCACAGCTTCAGGAAACGCATAGAACTACACCACAGGAACAACCACTTGTTGCAAAACACATAGAAGGAACCAATCGCGTCCGGAACGACCGCAGCCGCACCCGTCGCACACACGAGGTACCTTTCATCGTCGCCTGCAGCCACTTTACACGGAAAAACACAAAGTTTCGTGCTCCGGCTTCCTCCCTATAAAACATAGCCCATGCAACATTCATGCAGCCATTCCAATGCGATCTGCAACCACAGCTTCAGGAAACGCATAGAACTACACCACAGGAACAACCACTTGTTGCAAAACACATAGAAGGAACCAATCGCGTCCGGAACGACCGCAGCCGCACCCGTCGCACACACGAGGTACCTTTCATCGTCGCCCGCAGCCACTTTACACGGAAAAACACAAGGTTTCGTGCTCCGGCTTCCTCCCCAAAACATAGCCCATGCAACATTCATGCAGCCATTCCAATGCGATCTGCAACCGCAGCTTCAGGAAACGCATAGAACTACACCACAGGAACAACCACTTGTTGCAAAACACATAGAAGGAACCAATCGCGTCCGGAACGACCGCAGCCGCACCCGTCGCACACACGAGGTACCTTTCATCGTCGCCTGCAGCCACTTTACACGGAAAAACACAAGGTTTCGTGGTCCGGCTTCCTCCCCAAAACATAGACCATGCAACATTCATGCAGCCATTACAATGCGATCTGCAACCACAGCTTCAGGAAACGCATAGAACTACACCACAGGAACAACCACTTGTTGCAAAACATATAGAAGGAACCAATCGCGCCCGGAACGACCGCAGCCGCACCCGTCGCACACACGAGGTACCTTTCATCGTCGCCTGCAGCCACTTTACACGGAAAAACACCAGGTTTCGTGCTCCGGCTTCCTCCCCAAAACATAGACCATGCAACATTCATGCAGCCATTACAATGCGATCTGCAACCACAGCTTCAGGAAACGCATAGAACTACACCACAGGAACAACCACTTGTTGCAAAACACATAGAAGGAACCAATCGCGTCCGGAACGACCGCAGCCGCACCCGTCGCACACACGAGGTACCTTTCATCGTCGCCTGCAGCCACTTTACACGGAAAAACACAAGGTTTCGTGCTCCGGCTTCCTCCCCAAAACATAGCCCATGCAACATTCATGCAGCCATTACAATGCGATCTGCAACCACAGATTCAAGAACCGCATAGAACTACGCACACAGACACAACCACTTGTTGCAAAACACATAGGAGGAACAATTCGCGCTCAAAACGACCCAGCCGCACCCGCCGCACAGACGAGGTACCTTTCATCGTCGCCTGCAGCCACTTTACACGGAAAAACACAAGGTTTCGTGCTCCGGCTTCCTCCCCAAAACATAGCCCATGCAACATTCATGCAGCCATTCCAATGCGATCTGCACTCCCCTTCCTCACCACTCCCCCTTCCTCACCACTTCCCTTCGTCACCACTTCCCGTCGTCACTTCCCTTCGTCACCACTTCCCTTCGTCACCACTTCCCTTCGTCACCACTTCCCTTCTCACCACTTCCCTTCCTCACCACTTCCCTTCGTCACCACTTCCCCTTCATCATCACTTCCCTTCGTCACCACTTCCCTTCTCCACCACTTCCCTTCCTCACCACTTCCCTTCTTGACCACTTCCCTTCCTCACCACTTCCCTTCGCCACCACTTACCTTCCTCACCACTTCCCTTCGTCACCACTCCCCTTCTTCACCACTTCCCTTCTTCACCACTTCCCTTCGTCACCACTTCCCTTCCTCACCACTTCCCTTCCTCACCACTTCCCTTCGTCACCACTTCCCTTCATCACCACTTCCCTTCTTGACCACTTCCCTTCCTCACCACTTCCCTTCTTCACCACTTCCCTTCTCCACCACTTCCCTTCCTCACCACTTCCCTTCGTCACCACTTCCCTTCATCATCACTTCCCTTCATCATCACTTCCCTTCTTCACCACTTCCCTTCTTCACCACTTCCCTTCGTCACCACTTCCCTTCCTCACCACTTCCCTTCCTCACCACTTCCCTTCGTCACCACTTCCCTTCATCACCACTTCCCTTCTTGACCACTTCCCTTCCTCACCACTTCCCTTCTTCACCACTTCCCTTCTCCACCACTTCCCTTCCTCACCACTTCCCTTCGTCACCACTTCCCTTCATCATCACTTCCCTTCATCATCACTTCCCTTCTTCACCACTTCCCTTCTTCACCACTTCCCTTCGTCACCACATGTAGTGTAAAGTCTCACACCACCCTTCATCAAGGTCAATTCTTTCACTTCCCTTCATCATCACTTCCCTTCTTCACCACTTCCCTTCGTCACCACATGTAGTGTAAAGTCTCACACCACCCTTCATCAAGGTCAATTCTTTTCTGATGTATTGTTATGTAGTGTAACGTCTCACACCACCCTTCATCAAGGTCAAGTCTCAATCGCGCACCACCCTTCATCATTTCAAGTCTCAGAATTCTATTTGTCCGTAACACGGAAGTATTGCTTCCCAACTTCCTTTGATAATATTTTATATCTGTTTATCGTTTTTTCATGTTTTTTCTCTGTGCTCCTTCAGCAATGCCACGCAGGCATATTTGGAATCCATGTGGCTGACCCAATGCTCCAAAGCCTTGGATCAGGGCCCATGGCGGCCCATGGCGGCTGTCGGTGCTTCCAGACGCTTTGAGGCCCTCTACGTCACGGAAGTCTCACGACGTCTCAACATGTTTCGAAATTTGAAAACAAGTAGCTTGCCAATCTCTTGGTTTAAGCATGTCGTACCTCAGCGAGTTCACCAGACTTCTGTCGTATGACCTTACAGCAAGGGCACACAAATCTGCAGAGCAAAGCGAAACACCCTGTATCATTAAACCAATGCAAAATCACATCAAACATGAGCCAAGGTATGCAAGCATTTGCCAAGCTACATCATAGCAAGACCTATAGTAGCGTCTGCTCCAGCAAGAAAGTGATATGCTGACCCAGGCTGAAAGTTTGCAGAGCTGGAGACATCGTATATACCTTGTTTGTCGAGCTCACAACAGCAGTTGAGGAGGTAATGGTCTAAATCGTTGCTAAATTTGCTAAGATGCTTGAAAAGCTGAGCACCAAAAACACGACATGATTTCTCTTGACAAAGCACGACCTTTGATGCAGCAGTACGTCATGGGAAGCTGAACGCCGTCGAAGGCCTTCCTTGGGGAGCATTCTTTAAGGCCATGAAACAAACCCATTCGTCAAGGTCATGGGAAGCCAGGTGAATCGTGGTGAATCCAGGTCACAGCAAAGCTTAGCAAAGCTTGAAGAGTGAAATTAGTGAAATTGTTTTCAACATCGCGATGCTATGTTGCAGGCGGGTGTCAAGGCATCAAGTGAAATCTCGGGCAAGGTAGAAGCATCCAAAGCGCCATTGCGCTTGCTTTGGGCTCTGTGTTGAAGACATTCGAGCAACCTCGGCCGTTTGTTGATAGACACAGAATATCACCCAATTGTCTGTTTCTCACCTCTGCAGCGTTCTTGACAAAAGAAGCGCTTTTCAGGCAGGGGAAGACCACCATGAAATCAAATCAAAGGGAAAAGCATCTGTCAAGGAGCCCCACAACCAGCAAGATTGTCAGTACCTCAGTCGCTCAGATTTTGAAGTCGCACTCCTCTTTCTTCAGCCCAACGATTGCAAATGATGGCAAAGCTGGAATCCATCCCAAACCATCTCAACATCGCAGAAGGAAATAGAACAAGCGAAACATAGTGAAACATACGTAGTGAAACTGATTATCAAACATCCTGTAACATCTGCAACTGTACCGAGCTACAACAAAGAAGCCAATCACATCCAGGTTTGCCCAGACGCTGGCCACCAAGTCATATGGCAGTGCCAAAAGCGCAGTGGAATCCATATTGTATCTATTTTTATCTACATGGCTCAAGCATTCTCAAGCCATAAACAGCTGCAGAAAGCGAGCAGCTGATGATTTCTCCCTTCTCATAACTTCTCATACATTCTGAATTTGGGAACCTCCATGAACCTTCCCAAATATCCATAAATATCCCATAATGGATCGAAATGGATCCAAATGGTCTATCCGCATTTGTCTACTGCTCGGAAGCTTTGGTAAACCACAATATGTCACTGCAGTTTCCCATGACGCTGAGGCTGCTGCGTCGCATGTTGAGGGTGTGTCAGCAAAAGCCATCGCCCTTGTCACAAGTTTGACCACATGTATCAATATGTTTCAATAATATTCAACAATGTATCTAGCTGTATCTACAGTAGATGTATCTAGTTGCAAAGTGTGACAAGTATTGACAGGTCGCATCATATGTGTTTTTCCCGGTTTGAAGCAGCTTTCACCATTTTTCACCTTTTTCCTCAGAGGTGTTCTTGATCATTTCTATGATCATTTCTGCTTATTTCAGGCGGTTTCTACTTTTCAGATCTGTTCAGTATGGGTAATTCGGGGTAATTCGTGTCAAGAATCTCGAAAAGTCGGAGCTGCTTGGCCTCAGCGACGATAGCAATGCCATGCAATGCCCATGTAGTTGGTCACTCAAATCACGACGGAGTTCGATGTTGAATGATGTTGAATGATGTTGATGCGTATGTTTCAAAGTTGTTAGTTGTATGAACTTGTTCTACGTGGTTGTTCCACCTCTTTGTTACGTCCTTGTTATCCTCCGGAAACTCATCCAGAAACTCGTCGGTTTCTTTTTGGACTCTTGTTCATCATGGTACAGTTGAGCACCAAGCAGATGATACTGAAGATCCCTTGGCAGCAGCATGATGGCTTCTGGAGACCTGCTCAAAGACTATGATCTTCTCTGTTAGCTAATGTTAATATATGTTAACTACACAACCTCCGGCACCACCAGCCTCTGGGATGATACATTCCTTGTCTGCAGTGCGGAATTCGACCTAATGCTGCAGGATCGAAGTGTGGACATGCGTGGACCTCATGGCAGTCCTAGAAACTGAGGTTGCCAAGGTTGCCAAGGTTGCCAAGGTTTCCAAGGTTGCCACTCTCATCCAATAGTCCCAGCCTCACTGCATGTTGGTTTGCATTGCATTTTTGGAAAAGCTGTGCCAGAATTGAAAAGGTTAAAGACTTGTGAAATAGGATCAGGCCCATGGTAGGTGCAGTAGGCCAGTCCTCTCAGGGATGTCGTATCAGTGAAAAGCAAGCACATTAGACTCTTTCAACGATGGCATCCAACAATGAGTGCAGCTCGTGTGATGGTTGTTGTGGCTGCCTGTCCATGAGATGATCTGGCTTGCTAATACATTGCTGCAAAGCTCATCGCCTGCCGAATCTGGAGCCAAGCTTTTCGAGTCAACAAAAAGCCGAGACCTCAGGAAAACACAAAATCAGACAATGCACATTGCTTTGAACTGGTGTTTCAGTCGTCCACCAAACAATTTGTTATGATTGCACATGATAGATTTCCGTGAGCCTGGGAAGTATGTGGTACGGTGCAATCGGCACGGGTCCACTGCAGTTCCCTCGCAAGTAGCGTCGGCATGCGTCGGCTGCATGATACTGCATGCACATCTCAAGCACAAACATCCACTGACATCCCCGCAATTCATGCCATCAGGTTTCTCCGCAATGTGTTGGCAGTTGAGATGCATTGAGAGATTGTCTGCAGTTATCTACAAGTGAATGATTCTATCGGTTGTCATTGTTGTCATGTAAAATAGATATATGATATATATATATATTATAATTATATTTTCTAAACAAAACATGTCATATCAATCATTGATCTCATCAATTCTAACCATATCCCGGCGATTCCCGGCGTTTTGTTCGGTACATTTCAGGACATTTCAGGACCTTGAAGCCAAAGTCGTTCCATGCACTGATGCACCAAAGGCTTGGATCCTCCAAGGTGCACTGCTCTCGGCACAGAAAGCCCTACAGATCCCTACAGATCCCTACAGTCAACGAGTCAACTAGAAGTTGAAAAAAAAAGTCAACTACCTGTACCTACCTGTACTTGTGGTACCTGTGTTAGGTGCATCTTCTACTTGCAAATTCATACTAAGACCTGTCATGTAATCAGCCGATTATGGCATATTATGGCCTCAAGATGCCTCATGCATATCTTCAACAATTGCTTGCGAAGGCCGTACATTTCGTCTCCGAAAACGGCCACTTCGTGCGTATTCATGCTCGCAGCTCCCCTTTGTCATCGCCTTGTCCAACAATCCTGCTGTACCTGTGTTCAATGTGTGCGCTTTTCATGATTTAGATAGAAAATGATTGAAATAGCATGAAATAGCTGATTTCTATGGTCTGGCAAGCTTCAATCATACTGACAATCTTGTCAATATCTTACAAGTACTATTCAGCAAATGCTGTTCTCTGACAGCAAGTTAGGGCACTTCGAAAAAGGGCTAAAAAGTCTGGTGAGAAAAGAAGATCTTCTTCAACCTTTGTTCTGCAGTTCTGGAACAAAGTGCGTGTCTGTGTGTGTGTGTGCGTGTGAGTGCCATTAGTTCCATTCGACAATCGTTGCTGAGGTGACCGCAAAAATGACTCTCTCAAACATCTCCTCCATGAAAGCCCTGTGCAGATTGATGGAAGCAGAATGAAGCAGAGCAATCTGCAACAAACTGCTCCTGGTTCGTCTCGGGGCCTCTCAAACACTTGCCAGTAGTGGTGGGCAATTTTCCCCGTATTCGTCTGAAACCACTTCAGCGTTTCCTGCGGGTTGAAAAACAAATAGGAGGCTTGAAGTAGGTGACCCGCATCTGAATCTGTCTCGGGTCTGTCCTGGTTGTGCTGGGCGGGATCTGCTACTTGTGCAGTCGCCTAGCACACAAGTAGGAGCTTGACATTGCTTGACACTTGCACATTCACTGCAGATGCAGCATCTGCAAATATCTGCAAATTGGACTTGTCTGGAAGCCTTCCAAATGTCGATGTGCTTTTTGTGAGCAGCTGCTTCCTATAGTTAGAAGATCTCAGAGCAAGCAAACTTCATTCTGTGGAGCTCAGGTGAAACATACAACGCTCATTATTCTTCCCTGAAGCGTCTTTTTGAAGCACTAGTAAGTTTTTTTTTCCCCACCTGCCAGGTGAGGGTTGTTAGATTTTATGTCAGTTGCCTGCTCCTCCTCTCCTCTCCTCTCCTCGCCTCTCCTCTCCTCTCCTCTCCTCTCCTCGTCTCCTCTCCTCCTCCTCCTGCTCAACCGCGACCCTCGACGCACAGTGGTCTCTGTCGGACCTCAACCACGACCATCCACGCCCAGTGTTCCCTGCCGGACCTCAACCGCGAGTATCACCGCCAGTGTTCCCTGCCGGACCTCAACCGCGGGTATCCCCGCCCAGTGTTCCCTGCCGGACCTCAACCACGACCATCCACGCCCAGTGTTCCCTGCCGGACCTCAACCACGACCATCCCCGCCCAGTGTTCCCTGCCGGACCTCAACCACGACCATCCACGCCCAGTGTTCCCTGCCGGACCTCAACCGCGAGTATCCACGCCAAGTGTTCCCTGCCGGACCTCATGTAGGAAGATATGGGACAAAGAATGTGCAGAAGAAAGTTAGAAGATAGAATGCCAGAAGATTTGCCAGATAATATGCCAGAAGATATGCCAGATAGAATGCCAGAAGATATACCAGATAGAATGCCAGAAGATATGCCAGAACATATGCCGGAAGATATGCTAGATAGAATGCCAGATAGAATGCCAGAAGATATGTCATAATATATGCCAGAAGATATGCCAGATAGAATGCCAGAAAATATGCCAGATGCAATGTCAGATAGAATGCCAGAAGATATGCCAGAAGATTTGCCAGATAGAATGCCAGAAGATATGCCAGAACATATGCCAGAAGATATGCCAGATAGAATGCCAAAAGATATGTCAGATAGAATGCCAGAAGATTTGCCAGTAAGAAAATGTATAAATGTCATGGTGGGGATCACACGAAGTAAAGTATTTTTTTTAAAACATGTTTTTGTACCCAGCTACAGTGTGCATCCACATATACCATCATATATCCACATGATTGAAATTGTTCATGGCATGCTCTGGTCCCCACTCGTTTGACGCACCCCTCCATCATGGTGAAGGCGGCCGGATCATCCAAAGAGACATGGAGTCGGAAAAGCGCAACCTGAGGACAGAACGAGTCAGAACGTTAGACAAGATAGAACAGGGGAAACTAAAAAATGATACTATATATAAATATGCCTTGAAGATCCTTGACGTCTTGAATCCATGCAAGGACTTAGGGCAAGCTACTCTGACTGAGTGATTCTAGCAAGATTGCGAATGTCGCTAAACATTCAACAACCATAGTCTCATGTTTCAGAAACAACACCTCTTTGAAAAAAAGTGCTAACGATGGAAGCCATGCCAACACAACGACAGGTTCTTAACTACCAACTCTTACAAATGTTTGTGATTCTTGGGGATTGCATACCTTATCATAGCTTATCATAACTTATCAAAGCTTGATGATCTTACAAATGTAGAATTCCATAGATTACCGTGGAGAATGGAATGTAGAATGCTATCGAGGTGAAACCTTCTTATTCCCCATCTCTCTCCGATCTCCCCGGCTCCTCAGGCATCGCCAGCAGCGATCCAAGGCAAGACCTTTGGTCGCAGGCATCACCATGACCACTATGCATGACTTGTCACAGGATTCCACAGGAACTAAAACATTTTTTAAACATGTTCGGAACATGTTTTCCCTGTTGTTGCATCTTCTTGGTTTAGTTCCTGCTTGTACGGGACCGTCCAAAGGGTAAATAGAGCTTCGTAGCTATGAGGACCCTGCAATCCACATCAATCCTAATTATTTTTGGCAGGGAAAGTGCCATTTTGCAGGGGCGCAAAGTATTGCCCCGACACGGGTCCAATGTCAATGTTGACCCATCATGGGCCTCAACACCAAACAGCTTTCCCATCAAGGATGGCGTGCAGAACAATGTTGGGCATATCGTTTGGAAGAGAATTGCGACAAAGGAAACCTATTCAAGAGCAAACAAATTTATACTGAGGTACACCGTACATCAATCCATGACACGAATAGTACATGAACAGGTTGGGCCCGAATGAATTTCAACAAAGTCAACAAGTACCAATTGTATGTAGCCTATGTACTGTAGCTGTATCAACATCAACATTCTACAGTAACTGTTGTGTCAATATGTGTCAACACGATTCATCTGGGCTCCTCGACCTTAATTCTGCCTCACGATTGTGTGCAAGGATCACCTGGCAAGACAAGGTGTCGCTGATTGCGATACATGGGACGTACCCAGCTGCCCTGTCCAGACTACCACAGGTGTGCTGCATGTATTGTACTAAGTTACTATATCATTGTCGCAAGATGTCACAAGCAGCCCTTTGAGATCCCTTAAGATATGCACAAATATGAGTCATTCATGAAGACAGCCCAACTGCAAAGAAACAAGCCTGTTTGCCAAAAAAAAGGCAGAGAGGTCATGGGCCATTTTGAACGATGGCTTACAGGCTGCAATCAAAGAATGCGTGCATCTTGCACTCATTGATCCAGGTAGTCGTACCCTCGCAACTAAGTCTGGAACAATTGGAGTCCCATGCAAATCTTTGGCAAAGGGGCTGTGAGACGCCATCTTAGCGATCTCCTTGACTTTCATCATTTTGCTGCTCAAGAATCTAAGTCCGGCCAAGACGAAGACAGGAAAGACATGGAAAGAAACAGATGAAACAGGAAGAAAGCATGAGAAGCCACCAATTGTTCCTCCTCACAATTGTTGACCTCGAACTTGCAATCTTTGATGTACCTCGACATCAAGTACAAATTGCGATTTGAAAGCCCGTTCGTAGATTCCGACAAAGTGGGAAACCCGCCCTTTTCACCAGAACGGTTTTGAATATGTTTGTTATGTTTGATCTTTTTTGATATACTTTCTTGCAGTGCAACATCAACATCTTATCAAAGCATTGCTCCCAATGACCAAGACAACTCCTTCAACTGAGACTGCCCACGACACTTCTTTGGTTGGCGAGACGCGAGGATCCTTTGAGGCTCTGCAACTACAAGCAGAAGCCTCCAGCAGTTTGCAAGTCATGCCGTTGTGCAAGGAAAGTTTGTTCACTTGATACTGTCAGTGGATGTCAGTAGATGTCAGTGAATATCAATGGATGCTGCTGGATGTCAATGCATCTTGGGAAGGGAATAAACATGAATAAAATGATATAAAATGAATGGTTCCACGGGGGTTTCATGGCCTCATTGACTCCTTGCGCAGGACGAGCGCATGTGACCCCACCGCAGGCTGGGCCTGGCAAGAGCTGCAGCAAGAATCAAAAAAATGGACAAAACAGGAATGGAAAGGTTTGCAGAGGAGTGAGGGTACCCGCATATACCAGTGTGGTTCTGGAACCGAACCGCGAACCGCGAAACGAACCGGAATCATAGGAACCGAACCGGAACCGTTCATATTCACGAACCGAACCGGACCGGTGGGAAACTGAACCGTTTGGAGTGCGAACCGCAAACACGAACCGGTTGCAAACCGGTTGAGAACCGCAGGCATCTGCCTATTTTCCATTCACTCTTCCACAAGCTTCTTTGCCTGAGTTCGTCCGGCGATGTTCCTTGCCACATTTGCATGCGCAAAAATCAGTTTGGCTGCGTTTGGCTGCTGAAGAGAAAAGACTGGAAAACGGAGAGAGGAGAGAGACAGGAAAGAGTACCGGTCTAGATATTTTAGGCTTAGGACGGCTTAGGCTCCCAAATCAAGGCATGGAATTGTTTCCATGTCCGGGTCTTTCAATTTTAAGGTTCATGTGCAGCTTGGCAAACTGCACACCACCAGAGAGCACCGTTTGCTTTTTCCACGCCCTGAAAAAAGCAAATCCGTCCTGGAAAAGCAAATCCGCCTACTTGGGGAGTTGCTTTTTTAGAGCCGTTAAAAAAGCAAAAACATCAACGGGGTTTTCTGCCAACGCCGGGGGAGCAAGATGTTTTAGGCAGCATTTTCGACATTGCTCATATAGCTCTTACAAACTCTCAAATCTACTATCCTTCCCAATCGTCCTGAACCGCAAGCTCTCCAACATATAGTATTTTTTCCTCGAGCGAACTCACTGAAGTCACAAACGGTGTGTGAAACGGAAACGAAACGAAACGGAAAATATGTTAAATAAGTGCGAAACGAAACGAAACGAACCGATCATCTCTGCGAACCGAACCGAACCGTAGGCTCCCACGAAACGAAACGCCAAACATCCAGTTCCTGGAAAACGAAAACGAAATGAAACGAACCGACCCCATCCTGATATACCCGCATCACTTAGGGCACCCCCAAACGCATCACTTCAGGCACCCCCCAGAAATCGCACACTCCTCACACTTTGGACGCTCACTTTGGCCACCCCAGGACGCATTACTTTGGGCACCCATGATCATTCTGCTTACATTATCACTTGACTCAGCCATTTAGGGTTTGGTTGGGGGGGGGTGGGGAGGGATCATTCTACTTGTATAATTATTTCACTCAGCGATTTAGGGTTTGGTTCGGGGGTGGGGAGGGAGCATGCTACTAACATAATCACTTGACTCAGCCATTTAGGGTTTGGTTGGGGGGTGGGGAGGGATCATTCTACTTGTATAATTATTTCACTCAGCGCGGTTTAGGGTTTGGTTGGGGGGTGGGGAGGGATCATTCTACTTGCATCATTACTTGACTCAGCCATTTAGGGTTTGGTTGGGGGGTGGGGAGGGAGCATTCTACTTACATATTTACTTGACTCAGCCATTTAGGGTTTGGTCGGGGGGGTGGGAGGGAGCATGCTACTTACATAATTACTTGACTCAGCCATTTAGTGTTTGGTTGGGGGGTGGGGAGGGAGCATGCTACTTACATAATCACTTGACTCAGCCATTTAGGGTTTGGTTGGGGGGTGGGGAGGGATCATTCTACTTGTATAATTATTTCACTCAGCGATTTAGGGTTTGGTTCGGGGGGTGGGGAGGGAGCATGCTACTTACATAATTACTTGACTCAGCCGTTTAGTGTTTGGTTGGGGAGTTGGGAGGGAGCATGCTACTTACATAATCACTTGACTCAGCCATTTAGGGTTTGGTTGGGGGGTGGGGAGGGATCATTCTACTTATATACTTATTTCACTCAACCATTTAGGGTTTGGTTCGGGGGGTGGGGAGGGAGCATGCTACTTACATAATTGTTTGACTCAGTAATTTAGTGTTTGGTTGCGGGGTGGGGAGGGAGATGGAGGGAGCATGCTACTTACATGATTACTGGACTCAGCCATTTAGATTTGTATATATACGTATATATTCATATACATATATATATATATATAGAATGACGCGGTAAAGACGCGGGTTACGAAATACGCGGGTTTGGGGAAGCGCGCCCAACCATCCCAAGGGGAACGCCGCATACCAACAGACACGCAGCGGGGACGGAGGAAGGTGGGACGTCATATCCCTACATATTATCATATATATATATATTAGGTCTAACTGTATCCGACTGAACTGACTCAGCAGTCTGGCTTGTTCGGGTGAGCGTGAGGCAAAGGTCTCACTTGCGACTCGGAAAAGCTCTCACTTGTAGCTCTGTCTCACTTGCGTCTCGTGTGTCCGCCTCGCAGCTCGGAAAACTGCTCACTTGTAGCACGCGAAAATCACATCACCTGTTGCGGGGTGGGAGATGGGGGTGGGATGGGGTGTGGTGGGGGTGTGATAACGTCCTTTTGCTCTTGGCACATAGATAGATAGATAGATAGATAGATAGATAGATAGATAGATAGATAGATAGATAGATAGACAGATAGAGAGAGATATATATATGCCGCACATTGCTACACTTTGAGCCGATCTGTCTCTTGCACCTGCACAACAACATGATGTCACGCTATCACATCTTCTCCTGACGCTATCATGATCATGATAATGATGAAGATGAATAATAATCAGAAGAGATGATGATGACAAGGATGATGATGATGATGATGATGATGGTGATGATGATGATGATGATCATGATGATCATGATGATGATGATGAAGATGAAGAAATATGTCTATTGTTGAGGGCGATGGTGATCATGACGGTCATGATGATGATGATGATGATGATGATGATCCTACTACGCACCACGTACCAATACGTAGACGTCGAGAAAGCGCTAGTTACAGCAGGCGCCCGAAGCGATACATGAGTGGGCGCCCGAAGCGATGCACGCGTGGGCGCCCGAAGCGAGAGCCTTACCGAATACTGAAAAGAAACACACTGTTGAGAGTTGAGACCATGCTACTATTGAAATATGATATATAATTACAAAGGTATAATATACTATCATATAATTATATATATATATATGTATATAATATAATATAAATATATATATATATTGAAACTCTGAGAAGCAACAAAATTATCAAACTCAAACATTGAAATGCGGACGCTGGAAGTTGTTGGGGCACAATACTGGCTATCTCGCCCGCGGATATTTCCTCCAAGGATTGTGTTATCAAAAAACTGTCAAAAGCAACGTTGCAAATCGTAGCAATAGGAGCATAGTAGCAGGCATGGTGGTCCGAATACGTCCGAATCAAGAATTCCAGGCATTGTGCGGTAAGAATTGAATGCTGATGCGCAAAATATCTGATCAAACGCCACAAAGAAGGTTGGAGAAGCTTGGTGCGGTGTGGTGTACAAGTTGAGTCTGCTTCAAACAAGGAAGCTCGGCCAAACTGCACGCACATTTCTTTTGCCTCTTCCAGCCTGACCATGTGAACTCATCGACGTAGACTGTGATGCAATGTGATGCAGGGGTATATCCTATTGCGGTTGTACTTGTCATAACTTCCGCCTGTCAACTACAGTACAAGCCGCTCAGCCGCCAAAAAACTTACACAAATCAACCAAATCCTCCTTCACCAAAAAGCCTGGTTGGGCCAGTGATGCCAACTGTGTCAGAGAGAAAGGCATTTGGCGACTCCTTCCAGTCGCAGCCTCAATTGATTCTGAGTTCAAGCCAATCGCCTGGTCCGAGACTCCGGCAGTTCTGTACAAAATGGGAATTTGAATACATCAATATACATCATGACCCTCGCAAACAGGCCTCATGCTGTCTAATCAGTGCAAAGCTAAGTAGAGCACTCTGAGCTTGTCCTTTGAGAGAAGTTGGCCTCAAAAACTGTTGAACTGGATTGATACTGGGATGTTGTCAGAGCAGTGACATTGCAGAGCTGGAATTTCTAAGCTACAAACAAAGGACCAACGACTTTGTTCCCGCAAATGGGACCTGAGAATTCATCGCTTATCGATTTCGCGAAGACAAAACTCAACATATACAAATTTTAAGAGCCAAGCATTTCAAACGTTTCAATAGAAGCAAAAAGAAAGTGATACATACTGTGTAGTACAATCTTCCGCCAATGCATTGTCAACTTCTGGGTAATCACGTCGGCTCGAGATGTTGCAGGTAGACACAGCACTAACACCCCAACACATTTTTGGTCGAGAAGGAACAGCTCCATCCCTCGCAGAATCCACGGTGTTCAGAGCTTGAACCTGTCAGAGTAGACTGGAAGAGCAAAGCTTGTGCATTGACAATGTGTGCAAGTCTGCTGGAAAAGGTCTGTCCCAACGTGTCTTCTTGCCTCTGTGCCTATGCATTCCTGAAAGTTGTCTGAGATCCGTCCGGGCCTCTAAGCTGTCCGACGCGTCCACTGGGCTGTCTGACCTGTCCAGAATGTGCAACTTCCAACATGACGACTTTGTGCGGCTACAGCAGCCTCGTTGGCTTGTGGGCCGCATCTTCGGTTGCTTCCATGGCCTTGGAGTTGATTATAGTTTGTTTGATTGTTCAATACTCAAAAGCCTCCAGGACCTGATACAGTAGGTTGCAAGGTTGGAAAGTGTAACTGGGGATTAGGAAATGCATGCTTTACATGGAACCTATTACAGTAGAATGAAAACATGCTAACAAGGACAGAGGAAGAGAGCAGCCATGGCACCCGTGTGGGATCTTGCGCTGCATGTCCTTGGCAAGAGCAAACCCAACCTTCAACTCTCGACATGACATGAGTGTACGCTTGCAAGTGTGTGCAAACCCTGTCCTGGAGGTACATCATAAAGTTTTGAGAAATCAATGTGACTGAATTCCTTGGAACTGACCAGCCAGACAAACATTCACAAAGCTCTGACATGCTCTGATGCTGCAATGCAGGAAATATCAGGAAACATGAAGAAATCATGTTGAAGGCCGTTCAAGGCTGTTCAAGGCCTCAGCTCCGCACTTGTTCTTCCGGGTGTGAATGGGGAGCATCCTCCCAAAACTGCTGGAGGTAGCCTCCGAGCGCTTTTTGACACTTCGATGTAGTGATGATGCAAACAATTGAAATTGGAGACACGCCATGACCAGCTTGAATTCTAGAAGGCAGGCTGTGCCCAAAATCTTCATATTTGTGTGTGTGGAACATCTGAAGAGATGTAAAACTTCTAACCGGCTGTCAATTCTGAATTTCTGATTTTTCAAAACAAACTGTTGTTCAGCAGGGGGCATGCGGCCATCATGCGCACGCATGCCAACGAAGCTATGCATGATGGTGGAAGCCGGGGCTGATCACCCTGGTGTACCTGCTTTGTTATTTCAAATTTCAGCAATGGGACGTGGATAACCCGAGAACCACCATGCCGTGTTCAAACCGCTTGTTTTCAATTTCCTTGTATGCACGGTTTTCGCAATCTGATCTTCCACTGTTTATAGAGGACGACTGATTCTTTTAGAAAGGACATTGAAAGATTTTCTTCGCACAGTCTTTCACTCCTGGTCATCCAATTTCTCCTGTCAGGTTTAACTGGAGTGTTTTTGCACGTAAGATGCATTCCACATCAGAATTCGCAAAGATGTTTCTGAGCAAGTGTGTGATTCATGCTGGATTCGTCAAGGTGGCATGAACCCTTCGGGGAATGCTTGTCTAAGCAAAGAATTGACACTTTGAATCGACCTCTGAATTGACACTTTTGAATTTAGTAATTCGTCTAAGTAAAGTGAATTGCCGGCCTTTTTTCAGAGTTTCAAACGTCGGTCGAGTGAATGTTGCAACTGCTGGCTGCTGTGATTGGCCTCACCTTTTCTTTAACTGATCGGTGTCTGCATAGCCTGAAACCAGGCCAGCAATCTTCTTTTCCAGTGAAGCTCAAGAGACTGACCGCTGCCGTTTCCATACCATGACATTTGAGAAGAAAGGTTAAGGACATGCTTTCCAGGTGTGGTCACTTCCTTTTGGTTACTTTGGTGAGGTTCAATTGTGCACGTAATTCATTTGAACACTGATAGCCGTCGATGGGGTTGACTTGAATACCGAGGGCCTTGAGCCTTATCACGAATTATGCACGTTATGTGGATGCATCATGGGATGGCTTTTTGGTTATTTAGTTCACTTAACCTGACACAGTCGCCATGTTCCCTGGCCGCTTTCCTAACGTCCCTGAATCGATGTGGAACTTTGGATGGAACCCACAGACTATGGGACTTCAAGGTCAATTTTGTGGAGGTGACCTGATGAATCAACAGTCTCAAGCCCAGTCTCAAGCTCAGACCCAGGCACAGATTGCTGTTCTGCGTGAGCAAAATGCCGTACTCAACCAACAGCTCAACTCACAAGCCCAATCTCATATCCAACACCTCCAGCAGCTCATTCCTTTCCACCAACCTCCACAACAGGTTCAACCTCCATCTATTCCACCCACTCCACAACCGCACCAAAACCGGCGACTACTCCAGTCACACAAGCTGGACCTTCTCCATCCCTCAGTGCAGAGGAAATGCTACAACAGATGAAACATACCGCTGAATCCAGCCTTCAAGCCATGGTGGATAAGACTCAAGAGCGTCAAGCCACCCAACCTTTGAGATCACATCCACCAGCTCCCATGCTTCCACACACCGTCAGTCAACAGCCACCACTGGTTGAACATCCACCACCACGACAACACTCCTCACGCAGATCTCGCTCTTATCGTCACCATTCATCTTCCCGGAGACATGACAAACGTCCTGTCTCAATCCCTCGAAGTCCTCGTCGTAGACGTTCACCTAAACGATCTCGTCGATCCTCACGACCTCGATCCTCATCCAGGGATCTTCCCATTCAAAGGCAAGATTCTCGGCATCCCGACTGGGAACAATCCATCACTCTTCGCTCCGCTTCCCCATAACATCGTGAAGAACGACATCGACCTCAAGATCAACAACAACCACGAGAACAATACCACCAGACCGCGATTCTCCACGCTGCACAGTGGGGGCACAACCCACAAACCACATCCTACACTGATCCCCAAGCTCGTACCTACTACCACGAACACTCGTCCACCGACAAGTGGCAGTCATGGGGACAGTGGAAGGACTATTCCAAATACCCAAGCTCATCCAATCCATCCAAGTGGATTGTTCACCCAGCCACCACACTTCACATGAATCCTCTACCAAACCACTTACGGCATTCTCCTCAGACCACACGTCTCCACCACTCCGCAAGAAGCAGCAAATACCTGTCAAATCGGGGGACGACCAAGCCCCTACTCCGGTCACAGTCCCTCATGGACATATGGTCATCAACCTACAGGAAGGATCGAAAGAAGAGTGGATCCGGTGAGTCAGGTTTGCATTGCGCCACCCTGTCCGCATGTCAGCAGCCTCAGAGATAGCGCCAGAGAACAAACCTCAACCACTGCAAACGATAGACATCCAGGAGTTTGATCGAGCAGTGGAGGTCTTAAAAAGCGTGGACACACGCATCCCCTCGGACATCATCCATAAAGCTGTCCAACTTCTTTTCAGCACATACCTCCTACCAGACTACGACCTGAGGAAGTCCTACATCATTGAACTCCCTTCCACCAACATGTTGGCACTCATATTCCCTCTTCCTGATTCCAGTCACTTTCAATTGCCACCTCCTTTCCGCAAACATCAGAACCACACATGGGCCCTCCTCCATGGTACGACACTCCGTACCTCACAACTCATCCTCCTTGTGGGCAAGATCAGACCGGCCAACTGGTCATACAACAAAAACATCCAAAGTTGCGACATGCCTACCTTTGGGGCCTTTTACCTTGGCAGAGAAATCTCCAACAATGACAAGAGCTTTCCTGATTGGGCGGCCAAAGAGCTTATGGATATTTATGGATACCATCCAAAAGAAAGGGAAAGGACAACAAGATGTCGTCATTGGGGCGATGTATCGAGGTGCATGCCAACACACTGCTTTGGCAATGAAATGGCACAGCTCTCCGTGGCTGAAAAAGGGCTGGCAACTACGTCGGAGAAATACACGATTGCCCACAGCAATCATGTTGGAATGAAAGTCATTGCCTTGAAGTGGCAGAATTTGAAGGACAAGATCGACGTGGACGACTCGTCCTCAGAGAACTATAACTACCGCAGCATCAGACCACGCACTAAGGATCGACACTCAGGTCGGTGACAGGACTAAGAGCTGACAACAATGTTGCCGCTGTGTATTATTGGATTTTTTCGGCACCACCCGGAAACCGGAGTTGACATTTCTAATATTTCTAGGGAAACCTGGACCAGCTTTTCATCAAAAAAGCACGGTTGCCTCAATCTGCAACTGACATTTGTTCAACCTTTTTTCTTGATTGTTTCATGCCCAGGTGATTTTTTGGACTCATCTAAACTTTACTCGACACACAAACTTCCAGAATACCATTAGTTGTGCGCACTGTACCTGATGATGTCTTGCAGTGCATGTGATCTGTGGATTGTTGTCATGTCGCATTGGGTTTGTTTTCTTTATTCATACATCATTGCAACTTTGTTCAGCTGTAGTTCTTGCTGCTTTCTCAATTGCCCCCGTGACTCTTGTTGTGTCTCATCATGGCTGACTCGGATCGGTCCAGATCACCAATGCCGGGACGCAACCGATCTGAACCTCATGGACAAGCTCAACCAGCGCGTCCAGAGCTGCCGTTTTTGCCTCGGTGGTGCGGACCCATGCAAGCAGCGATCTTGCATTCCCAGAATATGCCACGCCCTCAGTTCCGACCTCAGTGGGCAGTGAACCAGTCTGGACCTTATATGATGGGAAGAATGATGAACCAAAATCCATCCATGACGCAGGGCACTTGGTCCGGTCATCGGTTTCCACCAGCTCCTCCATCCTCACCTCCACCAACTCTACCATATCCTGCGCCTGCTCGTCCTGCAACTCCACCATGCTCACCAACTCTGCCATGTCCACCAACTCAACCATGCTCTCCAAGCACTGCATCCGTCCCTTCTTCTCAGCCTCGGCCATTTGAAACTCCTCAATCTACCTCACCACGAGGTCCAGAATATCACGAAGCAACCCGCACCTACGGGTTCGATCTCAATCCTCACTGGCAAGAGGACAAAGACCACTACGACCACCAAAAGGTCAACGGTCTGACCTTCCCACGTTGCATCCGTCAATATGACTAAAAGGGATTCCGTTCTTGCCGGCTTTGACTCCCCTCGTGTCCCTACAAGCATGCAACGTCGTCAATTGCACATCCAATGGCCATCCAGACGCGGCGCTGCTTCTTCAGATGCTGGACCAAGCACCGCGATGGGCAACTGGCCTCATGAACCCATCAGGGCCCAGGCATGGACGGCCATGGCATGACGTTCAATGCTCAACATCATGGGTACACGTCAGTGACTCCTTCTGTTCCTCTACCGGAGGGATCCACGCCCTACCCTCAAGGGGAAGCGTACCCACTCCAGACTGAGATCCAACAACAGCACCGAGTACTCCATACTCACATTTTCAAGGAGGTCATATCAACCCATCCATCAGGCATCAACCGCCTCATGGTGACGGAAGTCGATCGCTATGGCTTTCAACGGAATCGTCAGCCGGAATTCTTCTTCAATGGGATTGTTGTCATGTAAGGGCAGACAACGAAGGAAACATAGACAGCTGGGGGCAAGCAACCCAGCTTGCCAACTACTGGCGTCGTTACTTCAACATCCCTGAAGTACAAGGAGAAAACGCCTCTTGGCACAATTTCCAACAATCGTCTGACAATGCTGACCGACAAGAGGATGACCAAGAAGATCCACCAGGATCCGAAATGGATGAAAGGGAATCTGTCACTGCCAATCTTGGCACGTTATCGGTTCCAAGTCAGATTCACCAGCTGGCCACAGTTCTCTACAACGTCCTCAACAGTGACAGGGAATCCAATGCAGCGATCCTTGAGAAGCTTGAACAGCCAGGAGATGATCTGAGCGCCAGTCCCGTCCAGGTTTTCACGGCGGCAGATCTGGCCCACCTTGCCAGCCATTTGGCGCAGACAGCCCAACAGGCACAGGACATGGAAGACCTATCGGATATCGATGATTAGGGGCAAGGTGACACCCGAATCTGCTATCCAGGCTGAGCAATCCGGCTAATTCAATTGCATTTCTTTCCCTGCATTTTGATTTCATTGATATATCCTGTCTCAGGGAACATATAAGAGCTTTGCGTTAATCCATGCAATCGGTGCACAAAATGGCCTCGCGGCAGCGGGGCGTGTGTGTGGAGCATCTGAAGAGATGTAAAACTTCTAACCGGCTGTCAATTCTGAATTTCTGATTTTTCAAAACAAACTGTTGTTCAGCAGGGGGCATGCGGCCATCATGCACACGCATGCCAACGAAGCTATGCATGATGGTGGAAGCCGGGGCTGATCACCCTGGTGTACCTGCTTTGTTATTTCAAATTTCAGCAATGGGACGTGGATAACCCGAGAACCACCATGCCGTGTTCAAACCGCTTGTTTTCAATTTCCTCCTATGCACGGTTTTCGCAATCTGATTTTCCACTGTTTATAGAGGACGACTGAGCTGCATCAGAACAATTTGATTCTTTTAGCAAGGACATTGAAAGATTTTCTTCGCACAGTCTTTCACTCCTGGTCATCCAATTTCTCCTGTCAGGTTTAACTGGAGTGTTTTTGCACGTAAGATGCATTCCACATCAGAATTCGCAAAGATGTTTCTGAGCAAGTGTGTGTGTGTGTGTGTGTGCGTGTGACATTACCTTCCCACTCTTCTCAGAGTTCGGCTAAACGTCGCAAAGCAAACCAGCAAATTGGCCTCAAAATGAGCAACACTTTGTAGAATCAAAAACAACCAATGCGAGTATACTATGAGTACGCACAAGTACCCAGGGGAAAAACATGGTAAGACTGCTCGGAGCAGCAACCTGGCATCATGAGGACTTGCAAATTAGTTGCTCTGAGTTCAGGGCTGTTGCGAGAATAAGCACAACCACCTTCTGGCATGAGGAAGGGACCCAGTCCTTAGTGCAACTGAATTCCCACACGTGATCATGCAAGGGCCCAAAAGTTGAGAAAGTTGCCAAGCGCCGCTGCGCTACAAATTCACGTCCACTTGCCGCTGCGCAAAATGATGAATAACACATATCCAAGTCCAGATCACAACCACGTTTGGATTTCGCACGCTTCCTGGAAAGCTAGCCAGGATATTAGTTCTTCACGAAACCTTTGCAATAACATGCAACGCACACATGGAAAACAGCACATGAATGCACATGACATACGTCCTTTGAGCGGCAATCATCAGCACATGGATGTCCTCGCCATCCGCGGTACATAGAAAATTGATGAAAATTGCACGAGTTACAACAATGCTGTTTGTATTTGACATCGATACACAGTTCCTCCTTTTAGAATGTTTCAGACCTCCTGACCAGAAGACAGCATTTGCTGAGGTGACCACGATAGCGGCAAAGGCGAGTTTTCACTGACTCGCCCTGTGTTGCCATTGCCATCAGCACTATGTTAGATTTAACCTGCGGTTGATGTTGTGAAACTAGATTACAATGAACATTGTTGGATCCGTTATGACCTGTTAAGCAGCTTGTTTCCTCCACTTACCTCTAGTCTGAATACTATCAAAGACTACCGATACTACTGGCTGATCATGCTTGAAAAGATTTGAACAGTATGTGATCCAGCAAGAATGTGGATGAAGGTCTGCCTTTGGCTCAGGCCGGTACACACATGACAGCGCTGAGATCAAGAATGTGTTGGACTAATTTGCTGGATCTGTTTCGTACATTTTGATGTTGTCATTTTGTCTAGCTGTATCATCGGTGTGAGCCCGAGCCACTGTCAAGCTTCAGAGCAAGAGAAATCACAAAGCAACCCTCAAAAGAAATAAGACTAAGTGACTCATCATCCTTGCCAGTTACAGTCATGCACAAACCGAGACCCATCCTTTTCTTGCTAACCCAGGGCGACTGGCAACTCATGCTTTGTCCAGCTGCAAGAAAACCCTCTCGCCCTTCGCGAACTGAATCACAAAGCACTTCCATTCGTTGTCACTGCATCGGTGTCGTCTCACGCCATCGCTTCTTTCGGCCATGCCATTTTGCCTTCTCATCGATGGAGCACTGGTCACTGGCGCACACTGGTTGTCATCCACCCATCATAGACAAATGCAACCTCAAAAAGACAGATTTGCTGGAACAAAAGTTGAAAGCAATGCCCTGCAAAACGAAACCAGGACATTCAAAGGTGTCAACTGCCCTTGGCATCCGGCACTCCGTCTTCAGAGTTGAGATATTTCACGCGCACCTGCATCTCTGTGTATGTTCTTCCGTGCAGGCAATGTGACGAGTTTGATCCCTCACTCCAGCTGCTATGATGCAAAGAGCCCACAGCATGGTCGAAAACTTAGTGAGGGTGCACAGTACTAGTACCGCATGTGTCAGTGTGTTACAAGCGATTCAAGAGGTGCAGAGATATGTTGTGCCGTGGCCAATGACCGGCAAAGGACATGAACGATTAAGTTGATGCAAAACGAAGTAGTTCCACTTCAAGGTCCTAATTTGCCAGGCTGCTTTCACTGGACAGGTGCAAATATATGCACTTTGATCTCGACCATCTTTCCCAAGTATTGACAGAATAGAGTTTTGGCCCACTTTCGCTTTTAAGTTTGAAGGAGACATGTATTGGCATCTAGGGCAAATGTTGTTCTGCTCTTAAAGCTGCCACTTGCCACCAGGATCGCCTGTGTTGAGAAGACTGTATAGAATCTACAAGAAACACTTCTTTGGTCTGGTTCCATGCAGTGGCTTTTCCAAACATATCGACTTGACATATAATATACATTTATATAGGCAGTGTTCCGCACACATATCTAGACATATACATATATGTTTATTAAGAGCATATAAAAATTATAACATATGGGTATGGCTCAAAAAACGGGTATGGATCGTTCCGCGGTGATCCGGAAGTATGGAACCAGGAGTTGTCAGCAAGCGTTTTGATCCGGACCTTGTCATAAGGGCTTACATGGATATGAATATAAATATGATATTATTTAGATACACATATAAATATAGAAACAAATACATACATATATAATAGAAATGAATATGCACATATCTATATAATGATTTCATCAGAGGCATGGCTGCAACATAGAGAGGATGTGGGATATATCTGATATGTTGAATACACTTGAATATCAACAAATGGTGGTGATAGGGGATGGGTCCTACATGGCATGATTCGGGTATGGAACGGGTATGGAACGGATATGGATTGGGGTATGGAACGAAATGGACCTGAATTCCAAAATTTCTGGCTGATTGTTTTGGTGGTAGATTCAAAATCTAATTCAATCCTTTTGCTGGAAAGGAAACCAATCGTGAATAACCCTTGGCTGATTTGGTGGATATTGTGGTGCTCATAACCCCTCACAACCTCAAGATCTACCCTACCTAAACTACCCCCCCCTCCCCCCCTCCTCAAAATAATTTCCAAAATTATTTTCAGGGGGTTGATAGTGTCTTCGGTTGTTATACGAAACAACCCTCTTTAGGGTAAAATAATTTCTTACGATAGACCCCCCCCCTCCCCTTCATCGACGGTGGTGAACCTTCGTAAAAATTATTTCAACCCCTGGGGGGTTAATTATTTTGCCCCCCTCCGGAGACTCCAATCTTTACATATGTATACTTTGGGACCCCCCCCCTACCCGACATGATCGCCTTCGCAGGTGTACCGGGGATATTCCATCCCTTCAAGAAAAACGCGGGGGTATCAACCAGGTTTTGGAATATGTTTAAAGAAAACATGTTGTTGAATAATTTTCCTAAGCAGTGGGCCTACGGATGTGCATATTGGAATATGCGAATTATAATCTAAGCCTTCAAATATACCCTGGAATAACTATGTTTTGACATAACTTCATCTAAATTTTAAATGGTTGAACAAAAAAGATTTAAAAAAAACACTTGGGGATTCCCGCAAAATGATGTTCAACCATCATCTTCATCACTGGTTCTTTCCTACATATTTCCATTTTTTTCATACTTCCCCACATTTCTCTCACATTCCCTTCATTTCCTTCCAAAGAACACTCGGTGGGAATGACTGTGAAAGGGAAAGCATTCGGTGTTTATTTTTTTTTTCAGCTGGCAGCTGCTCACTTTGATTTTTGAGGAGTGCAGAGTATCTCCAATACCCCTAGAATAATTTCTTCCCTTGGGAAATCCCACGGAATGGTATTCAACCTGGCCCTTTCCTGTAGTGACACTGTAGTGATTTTCCTAACCGGTCATATTTCCCATTATTTCTCCCATATTCCCTTCATTTCCCTCCAAAGAACTCATTTTTGGGAAGCGTTCGGTTTTGATAGGTTTTTCATTTTTTTTCCAGTTTCTGGGCGAGTTGGATGGTTCTGGCAGCTGCTCACTTTGATTTTTGGGAAGGGCAGGATATCTCCACTACCCCTAGAATAATTTCTTCTCTTGGGAAATCCCACAGAATAGTATTCAACCTGGCCCTTTCCTGTAGTGATTTTCCTAACCTGTCATATTTCCCATTATTTCTCCCATATTCCCTTCATTTCCCTCCAAAGAACTCATTTTTGGGAAGCGTTCGGTTTTGATAGGTTTTTCATTTGTTTCCAGTATATGGACGAGTTTGATGGTTCTGGCAGCTGCTCACTTTGATTTTTGAGGAGTGCAGGGTATCTCCAATACCCCTAAAATAATTTCTCCGCTTGGGAAATCCCACAAAATAGTATTCCTTTCCTGTAGTGATTTTCCTAACCTGTCATATTTCCTCTTATTTCTCCCATATTCCCTTCATTTTCCTCCAAAGAACTCTTTTTTGGGAAGCGTTCGGATTTTATAGATTGTTCAATTGTTTCCAGTTTATGGGCGAGTGGGATGGTTCTGGCAGCTGCTCACTTTGAATTTTGGGAAGTGCAAGGCATCTCCAATACCCCTAGAATAATTTCTCCTCTTGGGAAATCGCACAAAATGGTATTCAACTTAGCTCTTTGCTATAGTGGTTTTTCTAGCCTTTCATGTTTTTCCCTCTTTCTCCCATATTTCCTTCATTTCCCTCCAAAGTTGGGAAGCGTTCGGTTTTGATAGGTGTTTCATTTTTTTCCAGTTTCTGGGCGAGTTGGATGGTTCTGGCAGCTGCTCACTTTGGTTTTTGAGGAGTGCAGGGTATCTCCAATACCCCTAGAATAATTTTTCCCCGTGGGAAATACCACAAAATAGTATTCAACCTGGCCCTTTCCTGTAGTGATTTTCCTAACCTGTCATATTTCCCATTTTTCTCCAATATTCCCTTCATTTCCCTCCAACGAACTCTTTTTTGGGAAGCGTTCGGTTTTGATAGGTTTTTCATTTGTTTCCAGTATATGGGCGAGTTGGATGGTTCTGGCAGCTTCCCACATTGATTTTTGAGGAACGCAGGGCATCTCCAAGATCCTTTGAATAATTTCTTAAAGAACGAGTTTGGTTTCGAGTTGCAAGTTTTGATGCGTTCTTGCTGCAACTTAAGATTGAGGGGGGATTCTGACATGACTACCAGGGAGCACACATGAAACATGATGTTGAATTTATTTGCGTTGTAGGATTCGCAACGCATCAATCCTAAAAAAACAAAAAACCTAAAACATAATAAGCCACTTTTGCAAGCCCAACATTGCGCAAGATGGGATATCGCATTGTTCTACATCGTTTCCTCCGAAAGTTACAACACTGCCATCACTGCGAAGAAGTGCTGTGTGAACACAGCCTGCAGAAACTTGAGTGTACGACCAAAGGTGGAATATGTCATCGGATCAAAACAAGGTCAAACACCAAAATTATTTTGAAATAATTTTTTTGCTGTGAGAGTGTTTTCGTCAAAATTATTTTGAGGGGGGGTAACCCATCAAAATAATTTCCAACCAGAAATTATTTTGGCAATGGTTAGAGTCTATAAATCTATACATCCAACATGTTAGATTTTTGAAATTATTTTCAAAAAAATATTTTGGAGGGTAACCCCCCCCCTGAAATAATTTCATTAAGGTAGGAGGGATACCTCAAGTATACTTTAAACTGCAGATTGCGAGCCATCATACCAACACAAGCATAACATAAATTCCTTTATTGTAGCAATAGCGACAAACCAGCTCCAACACATCCCTTGGTCATATATTTCGTGGATACCGTGAATTCCATTGCCCCTGAATCTATATGTACATTTAAAAACGTGTATGTATGTATATATATATATATATTATATTATATTAATTATATATAAATGTATATGTGAATCTATCTATATGTAGATTTACATATGTATATCTAAACATGTGTATATATATATATATATGTATCAACTACATTTTTTCAATCTGAATATATGTGTATATATATATATATCACATGCATCAAATAGCTGGCCCTGACCCCTCACTCAAATCGCAATGCGTGAAACGGAAACTAAAGAATCCCATAGGTACAACTCAGAAACAAAACCAATACATGCCCAGGATTTGCAATTACTGAGGTATGGATCATGGGTATGGATCATAGGTATGGATCATGTCCTCTAAAGGGGTATGGATCATGGGTATGGATCATGGGGTATGGATCGCATGTGGTCCCGGGGTATGGATCGGAACCTTACATTTTGAGCTGCAGCCAATATATCATTTGTGTACACCGTACACGCACCCAAATGGAATGACAAGTACTGAAAGTGAATTGCAAGCGCGCAACAATGATGGAGACCTGCTAGTTGGAAAGCGTGAAAGCGTGCCAATACAAGAATATACAAATAGCATCCAATAGCCGTATCCTTATCAGCATCAGCCTTATCATGCTGTATTCTGACGAAAACAAGTTTCTTGAAGATACGGAAAAGCACCTCGATAGTGTCGCCCAAGCTGAGCTCATCCTTGAGTTTTGAGTTGCATCAGCAGTGCATAGGAAGGGTGGTTGGAGGAAGGTCACATCATATTGATTCACTGACAGTGAATGTCAAAAGCATTGGGGATTCGTGGACAATGACAGTCATGACATGGATCTCACTCCGGTCCTCCAGGTTTGGAATAAAGCCATCCCGAATCTCTCTGATGTGTAGCAAACCTTGGTGAACATATGTGACCATAGTCTCACAGGATCTGAAGTGACAAAGCCATACAAAGCCCATGATTGCCATCCCCAGACCCCAGACCTTGTGCTGCTTTTCCGCCGCTTGGTGGTGCTACTTGAACAAAGGCTCCGAAAGGCAGAAGTCGAATGACTTTGCCTGGCGCTTTCTGCACTTATCACGTGTCCTTTCTGCAAGAATGTGTCCTCAAAAATCCTCAAAACATACTCAATCTGTAAACTGTGCACCGTCATTGACTTTAAGGGCAAAAATCCGTGAGCGGACCCAAATAATCAACTTCAAAGGAGGGAAATCTGCAAATTGAATTTCATCCACGGTACATAATGGAGCAATGAAAACGCAGACAGGATACACAGAGAATGTGTGTGTGTATGTGCATGTTGTTTAAGCACTCTAACCCTGTCTTGCTAGTATAAACAAGCCTGAATTACCTGTCAACCACTGGTCTGCTTTGATATGTTCAAAGCCTGAAAGGTCCACTTTCCTCGGCAGTCTGTTCAACATGTGCCGTTAAACATTGGGGGTTGCAAGTGCCTGCAAGCGCGATTGATTAACATGACTAATATAAAGTGTATATATATATAGTATATGATATATGTATAAAGTGTATACATAATTATATAGTAATATATGATATATTTATATACATATTATTATATCATATTATATCATTATATGTATATTATATATATACACATACAGTAACTATAAAGTTAATTACTATTAATACAATAAAATCGATTGTGGCATGTGGCAGTTTCAACACAGTTCAACAACTGTACAGCTCGTTTCAGGCTCGGTCCGAGTTGGTCCTTTCGTTCCAATCTTCTCTGCCACGGTGGCCTGATCGCGGATGGCATGGACTGCATTGGAAGTCTCTCAGCTAAGAAACATAGATTTATTGCATTTCATTACATGTATATAATCTATATGTATATACATGTATATATATATACATATTGCACATTATGTCACATAGAGTATTGCAATGTATGGCAATGTTTTGGTCTGTATAATATACACATATATACACAATATTACACACATTTACAGCCAAACAATCTTACCAGAAACTCCAGACCAAGTAGCCAGAAAGAGTTTCTGCTGACCATCCTGCGAAATCAGCAGGTCAAAAGGCTGAACTAGGTGGAGGACCAGCCCATGGGCCTTCGTGCCACTTTGTTTTTGAAGCTAACACAACTATTGCCTTTGCCTTATCAAGTGATCCGTAGGTTAACAGCCAAACTAATTTGACCGGAAATGCTCTCCTTGTCTGTCATCACGGACTCCACAAAAACCTCCACCTTCCAGAATGCAGGGCAAAAAATGCTAAGACAGGGGTTCTGGGAGTATGGGTTAGTGGTGATGATGGTAGTTGTGTTATCGGGTGGTTCGACGCATGTTCCTTGCTGTTGATGTTCTTCCTGATGGGTTTCTGGTTTTTGTTGATGCTACAGCGATGTGTTGATATTTCATTTGGACGAGGGGGTACTGTAATTGTCACTCTTATGGTTTATGTCTATGTCGAGTTTGAGATGTGACTGGCTTTCATCCATTTGAGCAAGATATTATGAAAACACATTCCTATGCTTTCAGTTTCTGATTCGGTTATACACACGGATTTTGTTTCGACAAGGTTTCCCCATTTCGTTCAGCTCACCCATTGCTATTGGTGATGATATCAGGTTTGGCTCATCCTGTGAAATCGTCGATATTTATTCAGTTCTCCAGCCTTCAATGATGGAGTCTTTGTCAGTAGAAGTAGTACTAGTGGTGGTGGTCGTCGTCGTAGTGATTGTTGTGCATTGCTTGGACGATGTCAAATCGGGCACACAAATTTATGTTCTCAATCGTCCATCCGCTTTGTGCGTTTAAAACTGTCCAAGACTCTACCCAAAACACCTCACCTTTTCACAACTTATCTTATTCCTTCGTATTTTTTCCATTTTTTTCATATTTCTTTTCTCTCCCAATCTTCATCGTAAGTATGACTTTTGAAGTCAGCATAGCACCAATGTTTCAGGAATTGAAATGTCATTCTCTAGACTCTAAACCAAAACTTTTGAAGTTCCTCATTCACTTTCATTTATTTCTAAAGTTTCAAGTAGCCCCTCTCCCTCTCTTACCATATACACAGGCATTAATTCTGTGCTTTTCTTCAGTAGTTCTTGTTCAGTTTCTGGTGTTATTCCGTTTTAAGACTCACTAACAATGGTTTTGATATTACAAACAAAGTGAGCAATGGTGTCGCTGTCTAAAGTACTGCATGTTTCAATCAAATAATTGAAGACACACAATATTCTATTGTATTGGTTTGTAATGGTGTCATTTCTCCCTTGTGTGAATTCTCTCTCCATTCTTTCTGATTATCTGTTCGTCAAGGATGTTAGCCGTGACTCAGTTGCCATATTGTACGAACCATTCTAAGCTTGTTTTTGCAGGATTATATAGGTCATTATATATATATATATGTATATTCATTCGATACTTATAATTTGTTGATGGGCATGGTGGGTAAGGGTAAGGGATTTTTCTATGAAGTTCATTAGTCTTTCTATAAATATCTCTCTCTAGTCCTTTTTGCTCCAGTCATAGGCATTTTCAACTCAATCATTGTGCCACTTGTTTCTTCAAGTCGCTCTTCCAGTTCTCTTATCACTCAGTCAATTTCATCCATTCCTTCATTGGGGCCTTGTCTGTGCAAAAGGTTGCTTAACCTCTCAAGATTCTTCACCTTGAGCCTTTCCTTAGGTTGTAGAGTTTTGAGGTGTTCCTTCAACTCGGTCGAGTCAAAGTATGATCCGTCCTGTACACTAATTAATTTCTATTATATCAATCATTTCCAACAAGCATTCCAGTAGGATTTTGTTCATCAAACACTGTAGACGATATAAGTAGTACCGGGGTTCACACTCGTACACCGCACCGTTCGCAAGACTCGAGTATCAAATTGACAAATACGTGTAAAAGCAAAGTCCACAGCAGAGAGTTCCCGTCAAGAACACAGAGCCGAGATACGGATTGCTGTCAGAGACATCTTCAGTAAGTTGGTTAAAGCTGTCCCTCAAAAATGACTGAAACTAGGTAATTAATAGAAGTAATGTTCCAAATGTAGTCTTTGAACCACTACACCAGATTGAAAATCAATAGAATAGGAACTGTAATATTTGTCGCGAGCAAAGGCGGAATATAGAACCACAAATTGAGACAAATCAAACCAAATAGATCCTAATAGCATAAGACCAAATCAACAAGCAAGGACTGAGCACTAAACAAAATGTCAAAGCAGAATGCGCTGTGCGCATGGCTGGGTTGAGGTGATGAGCAAACATCAAGCAAACAATGAACATCGGTACCACCCTTTTACATTCTGTCACCATGTTTTCCCCGCTGCTCACCATTTGGTCATGCAGGTTTTGCCAATGCGTTCCATTTAACATGTTTGAACTGTACATTGACATCTTTGTCTTTGGCTGTCTCTTGTTGCGCAAGTTGTGTACATCTTCTTACGAGCTCCAGTGTAATCCGTCGCACTTGAAATTCTCGTCAGGATCAAGACGAGACAATGACAGCATTGAACTTGACGTAGGTTGCCGAACATCTCTGAAAGCTCCATCACCTCGTCTCACCTCACCTCCAAGCTATTTCACCTTGCCAGTCTGTGGCCTAGTTGGACGATCGCCACAAGGAATACAACGATCGCGATGACATGTCCGTTGGCGGCTTGTTGAGCACGAACAGCGCTCCGGAGATGCGACACCACTCGGTTGCAGCGTGGCTGCACAAATGCAATGCGACTGGACTCGCTGATGAGCCTGTCACGAACGCATGCAGTGCTGTACTACCATATATGGAAAACAATGGAGACAAACTGCAGCAGAATCGGGTTAAAATTCAAAATGTGATATCAAGATTATCAAGGGACCTTGCCATTTCTTGATCGATGATCTAATTCTCCAGGTCAAAGTGCTATGAACGGACACCAAATAATATCCAAATACACTCAAAATATTTCAAACTGCTGTTGGTATCTGTTGGTATCTTTTGGTTGTTTTGCGTCATGGACGCCATTCAGCATCTTAAAGCTGCATTGAGCCTTGGAATCAATGCTCTGAAGTGAGGCATGGGCTGCAAAACCTGGCTGATTTGCAAATCATGGTCATACGGTCATACATGTCATACGAGTGATAGGACTCATACGGGTTAGAACACTTTCCAGCTGATGGTCAGTGGGTGTGTGTGTGTCTCTCTGTCTACTGACTGTATGTGTTTGATCATGAATGACGATTGAAATGATGTTATATTTGGATATATTTGGCGGTTGACCTAAACTATTCCATCCGGAAACGGCCATTCTTTGAAATCAAATTCTACTTCTGCGAATGTCTATCTTTCACACATGTTGGGCAACGATGCCTCTTCTGAAAACAAAATAATTACCTGCCAAATTACGATTACTTCGTCCAAACATTGTATGCATGCAGCTAGCATCACAGAATCCCTTCTCGGGACCGATTTATGCGTAATATTGGGCTTACAGTAATACGGTCGATTTTATGTGTACGGATGTGTATGGCATTGTATGGCCTACTGTGCAGCACCCTTCAAATTGCACTTTCACTTCTGCCCGCTCCTTCGCGTAACTTTCGACGATATATCCCTATAATTCCCTATACGTTATGTATGTGTACAGTGATGATTCAAACTGTAGCGAAACTTTGACTTGCTATGTTTTTGTTTCTTTCGCAAACTCAAAAAAAGCTTTCGTGAGTGTTGAAAGCATATCAACTGTCTTCTTAATCATAATTTGTTACAAGGACCTTTAGATCAATCAGCATATTATAAGATGATATCTATGTATGATTAACATTGATTAACATCAAGGTGGCATGGAACCGAAACGGGAAGGGTGGGAACCTCAAAAATATGAGCTGAAAAGGTGCAACCTAACCGTGTTGAACGAAACTTTGGAAATTAACTACATTGAACTACTATGGAACGCCGAACAAACACCACATTGACTGTGTCCACAACAAAAGGGCTCCTCACAAGGGACCCATCAGAAGATTAGGGACTAGCTCCACAGCGGGATGGCATTGGGGACTGTCTGCACAGATATATGATACATATTGATACATAATATATGATCATAGTAACATATTATAATTGAATATATGACTGTATTATTAATACAGTATGATATGATGCAAGGTGGTATGGTATGAATATGATTTCTGAATGATGTTCATATCATCATATCTAAATTCTGATGGTGCACCCACAGCATGGCATGCCTCAGGGCTTCGTGTGCAAAACTCTCGAAAGCGCTCACCGCCATGCCATCGAAGACCCTGTGCCAGCTCATTGTTTTTTTTTTTTTTTCTGAACAGAAAATAACAGCAAACAATTAGTCGTCACAAGTCCTACAGCACCCTTTCAGCATATTCAGTTCAAGGACAAGAAAACGCATGCTGTACCAAGCATTTGTGTTGAGGGATTGGTATGCTGATGTATGCTATGACATCTTGGAACTCATTCAGGCTTATTATTACTATTATATAAATGTATTACATAGATTTACATAGCATCTTTTCACTAAGATAATTTCAATTATTGACATATTATTCATACTACAGGATATTACAGGATATTACATGTATATTGTATATATATATATTATATATCATTATACATCATTATACAGTATACATATGACACTTTCAGGATGGTGTTGACAAGTCGCCTCCTGCAGAAGCTCTGTGACAAAGCCTCGCAGTGGTCGTTTGTCCCTTCCGATCAACGGAGTTCGTCCATCCTGGCCACCGATGAAGTTTGGGCTTTCCGAGCGGGGCTTCACCAATCTCAGCCTAATCCTATAAAGCAAACTAAAGGATCCAAGCTGACAATGGGACTGAAAATCTGAATAGCACTTGATGTTTGAATCAAATCAGTCGACGACCATTCCAGCTGTCTCTGTAATAGGTCTATAAGAGTTCGAAACATGGTGGAAGTACGGAAAACCTAAGGAGATCCTTACAAAATCTTACAAATATACTCTGTCAAAGCAAAGGGGACGTTCATTTCTCGTGTTTCTATATGGTTCTATACAATTTCTATACTATGCTATCTTTTTGGAGACGGGAAAATACCAGAAATGTCTATTCACTATTCCATTCTTTTCCAACCTTGTCTCATTCTGGCAACATATCGCAACATCCAGCGACTGCACTCCTGCAAACTTCCAAAAAGGGAGTTTGCGCTTGTCCATTGCAGCTCTTCCACTTCCAGGTGCGATGCAGGAGACACTGGAGCAACTGGCGCACTCGGCACGCCTTGGGCTGCACTTTGCATAGCTGTGGCCGCAGCCGCCACAGCAAGGGTTCGACGATATCGAAAGCTCTGCTGAACTGCCTTGCGCTCTTTTCGTGTCAACGAGCCAAGATTCACGATGCGAAGGATCTCAAGACCAGGACCATCTGGACCATGATGCCATGGCGAGCGACACACTGTCGTTGAGTGTTCATCAGATCGAAGACAGCCACAGATTTCATCTTCGCTTCCCAAGACGCCAAGGGTCTCTTCAGCAGCTTCTCGTGCCATGGCAGCTGGAAGGTCTGGATCAGTTTGCTCCACAAAGCCCCAAAACGGGCCAGCTTGTTTCTCTGCCCACCAAGGTCGGTCTTCCACCCCAAGCAGAACTTGGACACAGCCACCTGAGCCACCTGGGCCGCGTGAGCCTTTGGGATCTTCACATGCAACCAGGATTCCAGCTGCCAGATTGGCATCTTCACCCCACCAGCCAGGGACGCATCTCACCTCTCCATTGATGCCACTTACAGTCTTCTGGAGCTTCAAGTCAACACTAACCTCCCCAAGCAACGGATGAAAAATCGTTTCTATTCGCTTCCCTTCATCTGCGGCTGCAGTCAATGCATTGCAGCTTGCGTCCGGCAGATATTCCCAACGCTTCTCCGAAGCATATCGAAATTGCCATCTCGATTCGGGAGCACAGTCCATCCTGCTACATCATGATCACATTAAATTGTGTGCGGGTGTGCCTGTGTGCCTGCACATTCTACGTTTGGGCCATTTGGCTGGGTCATGCACGGAGAACATTACTGTCCACCTGGAGAAGTGCCTTGTCTGTAAGTCTTACAAGCACTGCTTCTCAGTCTGACATCGGATCCTCAATGATCCCCACCTTGCTTCCTTCCTCCAGCTCAGACAAGCGAAGAAGCTTGAGGTGGTTCTTCTTTGCCCTAAAATCTGCTCAAAATGCAGCCAGTAGAGGCATGCAAACCAATGTTAATAATGACAAACGAGAACAAGGGAAGGCATGGACGAAGTATAGTGAGGCTCCATGTCCAGCGACGCGCCAAGTTTCCCACACATGCTCTTCACCATCTTCGTCCCAAACAATCAAAAATGTCCCATCTCCGTTGTCCTTCGCAAATCATGGATGATCATGGCGCAAATCTGGTTTCAAAAGATTCACAGCTGATGGTTCCACAGCTCTAGCCTACTATTGTCTTATTTTGATTCTTCCTGGTATCCCCATCCACATTCGACTTGGTCCTTGTAGACAGTTGCTTGGTAGTAATCTTCGTCATCTTCGTAGAATGCCTGCCATCACGTCCGATGTAAGTCAGTTTTCATGAGTAGACAATTTACGTTTCTGCTATGCTTACAAATCTCCGCAGTCATGAACAGCTGTGCAGTGTCAGACATCGCAGGCAAAACAAGCAGAGTTTCGAGCAGCAAAAGCCCACTTTTGTATCCTCTTGAGCATTTGCTTTAGTGGTGCTTCGAGTCTGGAGGTCAAACGGAGATGATTGGAGGCCCTCTGGACAAGTAAGGCGCACATATTCGGTCATGTCCTGCCATCGCAAGGACATTGGACTTGCACCCTCAGGGGACCATGAGAATAGTCTTCCTGCAGCTTCTGGAACCATCGAAGCATCTAGCAGCAGCCGCTTGCCTTCTTCTTCTTGCTCTTCTTGGGCTTGGAGGCCTTGGCCTTGGTCTCTGGGGCGGTGCCAGATGTGCCGGTGACCACAAAGCTCTCACGCGCCATGTCAGTCATAGCATGGCCCTCTTGCGGGGCAATGTGACCCTCTGGATGTGCCGTGACGACAAAGCCGGGGGGGATTGCTTCGCCTGGTGCAAACCACTTCCCCTGGGAATGATCCAAGCCATCCATCATAGGATACCCACCATAGGGTGACGTCGTGTACATGCTAGGTTGCACTGCCTGCACCGAGGATGCTCCAACTGGAATGGAGTAGGGAGATGGAGAATACATCATTGGAGCACCCGGAGCACCTTGCATCACATATGCCCCTGGATCCATGGTGTAGGTTGGTGCGGCATCGGCATATACTTGAGAACCATCAGCCATGACATACTGGACGGGAGCCGTGTCTGCTGGGTACGAGTAGGCTGCCATGACTCCGCTTCGGCAATGATCGACTTGTGTCACCCAACGGGCTTGAACAGATTTGAGCGGCTGCGGATCATCTCCTATGAAGTCACATCAGCCATGACTTGCAAACATGGCACAAGAAATCCAGCAAACAATGAAGATAATGCGTACAGAGTGCAAACATCAACGAATTTAACCAAGTGCAACAAAATCAAAAATATCAACATCTCCTCTCTCTTCTGCTGATGAAGGGAGCCTGCACTTTGTCTCCCGACTTGAAGTTGTGCTCTTCGCCCTTGTACGTAAACCAGGGTCTTAGGAGACCTTGAAATGTGTGTCACGCGAAAGGTAGGACGAAAGATGTCACTTGCAAGTAAAGAACATGCGATCATAATTGATCTGCAGTCTGATGACACAAAACTAGCTTGGCACGCAACCGTCACGTTCAGCTCCAATGTTGACAAAGGTGCCAAAGCTGAAGGTCCTCACATGCTACTTTTAAACAGCAGAGAAGCCGTTTCAATCAGGGTTTTTTCTTGATACAGCAGTCTACTTTGGCTTTGCAAATGGCAAATCTTGAGATCAGCACCTTGCAACAATGCCCAAGAACTTTTGTCTTGGCCTTGGCATCTCGATGCATTCTAAAGTTGAACATCTTGGGAAGCATGAGCTGCTTGAGCAATGCCCTACCAATGGGAACACACCACTACATGTTGTATCATTTTGATTCATTTTGTTGGCAAATGTTTAGAGTTTAGACTATACGAGGTGATGACCTGAGATCAGCCAGCGCCACTGGTTGCGTTTGCGGCTTCAGATCCTTTTCCCTTGGCATCGCTTGGCATAACTTAGCATGTCACATGTCACATTTCCAGAGAAAAGAATTGAACAGCGACAGCGGAGAAAGCAGCAGTTGTTACTCACATGCTAGGAGAAGCTGCTCGACTTCGTACTCCTCACCTCGGCTCTCAAGGCACAACGTTCAGAGTACAGTCTGTAATGCAGTCTTTGAATGTCTTTGAGTCTTTGGATGTCTTTCCGCCACCAGACAGAAAGAGGGAATTTGCATGAACTCGCTCAGTACACTTTTATGATCCTTTATAGTATTATTTAATACAACATTATACAACTTTGGAATACTTGACAGAGCCGATCCACATACAAAATGCGATCTCAGGATCAATCAGGGAATCAAAGAACAACGTCTGGTGAATCTGGTGCCCAGTTTGAGATCTCGGCCATCCTCCCAAAGGATGGTATACGACCCCGAATCATTGATGCATTTCACTCTAGCCTCAGCCAAGCCATCTCTCGCGGTACGCAATCAGAGAAGTCGCATGAAGTCGCCAACTCCATTACCTCTGGCATTCCTCCTGCCAACCCTCCTGTGTCAACAAAAAAAGGCCATGTGCTGGCCATGTGGCAGCAAATAGTTGTGCCATGTTGTGCCAATGTTGTGCCCATCAAGGTTCATACCAGGTTTCAATATCTCTATTTCTTTGCCATCTGATGTTTTGCAAAACAACAATTAAAGAATGGGATAGAATAGGACATCGGACCGAGATCCTGGCAGGGTACCATGTGTCCTCCTCATGGTATAGACCTTCAACTTTGTCACCAGCCTGGCAGTCACATTGAGTCTGACGTTGTGAGATCTGTTCAGCGATGTTCAGCGATGTTCAGCGATGTTCAGCGTTAATTCGTGGAAGCCTTCTGTTCTGACCGATGCGAGTCTTACTCCCTGTGATGTGATCCTGTGGTGAGCTGGTCAGCCCTGTGGATGGCCTTCATCGCCGCTAGCAACTGCTGGTTTGCCCTACTTACCGAGTAAATCCATTACCAAGCGGGCGCACAGAAAACTGAAACTTCTTCTCCGCACGCTTGAGGAGCCTGACGTGGTCAAACAACTTTGAGGTCGCACATCTTGTAGTCCAAATACATCGAAATTCCAGGCACTGCTAAATGCATAATATATGACTGCAAGTCCCAAACCACTGTCAGATACAAGACTTTGATGTCCTTGCATTCCCTCCATGCAAAATTGTGGTCTAAAGTCCTCTGATTCTCTGATGCACTTAAAGAAGTACTGCAACTGGCAATGACAGTGGCAACACGTCATTACTCATGTACCTGTAGCACAATGCAAGAATCCTCTATGTCCACACCTCATGTTCTCAGCCTTCTGAGTGTGCTCGTAACCATCCTGCACTTTCATTCATGAATTAAATTATATAGTGCCATGGAATGTTGCCAGATTCAGGCATCAAACTGCACACTGGTTGACCTCCGTCCAAGAGATCAAGTAGGTGTCATCTCCATTGTTGCATTGGACCACAGCCTTCAGGGCTTGAGGGCTTTATGAATTTCATCCCTGCTGAATTTCCGACATGTGTTAACCTTTGATCAAGCTAGACGTTGCATCTTCAGTTCCGACCTGTCTACTTTTTGGTTGCCACACCATGCGACATAATGCCCGACTAATGTCCGACCCCAATCGAAAAACTGCCTCGTATTCTTCCTCCTCCTCTTCCAGCAGTGCCATCACCTGCCAGCAACAAACAATAACACCTTTGAAGTCCTCCCCAAGCAGTCCGAGAGTCCAAAGATGTCCAAAGTCGTTTCGGGTTTGTCTTGCACTCCTTACTCCTTGCACTCATGGACAACTTACCACTGGATCACCGCTGGTAGAACACGTTGCAAGACATGTTGCATGATGGACAAAGATGGCTGAAACGAAAGGCATTGCGTCGACCCGCCTTGTCCCCAACGTGAAATTCGTCCCTCAGCTCAAAGCTTGCCTGTCCGACTCTATCAGCTGTGGCTTTGCAGGACCCCAAACGCACAAACGAATTTGAAAAAACTGACTGTTTCCAGTAAGTATCTGTTTCAAACTGACTGCCAAAGTAAAGGTGATCCAAAGTGATTCAAAGTGCATCAAAGTGATTTAAAGTGCACCAAGTGTTTCAATTTTCAATCACTTTAACCACTTCAACCACAGCCTCAGCCACAGAGACGGCCGCTTGAGCCTCCAGTCGAGCCTTGCTCAGGACTCAAGGAGTGATTGCTTAGCCATGAGCAAGTCATGTCAACTTGTCAATAGATTCATAAAACAAAACAATGTGGATCAGCATGGAACAGCATCTCTTGGTGCAAAACAAACATTTCGTAAGCTGTGTTGACAGTTTCTGAACCATAAACATCACTGAAGATCCGGCCACCAAATCAGCTTTGCGACCAGATTTGGTAAGGCCAAGCTCGGCACATTTCGCCTGACGCATCATTTTGTTCATCAATATCCTCTACGCAGCCATGAAGAAAATCAAAGAACCACTGATCAACTCTGCAAATAAAAGCAAAAATGCTAAGCCGCTAAGCAGACTAAGTCTGACTCCGACCTTGAGTTGGCCAACAGTCAATCTTGAATAGCCTCGACAGTCAAACATTTTCTGACATGCCTACAAACTGTGAAGGATCTCAAATCCCATCTGCTAATTGTCCAAAACATTCCAAAACGATCAAAGGAAAAAAAATTGCCTGATCCAGGTCTTGGAGGCTCTTGTGACTCAGCCTTCCAGCTTCAGTTCGGAACAAACAACATGAGGGACGGCACGTTCGAAATCGTGACTTGTCACCGTCATGTAGCATTCAAGTGGCAGGGTTAAGTCATAGCATCTCGTCTTAAGTCATTGCCGGGTCTTACGCATGGTTTAAGTCACGGCCGCTCGTTTTAAGTCGTAGCCGCGTGATGCCTTTCCACGTGTGTACGCGGCTTCGACCGAGGCTCATAATGCTCATATTAATATATATATATATTAATATTATACTGTTTTTGATCAGTTCAGCATGGAATTCCTATTCATTGTATATGCTTTGGGTATGTGTTTCTCATGAAACTCACCATGTGACCGCTTGATAAGTAGGGGCATGGTGGCACTCTTTGAAACCTATAATTTGTAGGGTTGAAAATGCTCCAGAAACTCTAAAACATATTGGAGAATATTGGAGATGCTATCCTCAGGATGCTTCAGCCCCCAGTGCCCACCAAAGACTTTCATTCTCCATTTGCATGTTTTTTGATATGATTTTGGTTCACCCGGTGCCTGCGTCCGGCATGTGAACATGATTCATGCATGCTTTGGTAACACAACCCAATGGCCCAACGATTCTTGAAAGAAAGTAGAACTGAGCCCCTAAGTAGGTTTTCATCACGAGTTCCGAACGAGGTTCCAACAAGGTCAAAACATGTCAAAACGAGGTACCAAACAAGGTCAGAAAGTAGCTTTGGAAACCCCAGCTCCCAAAAGCACTGCAAAATTCAAGGGCAGAATCACACAATTCGCCTGTGGGGTAGCCGATCTAGCAGCAGCCCAGCGGCGGTTTAGTAGCAGTCTAGCAGCTACCGAGCAGAAGTGAGGCAGCGGCCTAGGCCTCAGGAGAAGCCTGCTAGGAGCAGTTTGGCAGCAGTCTGCCAAGCGCTCCTTGAGCAGTAGTTGCAACAGTTTGCCAGCGGCCTGGCAGCATTCTAGCAACTGCCTTAGCACCAGCCGAGCAGCAGTTTGCACGCTGCCCATGGTGATACCCAGCAAACATTTAGCAGCACTTCAGCGGCAGCTTAGCACCAGCCCAGCAACACGCTACCTAGCAGTGTGCCAGCAGCAATTTTGCAGCAGCGTAATGAAAATCTACCAGCAATCCGTCAGCAGTTTGGAGCAGTCCAGCCTGCAACAATCCAGTAACAAACGCTTTCTGAGAATAGCTTAGTAGCACTCGCTCAGCAGCACCCCAGCAGCCCAGCAGCAGTCTAGCAGCAATGTACTGTAGCACCAATTCTAACTTTCTAAAATGCATTATATCAAACAATACGGAAGAAAAGCACGGCAAGGCACACGCTCACCCAAGACCAAAATATCAGAATCTGTTCAACATAAATATGATCATAAAATCAAGCTTTAGAACATGCAGTTCTGCAAGGCACATGCTGATCCTCTACGACAAAACAGCAATGCTACGACTTAACCCCGGGACCCAGTATTGTGGATGATACAATCTGCAAAATTAAATCAAAATTAGGTATTGCATCCAGTCGGTCACCATAATAAGTAGTCTGAAAAAGTCCGAAGAGCGTGATTGCTGCTACTTGATCTCAATGTTCAAAGCTGCTGAGTACCACAGTAGCACCACAGTACGATTCCCTCACCTCTTCAAGCCGCTTTATCAGAACAGACTTCAGCCCCGATGTGGAAAGGCCTTGAGGGACTTGACCAAGCTCAGAGATTCATCAAGGTTGCTATCTTTGCTGATCTTTGCAAACACAAAGTCCAAACAGGTTTGAAAATCATCGAAGATGTAAGACCACAGTGAATTTCTGAGGTGGAGGCCCCTTTCTCGGAGTTTCTCCTCAAATTTCTCAGCAAGGCATCATTGTCATGCAATTACCTGTGCCCCTGGCAACATCTCTTGCAGTGGAATTATGTCGAATTTGGGCCAAAACATATCATATTCAGTAAAAGCACCCACACACACAGACTCTGAGTTGCCCACCTTGAGTACGGCCACAGTCATTCCAACAGGACCTGAAGGCTACAACAGTTACAACATGTTCCAACACAGGGACCAAATTCAAGAACGCATATACTATATACAGAATTAATATGAATGATTAAACTGGATGTCAAAATATGTCAAAAGGCTCCGTATCCCAAAGTCATCCCCAAGGCGTGTACCTGAGAGTGCACATGTTTGCACCTTCAACGGAGTGCGAGGTGCTTGCACTGAGCCCACAAAGGCAACCTGGGCGCAAGACTTGCAGCACTTGCACTGCAAAGGCCTCAGATGCCTCAGGCCGCCGACATTAACAATCTGAGCTCGTGACAGCTGCAACTTGTGATAAGACAATCGCGGCTGTGGCACAGTATCTCCACAGCCTAGCCTGCAAAGATTGCCAAACAATCATCGCACAAATATTTAGTATGCATTTAAATCATAAATCAATATAAATCAATAAACATCAATATAAATCAATATACATCAATATAAATCAATATAAATCAATAAATCAATATAAACATCAATATACATCAATATACATCAATATACATCAATATACATCACACAAACACAAACTGGTTTATCTTGTCTCAATTGTCAAGAGAAAAACCTGTCAATGCGATACAACCACATATAGATATAGTATCATATAGTGATCTCAATCGCTCTCGTCAGAATCCTCTGCAGCGCCTTTCGATGGGACCTGCTGAAGGTAGCTTTTCTCTCCAGAACGGCCATACCTCAATCACACATGCATCCAAGGCAAAACAAGTACGATGATTATGTTCTTGGAAATATAACGTCATGTTCGACCCCCTATCACGTCTTGCTGGTGCAGTTGACAATTCACACACATTGTGAAGGATTTGCGATTTCACCGAAATGCAAACTGCAGAGCCCACATGAGCCCACCTACACTGCTCCAGGATTCAGATGTCTTTGCAACTGCAGGAGGCAGTTTCCTATGCTTCCTTGAGCAGAACACAAACAGCAAGGCCCAAAAAATTAAACGCGGTTAGCATGATTCAACAACATACAAACACTCAAATCATCCGACATCTAGGATATCGTGATACCGAGGCCCGAGCCTTGCAAACAAGGCAATGCATGCAGCATCATGCAGCATCAGGCAGCATCAGAGAGTCCAGGTCTTGAGACTCTCATGGTTGCGGTTTGGGTAGCGGGTAGCAAAAGCTCCGACAGGGAAGCGGGCAACACATGGACACATTGTCACGTGGCAGTCTTTGTGGCGATGGTAACGATCCGTCAAACTTGCTGAGCAAACACAGAAGGTCAGCATGCTTCCTTTTCGTGGGAAAGCAGGCACACAAATCATGGGCCTAGCGCATCTGTCCTAATAATACATGTCTTTCACATGGTGCCACTAGATGCCACTAGTCACTTAGTCAGGTGCTATATATCAAACTGTATCACACTGGAAATTCACTCGACAGCCTTCCTGACCATTCACAATGGTCAGCACTTGCTAAGAGACGTGGCAACATGAGCTTGTGCTTTCCTCCTTGGGAAAACCACTTTGAGAGGCTCGAGGAACGGCTATGAGCGAATCTCGGCGCATTAACTCAACTGCTTTGAGGTGTCGACTGCATCCAGATCGTGAAGGTTTGAATTTTCAAAATACAACAAACATGCATTGTGTTCGGGACTGTGCGGTTTTGGAACCTTCTTGCATATGTATAAATCGTACTTGGAAATTTGGTGAAACTCTCCATGTGAGACTCAATCCTCTGGGATCAAATTGGCCAAACTAATCCAGCCAGGTTGGCTGTACAATACTCTGCTACTCTCTATAAAGCTGTCGAGGTCGCAGCTGCTTTTCCGGGACCGTCTGACAGCTTCGACACTAGGAGTAGAGTATCGTGTACAGCTGAAAAATGTTGAAAATAGATCAAGATGATTCAATATATATATATATATCCGCAATAGAGCCGCTGGGTTTATCAATACTTGCCATGTGTGGTGACCAAGAAATCCATAATGACATGTAACGACAAAACCAGCTGCTACTGAGTAACATGTCAAGTGATTGAATGTATGTCACTCAGGAGCGCTTGAAAATCAGAAATTGCGCACGAGTCTGACCTCTTGCCAATGGTCCTGGGCCAGGACCTGCAACAGTGGTACCAAAGGGATCCAAAGGGCACAAGACTTTGGGCTGAACCACACTGGGCACGGACACACGGTCAAGACACGTCTGTCAAGACTTCCACTAAGTGCAAGTCTGGAGTTTTTTTGTTGTCTGGGCCCGTATACTCCTGTGCTGCCTACGCCGCTGTCTACGCAATGCCTACGCGGCCACAGTGGGAGCCTACGTGGCTCATCCCTTTGAAGAAGGTGTGCCTATGCAGGCCCAATGCCCGTGTAAAGCGACGCCACAATGTACGTTTTTGCCTACGCCGTCACACTTCCGTTTGCTTTTGGAAGGTTGGAAACGGAACTTTTGCCTACGCGACCAGTCCCATTCACATTTCTGCTAAGTGGGATGCCTTGCGGCACCCTGCACTCCCTGCAGCAGCACGAGCGCCCAGGCTCCAAAGCGCACATAGACATCTTGCAGCCACGCCCATGTGCAGCAGCCTCACCAGCAACCAGGTCCCAAAGCGCACACTAAACATCTGGTGGATAAATCATGATAAATCACTGAAGACTCAGCTAGTAACTTTTGACTATGCTGGAGTCAAGCCAAGCGACGTGTTCGACTGTCGCTAGCTTGGTGAAGGGCAGTTCTGGGCGGTTCAATGTGTCGAATATGGACTGGTGCGGACGTGGGCTGGTTGTCAGTCCGGGCACCCGAGCCTACGCGGTGCCTACACGAAGTCTACGCGAAGCCTACGCCTGTTCCAGGGGTCTCCTGGCAGGAATCTGGTGAAACATTCCTCTTAAGCAAGAGCATCAAGCAAAGAACATCAAGACGGTTTAAGCTGCTCCGCTGCCTTTGTATAGCTGCTCTGCCGACGCTGATGGCTTTCAACCGAATGCCTTGTGCCAAAGCTTCGTTCCTCATGGCAGTCGTCAGAGGGGCTCAGTGGCACGCCCAACCGACGCCCAAAATGTGCGGTCATCGACAAACATGACCAAGGACACACCTGATGTTTTGACATCATAGTGTGACCAAACCTGCATGAAACATGCAGCCAGCATGGGTGACATGGGGCATCCTGGCAAAAGTGATCGACCCGGAGAAAACCAATTGTCCGAAACACCACCTGCGAATGAGAAAAGTCTGCGGCCCTGACGATAGAATGAAGCTAAGAGCTGGGTGACTAGGCCGGGACATCGCAACCAAGTCAAAATTTCGCGCGTGGCTTCCCAGCTGACAGAATCGAAAAACCGCGCCAAATCTTGGGAGACAAAAATAGAGTGCTTGGGAATGGCATGAGACAAAATAGAATGCACACTATTAGCCGAGGTGCCAGGCAGGCCACCCATTACTGATGCATCAGTCCAGCTACGGATCCATGGGGATAACTTACGGACTAGGACACGGGCACCAATGCGCCACAAAACACTAGCAACTGATAATGGGGGAGTGGACCCATCCGGCTTAGGCAGCAATGCTACGCGCGCATCGGACCAAGTCGTTGGGATTTGGCTATGCTGGAGCACGAGGTTCATCGAGGTTCCAAATGTCTGCCAAGGCTTGCCAAAACTCCTCAGGCAGGGTCACCAAATCATTGGCCTGCCAAGAATCTGGGCCAGGGGCCTTACCCACCATGGACATGGCGCTTCTGCGAAGCTCAGTCGGGTGAATTGTCAAGTCGACCTGGCAGGCTGGCGGGCGAGGGACAACACTGTGTAACAAATCCCGGATGCATGGAATGTCAACCTGGTTGTGTGACCATTCATCACGCCACACGGCACTTTCATGCTCTAAAACATGGGAAGGATGAATGGCTTTACGAACACTGGCAGGGGTTGCAATTTCCGGCTGGAGTGTCTGGGCAACCCACTGTTGAGCACGCATTTTGACCCACCGACGCTGTTCGGCTTCACTGCCGGCAATGCGGCTCTTCCACTTTGACAAGTTTGTATCTTTTATGAGCACCTCAGTTTGCAAAATTAGTGACGCAACAGTGTCAGAGAACTGGTCAATGGTGCGTTCACATAAATTGGCAAGGACAGGGAAGAGGGTTTCCATACCGCGGGCACCAACAACAGCAATACTGCGAAGGTGGGCATGGTCAGGATGGCGGAGAATTTCCGCAATGCGCCGATGCAAACGTCGAAGGCGCCGCAAGTGAACAGGCTCAGCAGGGCGGAGCTGTCTGAAGGTTCTGGAGTGGATAGGACAGGGAGTCCAAGTTTGCGACCCAGGGCACCCTTTCCCGGGGGCAGAGCAGAGAACACGTTCTGCTTGGTCAGACAACATGGTCCACGCAGCTTGAACATCTTTGTTCTTGTGAAGTTCTCGAATTGAGTAGCACACCAATGATGGTTCCAGCGATGGTGAATGTCCTCCGCGTCAGTGACTTCAATGGGAGAGCGTTTGGGGCAGCCCTTGATGCACTGATGGGGAGAAGAGTCAAAACCATAAACGACACAGTCATGGTCTGCCACGCCTTCATGTTGATTGAACTGAGTGGGGTGCATGTGCTTGCTGATTGCGAAGTCGATGCGACGATCCCCGCGACACGTGGGCAACAACGGTCCTTGGGCGCAAAAAGGTTCATCCAGGGAATCAGCAACACCACAAGCAAACAACTGACATAGGTCGGAATCGACAAGATTGAAGTCACCAATCATGATCCACGGAATATGAAGAAGATTGATGGAGTGAACAAGGTCGAAAATGAGCGCACGAGCGGCAGCTGTGTGGCTCGCGTGGCCATAACACCCCACGATTAACACATTCTGAAGCGTGCTGGGTTTTGGGAGACACCACAGTTAACCCCAAATCAACCTGCCGCAGCGGGTGGCGACTGAGGAGAGCTACACGATGGTACCCAGCAGCTTCGTCATAACGACCCAAGTAGCAGCGGAAACCTTTCTGGCTCCATTGTCTGACAAATCTTGGCGCACTATGCGAATTAACATTGACCTCTTGAAGGGCAATAATGTCATAGTTCTGGATGCACTGAGCAATGGCAGCAATTTTAACCACACCAGCCTGGCCGACATTGAGTGAGGCGATCTGAGTCATGGCGATGGTCCTGAGGCACGGGCAAAACTTTCTGCAACATTGAAGAGCGAGTCAATGTCAGAGGCAGCAAAACAGGCGATGGACGGATCCTTCTGTTTGAGCATCTTGTGTGCTTTTGTACGATCACGCTGGAATGCTTTGAGAGCACGCTTGACGAACTCGGAATGGCTTCGTTTGGCACGACACTTGTGTTTGAGTGCACTGGAGACCTTGTCATAGAAGGCCTTGCATTGCTTACAAACCCAGGTTTTCTTGAGGCAGAAGGAATCTTTTCCGCTGCGCTTGAGAAACAAAGGTCTCTTGGAATGGTGCCAACGTGCACAATCAAGTTTGGTGATGGAGGACGCAACACCTTGATTGAGGTTCGTGATGCGGATGCGATGATTATAGGCCGCATTGCGGCCTTTCATGCACAAGTCCTTGACCCATTCACGGCGGGGGCGATCTGGATGCTTGGCAAGACGATGTTTGGTGGCCGCCTTGCGCAAAATTTCCCGGCTGTGCTTTCCCGCTTCGGCGCTGGGGACGCCAAAATTGCACCAAGGGCACTTCCACACAGCGTGCTCGTCTTTTCGAAGGCGGCGCATGTCAACATGGTGTTCGCGTTTGCCTGGGAGGCCTTGACCATTGTGATGGTGCAGGAGGTGACCCGAACGAGCACCGCAGGCCTGTGCCACGGTTTGACAGCGACATAAGGGCACAAGGGGCATGCCCAGCGATGTCCACCAGCATCATCTTTGGGGAATGTTTTGCTTCCCCGCCGAAGGTAGCGCTGCATGCCATGGTGGTCACCGCATCGGCCTCGTCGATGTCTTGGTCAAGATCACCGACACATGCTTCATGGGCGAGGACGATGCTCAACCGAACCAGATGCAGTCCAGACGGTGGCAGCACGGCGATGCGGTTTGGTGAACACGGGACGTGACACGAGACTTCTTTGCGGATGCTGTGAAAACGGTGGACGCGCGTCCACCACCTCGTGCAGGCACACGCGGCGGTGGGGTGCTGATGCCGACAAGTTCTTTGCACAGCTGACCCTCAGGCTCGAGGACATCGAAATGTGCCATTGAAATGGATCACAGCAACATGTTCCCTCTGTTGGGCATGGACGGCAAAAACTTCCAGGTGAGGTGACTGCGGGAAAACGACAAATTTTGTATCATACATGCGGGCAATGGCTTGCAACTCAAAACTGCTGCCCCACGTCTTTGGCTTGGCCATGGCGTTACAGTAGGCGTCAAAGCTGTCTGCTTTGGAACCATCGGGCATTTCACCATCCCAATCATGGATGTAGCGCTGGTCATGTTTGCGCAAATGGCTGACACATTCTGCACGAAGGTGGTGGTGGTCGATCAACTCAGACTTCGTCAACTTGCTAATGCAGTATGCAGCAGCATGAAAGAGACAGTTTCCATCTTGGGGCATGTCTTTTTTGCTCATTCCTTTAGGCAATGCACGCTGTTCGGCGCACACTTTTTTGGCATTGGCTGGGGCCAGGTTGCCCCCACTGGCCTTGGCACTGGTGCGGTCTTCCGGTTCAGCGCCACCCTCGGCGGCTGCTAGAGTGGCCACAGGCGATGGTTCAGTCTTGTTAAACAGGCAGTGAGGTTTTGGTTCGAATGGTTTGGGCAGCAACCGACTTGCGCGGCGGCGCCCAGCGGGCTCATAATGCGAGGGTTCCATCATCAGATGCAACAGGCAGGGCAATCAAGTCGTGAGTGGAAGTGGTTGAGCCACGGAACACGTAGTCATAGTCATGTCGCCGTTTGCATTGGCGAATCATCTCTACGTCTGTGAACAACTGTTTGGCTGCATGCGTGGCCTGCTCAGTCGTCCAAAAACGGGGCACACCTTCGAGGATCCAGATACGTGAAATGGGCGAATCGGCATCTCTTTTGACGCGTCGCCCCACTTGCTTGGTTCCACACACAAGGCCATAATCAGGGCCTGTGTCACGGGCACGCTGGACATAGGCGGCAATGGGCTCGTTGTCAGGCTGCTCTATAACCATTCAATTTTGTTGGCAGGCATGGGATATGAGCGAGAAGGATTGATGAAGCAGCCGGCACCACTGGCCAACAGGACAGCCAGTGCATCACGCTCATGCACTTTGCACAATCCAAAGATCTTGGCCGGGGCACCCTTTTGATGTTCCTTCTGCCAGCCCCAACTGTCCATGGCCTTGAGATGCCTTTTGGCAAGCCATGCGTGAAAGAACTTCTGAGGGTTCTGAGTCGCTCGCTGCCAATCGTCAGGGCTGACAAACTTCTGGACGATCTTGACGTACAAAACGGCGAAACGCACTTCTTCAACCTTCTCAAGTTTCTGACCCTTGTGCTTGGGTCCCGGCACAGTCTGACCAGGGGTATGGACCCGAGTAAACACTGCTTGGCGGAACGTAGGCTTGCCGGTGCCAACGTTGGTGCCTGGGCATTTCTCAGCACCAGGTCCACTGCCAAGGGTAACGCACAAAACGGCATGCAACTTCTCGGTGCCTTTCAGGAGCTCCTGCAAGGTGTCACGTTGGTCAGGAGTACACAAAACCACAGCCTTGAACACTCCTTTGGCTTCAGTCAAGCTTTTTGCCATTTGATCATGTTCTACGACTGGTGCACCCCAGTCTTCACTGCGCAGGCACCATGGCTTGACAGGCATATGGCGCCGTGCAATGGTGGTCCACCCATCATTGCCACTTGCTTTGGTGCTAGGTCCGGCAACAGGCGCCGGTACCGCAGGAGTCATTTGGACTCCTTTGCCCTTTCCTTTGCCCTTGTCATTGCCATTGGGCTTGGTCGTGGCAACAGGGGCTTTGGCAGGAGTCAGAGGTGACTGCACTACGACGGACCTGCTTCAGCTTCAACTTTTTGCTTTTGGCCGGCTTCTTCGGCTTCTTTGGCTTGTCGGAAGGCCCCAAGACGGGAGCCAGGTTGAAGCCATCTCCTCCAAACATCTTCCCCATCAGCTCTTGCAGCAACTGGCGAAGCATGTTTTCCAACATCGGTTGCACTATTTCCATAAGTCCAGCGGACATGGTGGCAGTGTCAGTGTTGTTTGCATCTGTCTTTTCACGACGAAGACGCTCAGTTTTGCGTGAACCATGGGGTGTTGGATGCGCTTTGCCAGGTTGTAGATCAATCCCACATGGGAGGCCTGAACCGCTGATAGTGAAGCGCCCTCTGGCAAGACAGCGCGCTCCAGAGCTGCCGAGACCACATTCGCCGGGAGGACCGCCAGCAACCGTAAGTCTTCCCCAGGATCGCCTGCTATCTGCGTGAAGCTGGTCCAAAGGTCCCCTAGTAGTCCATAGTGATCTCGGAGCTGTCGAATTTCCGTCATTTGCATCGCTGCGGATTGAGAGGGGTACATGGCTGACCGCGCACCCACCCAAACACAGCAACGCAAAAAGAAGCATCTTAAAATTGGTGGCTGGTCAGCCTTGAGCCAAAATGGCGTGACCAGCCACTTGCTTTTTGTCACTCAGAAAAACTGGTGTTTTTCTTTCACTACAATTTGAGTATGAGCATGTATGAATGTATTCAAGCAAACCAGGCCTGAATTGTAGGATTGATGCCTGGCAGAGCTTCAATCGACTCTCAGCTTTGCAAGCACATTGCAGATTGTTGCAGTGTTTCTGTGTTAGGGCCCAGTCAAATCTTCGTAAAGTAGAATCAGGAGGATGAACAGAATAAAATGGACCTTTGCATTTCATTTCAATGTCCTTCATTTTTCAGCTTGCAAAGGACTGCACTGCTGTCTCCCCCAGTCAGCCCATGCCGAGAAATCTCCACAGATCATCACAGATCTTTCTCCAAAACAGGCCGGTGGTACCAATCGGCACTTGTCCAGGTCCTCTGGAGCGTCGAGACCTCAACTGCAACGGACAGCGACATAGTGCCTTTTGCTGTGCCCTTGCTGTGCCATGCTGAAACTCTGCGATGTCTATGAGATGCTGGCCCTTTGTGAAAGGGGTGGCCTCCCTGGGAAATAAAACATAATGAAACTAAGGCCATTGATATAATATCATTGATATTATTCGATGTTGAAAACAAGTTTCAAACACTTCATTGATGCGGCATTCCTTCTACTGTACTGACCTCACAATGACTCATCTTGATTTCAGAGTATCCCTCCTCAAAGTCGTCAGGTTCGAGTCCTGAATAGTTCCTATCCAACGTCTCCAACACGCTCTAACTACCCAGTATTGTCTTGTTTTGATTTTTCCCGGCCTTTCCATCCCTGTTTAGACGTGGTCTTTGTAGACAGTTGCTTCATAGTAGTCTTCGGCGTTTTTATGGAATGCCTGGCCGTCACATGCGATGCGAAGTCAGTTTTCATCGGGAGTGGACACTTTAAGTTTCTGTTACGCTCGCAAATCTCCACATCCATGAACAGCTGTGCACTGTCAGACATCGTCAGGCAGAACAAGCAAGCAGTCTAGATCTGCGAAAGCCCTCTTTTGTATCATCTTGAGTCTTGAGCATTTGCTTTACTCCTGTCCTGAGAGTAGTACTCTCAGTCTGGAGGTCAAAGGGAGATTGAAGATGATTGGAGGCCCTCTAGGCAAGTAAGGCGCACTTATTCTGTCATGTCCTGCCATCGCAAGGACATTGGACTTGCACCCTCAAAGGGACCATGAGAATAGTCTTGCTGCAGCTTCTGGAAGCATCGAAGCATCTAGCAGCAGCCGCTTGCCTTCTTCTTCTTGCTCTTCTTGGGCTTGGAGGCCTTGGCCTTGGTCTCTGGGGCGGTGCCAGATGTGCCAGTGACCACAAAGCTCTCACGCGCCATGTCAGTCATAGCATGGCCCTCTTGCGGGGCAATGTGACCCTCTGGATGTGCCGTGACGACAAAGCCGGGGGGGAGTGCTTCGCCTGGTGCAAACCACTTCCCCTGGGAATGATCCAAGCCATCCATCATAGGATACCCACCATAGGGTGACGTCGTGTACATGCTAGGTTGCACTGCCTGCACCGAGGATGCTCCAACTGGAATGGAGTAGGGAGATGGAGAATACATCATTGGAGCACCCGGAGCACCTTGCATCACATATGCCCCTGGATCCATGGTGTAGGTTGGTGCGGCATCGGCATATACTTGAGAACCATCAGCCATGACATACTGGACGGGAGCAGTGTCTGCTGGGTACGAGTAGGCTGCCATGACTCCGCTTCGGCAATGATCGACGTGTGTCACCCAAAGGGCTTGAACAGATTTGAGCGGCTGCGGATCATCTGCATTATGAAGTCACATCAGTCACATCAGTCATGACTTGCGAACATGGCACAAGAAATCCATTACATCGAGCATTCTCCGACATGCCTACAAACTGTGAAGCATCTCAAAACCCATCTGCTAATTGTCCAAAACATTCCGAAACGATCAAAGGAAAAGGTTTTGCCTGTCCAAGTCTTGGAGGCTCTTGTGACTCAGCCTTCCAGCTTCAGTTCGGAACAAGCAACATGAGGATCATGAGGGACGGCACGGTCGACATCGTGACTTGTCACCGTCATGGAGCAAATATTGGATGATACAAACTGCAAACTCAATCAAACTCAGGTATCCCATCCAGTTGGTTAAGTCTTGCTGGTGCAGTTGACAATTCACACACGTTGTGAAGGATTTGCGATTTCACCGAAATGCAAACTGCAGAGCCCACCTAAACTGCTCCAGGATTCAGGTGCATTTGCAACTGACTGCAAGTCGTCCCAACTCGTCCGACATAGTCCCTATCCATCGCTATCCTGCTGCCGGTCACAAATTCCTCAGGATAATAAACCTATGTACACCACGGATCACCACGGTATATCTTTATAAATAGGGGAATGCAAACCAATGTCAACAAGGACAAATGAGAACAAACAAGGCATGGAGGAAGTATACGGGGGGCTCCATGTCCAGCGAAACCGCCAATCTCTCAAACATGCAAACAATCAAAAATGTCTCATCTCCATTGTCCTTCGCAGATCATGGGACAAATCCCGGTCTCAAAAAATCACAACTCATGGTTCCAAAACTCTAACTGCCCAGTATTGTCTTGTTTTGATTTTTCCCGGCCTTTCCATCCCTGTTAGATGTGGTCTTTGTAGACAGTTGCTTCATAGTAGTCTTCGGCGTTTTCATGGAATGCCTGGCCGTCACATGCGATGCGAAGTCAGTGTTCATCGGGAGTGGACACTTTAAGTTTCTGTTACGCTCGCAAATCTCCGCATCCATGAACAGCTGTGCACTGTCAGACATCGTCAGGCAGAACAAGCAAGCAGTCTAGATCTGCGAAAGCCCTCTTTTGTATCATCTTGAGTCTTGAGCATTTGCTTTACTCCTGTCCTGAGAGTAGTACTCTCAGTCTGGAGGTCAAAGGGAGATTGAAGATGATTGGAGGCCCTCTAGGCAAGTAAGGCGCACTTATTCTGTCATGTCCTGCCATCGCAAGGACATTGGACTTGCACCCTCAGGGGACCATGAGAATAGTCTTGCTGCAGCTTCTGGAAGCATCGAAGCATCTAGCAGCAGCCGCTTGCCTTCTTCTTCTTGCTCTTCTTGGGCTTGGAGGCCTTGGCCTTGGTCTCTGGGGCGGTGCCAGATGTGCCAGTGACCACAAAGCTCTCACGCGCCATGTCAGTCATAGCATGGCCCTCTTGCGGGGCAATGTGACCCTCTGGATGTGCCGTGACGACAAAGCCGGGGGGGATTGCTTCGCCTGGTGCAAACCACTTCCCCTGGGAATGATCCAAGCCATCCATCATAGGATACCCACCATAGGATGCTCCAACTGGAATGGAGTAGGGAGATGGAGAATACATCATTGGAGCACCCGGAGCACCTTGCATCACATATGCCCCTGGATCCATGGTGTAGGTTGGTGCGGCATCGGCATATACTTGAGAACCATCAGCCATGACATACTGGACGGGAGCAGTGTCTGCTGGGTACGAGTAGGCTGCCATGACTCCGCTTCGGCAATGATCGACGTGTGTCACCCAAAGGGCTTGAACAGATTTGAGCGGCTGCGGATCATCTGCATTATGAAGTCACATCAGTCACATCAGTCATGACTTGCGAACATGGCACAAGAAATCCATTACATCAAGCATTCTCCGACATGCCTACAAACTGTGAAGCATCTCAAAACCCATCTGCTAATTGTCCAAAACATTCCGAAACGATCAAAGGAAAAGGTTTTGCCTGTCCAAGTCTTGGAGGCTCTTGTGACTCAGCCTTCCAGCTTCAGTTCGGAACAAGCAACATGAGGATCATGAGGGACGGCACGGTCGACATCGTGACTTGTCACCGTCATGGAGCAAATATTGGATGATACAAACTGCAAACTCAATCAAACTCAGGTATCCCATCCAGTTGGTTAAGTCTTGCTGGTGCAGTTGACAATTCACACACTTTGTGAAGGATTTGCGATTTCACCGAAATGCAAACTGCAGAGCCCACCTAAACTGCTCCAGGATTCAGGTGCATTTGCAACTGACTGCAAGTCGTCCCAACTCGTCCGACATAGTCCCTATCCATCGCTATCCTGCTGCCGGTCACAAATTCCTCAGGATAATAAACCTATGTACACCACGGATCACCACGGTATATCTTTATAAATAGGGGAATGCAAACCAATGTCAACAAGGACAAATGAGAACAAACAAGGCATGGAGGAAGTATACGGGGGGCTCCATGTCCAGCGAAACCGCCAATCTCTCAAACATGCAAACAATCAAAAATGTCTCATCTCCATTGTCCTTCGCAGATCATGGGACAAATCCCGGTCTCAAAAAATCACAACTCATGGTTCCAAAACTCTAACTGCCCAGTATTGTCTTGTTTTGATTTTTCCCGGCCTTTCCATCCCTGTTAGATGTGGTCTTTGTAGACAGTTGCTTCATAGTAGTCTTCGGCGTTTTCATGGAATGCCTGGCCGTCACATGCGATGCGAAGTCAGTGTTCATCGGGAGTGGACACTTTAAGTTTCTGTTACGCTCGCAAATCTCCGCATCCATGAACAGCTGTGCACTGTCAGACATCGTCAGGCAGAACAAGCAAGCAGTCTAGATCTGCGAAAGCCCTCTTTTGTATCATCTTGAGTCTTGAGCATTTGCTTTACTCCTGTCCTGAGAGTAGTACTCTCAGTCTGGAGGTCAAAGGGAGATTGAAGATGATTGGAGGCCCTCTAGGCAAGTAAGGCGCACTTATTCTGTCATGTCCTGCCATCGCAAGGACATTGGACTTGCACCCTCAGGGGACCATGAGAATAGTCTTGCTGCAGCTTCTGGAAGCATCGAAGCATCTAGCAGCAGCCGCTTGCCTTCTTCTTCTTGCTCTTCTTGGGCTTGGAGGCCTTGGCCTTGGTCTCTGGGGCGGTGCCAGATGTGCCAGTGACCACAAAGCTCTCACGCGCCATGTCAGTCATAGCATGGCCCTCTTGCGGGGCAATGTGACCCTCTGGATGTGCCGTGACGACAAAGCCGGGGGGGATTGCTTCGCCTGGTGCAAACCACTTCCCCTGGGAATGATCCAAGCCATCCATCATAGGATACCCACCATAGGATGCTCCAACTGGAATGGAGTAGGGAGATGGAGAATACATCATTGGAGCACCCGGAGCACCTTGCATCACATATGCCCCTGGATCCATGGTGTAGGTTGGTGCGGCATCGGCATATACTTGAGAACCATCAGCCATGACATACTGGACGGGAGCAGTGTCTGCTGGGTACGAGTAGGCTGCCATGACTCCGCTTCGGCAATGATCGACGTGTGTCACCCAAAGGGCTTGAACAGATTTGAGCGGCTGCGGATCATCTGCATTATGAAGTCACATCAGTCACATCAGTCATGACTTGCGAACATGGCACAAGAAATCCATTACATCAAGCATTCTCCGACATGCCTACAAACTGTGAAGCATCTCAAAACCCATCTGCTAATTGTCCAAAACATTCCGAAACGATCAAAGGAAAAGGTTTTGCCTGTCCAAGTCTTGGAGGCTCTTGTGACTCAGCCTTCCAGCTTCAGTTCGGAACAAGCAACATGAGGATCATGAGGGACGGCACGGTCGACATCGTGACTTGTCACCGTCATGGAGCAAATATTGGATGATACAAACTGCAAACTCAATCAAACTCAGGTATCCCATCCAGTTGGTTAAGTCTTGCTGGTGCAGTTGACAATTCACACACGTTGTGAAGGATTTGCGATTTCACTGATATGCAAACTGCAGAGCCCACATGAGCCCACCTAAACTGCTCCAGGATTCAGGTGCATTTGCCACTGAAGGAGGCAGCTTCCTTGAGCAGAATACAAACAGCAAGACAATCAGCAAAACACAAGGCCCAAAAAATTGAACGCGGTTAGCATGATTCGACAACATACAAACACTCAAATCATCCGACATCTAGGATATCGTGATACCTAGGCCCGAGCCTTCCAAACAAGGCAATGCACGCAGCATCATGCAGCATCAGAGAGTCCAGGTCTTGAGACTCTCATGGTTGCGGTTTGGGTAGCGAGTAGCAAAAGCTCCGACAGGGAAGCGGGCAACACATGGACACATTGTCGCGTGGCAGTCTTTGTGGCGATGGCAACGATCCGTCAAACTTGTTGAGCAAACACAGAAGGTCAGATTGCTTCCTTTTTGTGGGAAAGCAGGCACACAAATCATGGGCCTAGCGCATCTGTCCTAATAATACATGTCTTTCACATGGTGCCACTAGATGCCAGTAGTCACTTAGTCAGGTGCTATATATCAAACTGTATCACACTGGAAATTCACTCGACAACCTTCCTGACCATTCACAATGGTCAGCACTTGCTAAGAGACGTGGCAACATGAGTTTGTGCTTTCCTCCTTGGGAAAGCCACTTTGAGAGGCTCGAGGGACGGCTATGAGCGAATCTCGGCGCATTAACTCAACTGCTTTGAGGTGTCGACTGCATCCAGATCGTGAAGGTTTGAATTGCCAAAATCCAACAAACATGCATTGTGTTCGGGACTGTGCGGTTTTGGAACCTTCGTGCAAAGCAGCGAACGACAAACGATATGTATAAATCGAAATTGGAAATTTGGTGAAACTCTCCATGTGAGACTCAATCCTCTGGGCTCAAATTGGCCAAGCTAATCCAGCCACGTTGGCTGTACAATACTCTGCTACTCTCTAGTATCAAAGCTGTCGAGGTCGCAGCTGCTTTTCCGGGACCGTCTGACAGCTTCGACACTAGGAGTAGAGTATCGTGTACAGCTGAAAAATGTTGAAAATAGATCAAGATGATTATATATATATCTATATATATATATATCCGCAATAGAGCCGCTGGGCTTATCAATACTTGCCATGTGTGGTGACCAAGAAATCCATAATGACATGTAACGACAAAACCAGCTGCTACTGAGCAACATGTCAAGTGATTGAATGTGTTGTGTACATTGTGACGCTCTGTCACTCAGGAGCGCTTGAAAATCAGAAGTTGCGCTCGAGTCTAACCTCTTGCCAATGGTCCTGGGCCAGGACCTGCAACAGTGGTACCAAAGGGATCCAAAGGGCACAAGACTTTGGGCTGAACCACACTGGGCACGGACACACGGTCAAGACACGTCTGTCAAGACTTCCAGTAAGTCGAAGCAAGTCTGGAAAACCCTCTCCATCACAAATAATTCTAGGGGATCCTATCCAAATTCAGAAGATATCTAAAACACGTTTATTAACGTGTCAACATAGCAAAAAATAATGTGAAAATATGTAAAAATGACGTCCCTCCAATTGCTGCGGTACTTCACCAAATCTTGACAAAGGATTTCTTCGGAAAAGTGCTGGGGGAGTACGAACTCTCACCATTAAAAAAATGGTTTGTTCGAACACACACATGTAACATCATATTATATTATATCATATTATATCATCACATCACTATCGTGCCTCCCATGGCCACGTTTGGATACATCTCACGCAGCATGGCACTCTGGGCCTTGAAGAGCAATCCGAATGGATCGCTGTAAATCAATTGCCACAGCCTTTGATTATGAATGTATTCAAGCAAACCAGGCCTGAATTGAAGGATTGATGCCTGGCAGAGCTTCAATCGACTCTCAGCTTTGCAAGCCATTGCAGATTGTTGCAGTGTTTCTGTGTTGGGGCCCAGTCAAATCTTCGTAAGGTAGAATCAGGAGGATGAACAGAATAAAATGGACCTTTGCATTTCATTTCAATGTCCTTCATTTTTCAGCTTGCAAAGGACAGCACTGCTGTCTCCCCCAGTCAGCCCATGCCGAGAAATCTCCACAGATCATCACAGATCTTTCTCCAAAACAGGCCGGTGGTACCAATCGGCACTTGTCCAGGTCCTCTGGAGCGTCGAGACCTCAACTGCAACGGACAGCGACACAGTGCCTTTTGCTGTGCCCTTGCTGTGCCATGCTGAAACTCTGCGATGTCTATGAGGTGCTGGCCCTTTGTGAAAGGGGTGGCCTCCACCTGGGAAATGAAACATAATGAAACTCAGGCCATTGATATAATATCATTGATACTATTCGATGTTGAAAACAAGTTTCAAACACTTCATTTATAATATCACTCACATTATTAATATATGGTTCAGTGTTCGCAACGAGTGGTGTCCAAGTCCAAACACCTCATTGACGCGGCATTCCCTCTACTGACCTCACGATGATCTCATCTTGATTTCAGAGTATCCGCAAAGTCGTTAGGTCATGTTAGGTCGAAGTCCCAAATAGTCCCAAGATGTTCCAAATATTCCCTATCCCTCCCTATCCAACCCCAGCCCTCCCTGTCCCTCCTTCGGCGAGGCCCAGTGGCTCCCAGTTGGCCTGTCGAGAATCATCACGAAGGTCCGCACCGAGTTATGGTTCTCTTTTGATTCATAGCATGGGTCTTTCATCCACTATGATTGGATATGATTGGCTGCACAGTAGAATATTGATGAATATTGCATGCTATTACACAACCCTGCAAACCCGTCAATTCTTTTGAACAGCCTGCACATTCAATCCACCACGGCTGATCAAAGGAGGTGATGCCTCGAGCAAATCTTGCTTCGCAACTCTGGATAGGACTGACACCACTAAGTACACAATAGTACGCATCATTTTGGATCTGCAGATGCGGTATTCCGTGATGGCGCCGCAGTTGCTGCGCACAAGACTTCTATAGATTTCTGAGGTGCTTGCCAGCATTCGACCACCCCAACCTAGCTATCTGCCAAGTGAATCAGCGTGCTGGATGGATCTGGATGGTTTGACATCAACAAAGGTACATAGATAAAGGCGCTAAACTGTTGTAGATCTAAACTGTTGTAGATATGCTGTAGCTGGGGTTCTTGGGTCTTGTGGTTGAGCTGTGTATTTGAAACAATTCTTTCGGAGTATTTCCTTGGTACATCCTGAGTTCGGAACCAACTCCACCTTTGAATCCAAGATTGACAGTTGAAAGATATTGCAAGGCATAGAAAATCATTAAAATATCGGCAAAGTATCGGATTGCAAGCTCGCCTCCAGAATCTCGCCGGTAGGATCTGGATGAGCGCCTCAAAGCAAAATCATCATCATTATTTAAATAATTAATAGATATAATATAAATATTAATAATATCATTAAATAAATTTAAATAATCCAAATTTGTTCCAGTTCGGTCTGGTGGTGTCAGAAGTTTCGACGTGTGCGGATTTTGGCTCCAAACCTCACCGCAATCCCTCGAGCTGGGGATGCAAATGGGCTTTCTTCCACCTAAGCTTTGGTGTACTGCACTTGCAAATGTAGGATGAATTTGTACCAGAGAAATCCAGCGAAAGAAAAAACAAGTAGCATCAAGCAGCTAAGTTATAAGTTATATGTACATATATGTACTTCTCAGATTCTCGTTGGTTGTTCACTCTGGGGTAGTGATGCAAAGAACGTTTTAAGATGTTTTAGGGTTAACGTCTCGGCAAAAGATCCAGTCTCAGCAGTTTTCACTTCCCTTCGCTCGCGAGCTCAAACCGTGCAAATCCGGCTTAGCGTGCACAAGTGCTATAGAAGCATAGGCTGCAACCACATAGTATAGAATGTACCGTAGCGATACCAGTACATAGTGACATAGTGCAACAAGACTTCGCAAGACTACTGGTAGCCATGACTAGCCTGAATGTCATAAAATGATACAAAATGGAACCGTGCGGGCTGCACCCATTCCACTCAGATTTGCACCAGTGCCCCCATGGCAGGTCTCCCCACTCGGCCTAAGCTTCACCGGACCGGAATCTGTTGACTCAATCATCACAAACTCCTCATGCCGCAGCTCAGCTTACGTCTTACCGTCTTGCGTCCTGCCTGGTCCAGGTCCTACGAGTTCACTGTTCTATTATGTTCTATTCAATACACAGTTTGATACGATATTATACGGTTATACAGCAGTCTACAACACTTTATACCAACAGTAAGTCGGAATCCTTCTTGAAAGGCCAAACGAACGCTGTAAAATGCTCTCAGAAACTATCAGCAACCTAAACATGTGCAGCCTTCCACTTCATTTTGGAGGCTCCCAGAAGATCTGTGCAGGATCCATGGCGCCAACGGTCGAAGGCTCAAAGCCACCAAGGTCCCAACCGTGATGCCCTACAGGAGCAACCGCTGCTGGAGTTGCCTTGATGTCGGTCTTGAAATATGTCCACTAAGAGTCACATTGAGTCCACTAAAACACGGAAAAATCAGCATCTGATGGCATCTCACCGCATACTTCAATATACTTTGATCACTCTGAGGTTCATACTTGTGGCATTCCCTGCCAGTGGAGCTGCAATTCCAAGCCATTCCAATTCGATAAATACGTGTCGATTTTTTTTTTTGTGTCGATGAAGCCACAACTTTTGAGGTCACTGCAGAGAAAGGAGTGTTGTGGTAGGAGACAGCATAGGCCTGCAGGGTTTATGACATCCTAAAGGACAACAGACTTCTTCAACACCATCCAGGGTTTCGAGTCGTCGAGCCACATTGAGAAAATGATAGAAACTTGTTTGACAGATTTACTGTTTTCGTCATGCAACTGTTGAAATGCTTCAACATCAGCAACTGTCTGTGTTTGTCATGCTGGTTGGAATCTGACCATTGTTTCGATGCAAGCATTTGCATACTTGCGGATCTTGCGGTCGATTGACATTGTGGTCATTTCGTATAATTTCATCTCATTGTCACAGATGTCCCTACAGTACTCAGTACTGCTGAAGCAGGCAAGGCCTCTGGGATCTCTGAGCCAGCAATCATCCTCGTCGACCGTCACACGCATGCATTGAAACAAATACCAATTGATGTTGGTATTCCGCATCCTCATGGTCATCATTGTCGTCACCATCATACCACCCAGCATCAGAAACCGGTGCCAAATGGTGCCAGTAATCAATGATAGTGACCATATGTGACCATCATCAGCAGGAGCAGCAGGTTGAGTGCTGATGCCGGCCTTGATTGCCCTTGCAAAAGCTCCGACAATGAATCGGCTGGATGCACACTGGAGCTGCCTGCGACATCTGCGACTGGTTCTTCCAAGGTGACCAACATTTGAACAACGCTGATTTGCAGGTGGCCTTGGCCTGATGGACATTGATGGAAATTGAGTGTGGATCTTTCATGATGAAAACCATTGAACAATATTGAACATACGTCCCTAGTTCCATCATTTTCCATCACTTGCTAGGCCTGAGGCACTCGGTTGAGCAGCTTCAGGTGGCTTCTCGCCCCAAGTATGCATGTCCTGACAGCACAAGGCGGCGCATCCGCTCAGAATCAAAATAATTCAAAGGTCTTCAAAGAAACTGATCACAGCATGAGCGGTCCGAAGCACCGCCGGTTGCAGGGCTGCCTGGCTACTCTGATTATGGATGGTGGTTCAAACGTCGAACAAGACTCTCTCAAAATCTTACAAATGATATGATGATTTATTTTTGCGTCATCAACTCTCCCTACACTACACCCCTTGTACAGCAATTAGGATATTGGGTGATTTCTCTGCAGCACATCCAATGCAATGTCAATCTGTGCTGTTGCCGGCATGACTTACAATTCAGCTGCCTGCGTCTGGAGCTTGAGCTTGATTGGTTCTCCAGTCTGTGCTAGTGGGATTCCTAGAAGCTTTGCTGGCCTTGGCAAAAGAAATCACCTTATGAAAGACTTGCAGTTGAGCTCATCATGACATGTCAAAGCGTTCTGCAAATAGATCAAATAGATCATCTAAATAATTATATAATGCGGAAACACAATTCTGCACTGGATGCCACACAAGTCCTGACGGCTCAGCACCTGACTTGACTGGCCCCGCGTGCGCTTCCAAGAGCTCCGCTCATGCCAGTTCTGGGCGCATCCTGGCAAATCCAAATATATGATGTTCATTGATATTCCTCGATCTCTGGATCGGCATCGCTTGCTAAGGTTTGAGGCGCACAAGACTGGATTGGAGGAATCAGGGGATATCGCGACATACGAGATACTTAGAAAAAAAGGAAACATCATTCTATAGATTTCTATAGTTTGAACAAAGGATGGCATGACTGGTTCCACCTTGGAGCTCACTCATGTTCTGGTCGGCTGGGGCGGTACAGCGGGAGCTTTTCTCGGCACATGCCGGTTTTGGCACAGCCAAGCCCAAGCTGCCGAGGCCCGAAAGAGGTCACTGCACTCTGTGCAGGCAAAATTGGACAGCACAGGAGGCTGTGAAAATGGATTAAATTTGAATGAATCCTTAAAATTTCACCTGGATATCAGTGGGCAGCGGAGTATTTTTCCTTAGTCTTGGGCTGTGTGATGCAAACTTGTTTGCGATCAATGTACAGTATATAAATCTGCATATGGAGACCACCAAAGTGGACAGCAGCACAGATATCAACGACAGCACAAATGGATCATGGCGTGGCGTTGATAAGATTTGAAAACTATGATGAAATGATGCTGATTTTGCTCAAGGAGCGTTCACTGGAAGGCGCCAGTGCTTCGACGTGCCATGATCAGCCTCGTGGATAGCAGTTGCAAACCACATGCAAACCTCAGCGGCGAAGGTCTGAAAGTGTCTCAGCGACGTCAACGGTGTGGGAAGTGTTTCATGTTTTTTCGGTGTTTTTGGATGTGTTTGGTGGGCAAAAACCCTGCACAAAAGGCAGGATCAAAGATCTCCACAGTCTTCAGAACAAGACACGGCAGTCTTGAAGAATGCAATGATTTTGTCACAGACTTTGCCACCAAAGTTTCGCTCGTCTCAAAGCGTCTGAGCTTCGAACAGTATTGTTGATTGCTCGCAGTGTTTTCAACGCAACCTCAATATGAAGGAGTTTGAAGGATATATGCATCCGTCCCGTCTACCCGAGTCTACCCCATCTGCCCCGTCCCTCTTTCTGCCCCATCCGTCCAAGCCATTCCAAGCCCCACCTCTGAGTGAACTGGAGGAGTCGCAAAGAGCAATGGAACCGTGCCAAGCACATACTGCGGCTGTCGCATGCCCAAAAGGACGCAATCCACCTCGAAGGGAGCGGTGAATCCCATGGAATGCAGCGGACCAAAGCCGCAAAAGCAAAATATGGCAAAGCAATGCAAAGCACCTGCGAAGGGGGGAACGAAGCCAGCATCCCATCTATCCCTATGTTCCCCAATACTTTTCACCCAGAGACTCTTCACCCAGAAACCCTTCTTGCACATACTTTTCACCCAGAAACTCTTCTTGCACATATTTTCACCCATATACTTTTCACCCAGAGACTCTTCACCCAGAAACTCTTCTTACAAATACTTTTCACCCACATATTTTCACCCATAGACTCTTCACCAAGAAACTCTTCTTGCACATACTTTTCACCCATATACGTTTCACCCAGAGACTCTTCACCCAGAAACCCTTCTTGCACATACTTTTCACCCAGAAACTCTTCACCCAGAAACTCTTCTTGCACAGATTGTTCACCCAGAAACTCTTCTTTCACATAACTACTTTTCTCTTCACCCAGAAACACATTTACCCAGAAACTCTTCTTGCACCCATATATACTTTTCACCCACAAACTCTCCTTGCACATACTTTTCACCAATATACTTTTCACCCAGAGACTCTTTACCTAGAAACTCTTCTTGCACATGCTTTTCACCCATATACTTTTCACCCAGAGACTCTTCACCCAGAAACTCTTCTTGCACATACTTTTCACCCATATACTTTTCACCCAGAGACTCTTCACCCAGAAACTCTTCTTGCACATACTTTTCACCCAGAAACTCTTCTTGCACATGCTTTTCACCAATATACTTTTCACCCAGAGACTCTTCACCCAGAAACTCTTCTTGCACATACTTTTCACCCATATACTTTTCACCCAGAGACTCTTCACCCAGAAACTCTTCTTGCACAGACTTTTCACCCAGAGACTCTTCACCCAGAAACTCTTCTTGCACATACTTTTCACCCATATACTTTTCACCCAGAGACTCTTCACCCAGAAACTCTTCTTGCACGTACTTTTTACCCATATACTTTTCACCCAGAGACTCTTCACCCAGAAACCCTTCTTGCACATACTTTTCACCCAGAGACTCTTCACCCAGAAACTCTTCACCCAGAAACTTTTCTTGCACATACTTTTCACCAATATACTTTTCACCCAGAGACTCTTCACCCAGAAACTCTTCGTGCACAGACTTTTCACCCAGAAACTCTTCACCCAGAAACTCTTCTTGCACATACTGTTCACCCATAAACTTTTCACCCAGACTCTTCACCCAGAAACTCTTCTTGCACATACTTTTGACCCAGAAACTCTTCTTTCACATACTTTTCACCAATATACTTTTCACCCAGATACGATTCATCCAGAGACTCTTCATCCAGAAACTCTTCTTGCACAGACCTTTCACCCATATACTTTTCACCCAGAGACTCTGCTTTCACATACTTTTCAACCATGTACTTTTCACCCAGAGACTCTTCACCCAGAAACTCTTCTTGCACATACTTTTCACCCATATACTTTTCACCCAGATACTTTGAATCCAGAGACTCTTCATCCAGAAACTCCTCTTGCACATACTTTTCACCAATATACTTTTCACCCATAGACTCTTCACCCAGAAACTCTTCTTGCACATACTTTTCACCCATATATTTTGCACCCAGAGACTCTTCACCCAGAAACTCTTCTTGCACAGACTTTTCAACCATATACTTTTCACCCAGAGACTCTTCACCCAGAAACTCTTCTTGCACATACGTTTCACCAATATACTTTTCACCCAGAGACTCTTCACCCAGAAACTCTTCTTGCACTAATTTTTGATTTTTGCACCCATATACTTTTCACCCAGAGACTCTTCACCCAGAAACTCTTCTTGCACTAATTTTTGCACCCACATACTTTTCACCCATAGACTCTTCACCAAGAAACTCTTCTTGCACATACTTTTCACCCATATACGTTTCACCCAGAGACTCTTCACCCAGAAACTCTTATTGCACAGACTTTTCACCCAGAGACTCTTCTGGCACATACTTTTCACCCATATACTTTTCACGCAGAGACTCTTCACCCAGAAACTCTTCTTGCACATACTTTTCACCCGTATATTTTCACCCATAGAATCTTCACCCAGAAACTCTTCTTGCACAACTTTTCACTCATATGCGTTTCATCCAAAGACTCTTCACCCAGAAACTCTTCTTGCACATACTTTTGACCCATATACTTTTCACCCAGAGACTCTTCACCCACAGGAACTCTTCTTGCACAGACATTTCACCCATATACTCTTCACCCAGAGACTCTTCCGCCAGAAACTCTTCTTGCACAAACATTTCACCCATATACTTTTCACCGAGAGACTCTTCACCCAGAAACTCTTCTTGCACAGACTTTTCACCTATATACTTTTTCACCCCGAGACTCTTCACCCAGAAACTCTTCTTGCACATATGTTTCATCCATATACTTTTCACACAGAGACTCTTCACCCAGATACTCTTCTTGCACATACTTTTCACCCATATACTTTTCACCCGATACTTTTCATCCAGAGACTCTTCATCCAGAAACTCTTCTTGTACATAGTTTTCACTCAGAGACTCCTCACCCAAAAACTCTTCTTGCACAGACTCTTCACCCAGCGACTCTTTACCCAGAAACTCTTCTTGCACATACTTTTCACCCATATACTTTTCACCCAGAGACTCTTCACCCAGAAACTCTTCTTGCACAGACTTTTCACCCACATACTCTTCACCCAGAAACTCTTCTGGCACATACTTTTCACTCATATACTTTTCACCCAGAGACTCTTCACCCAGAAACTCTTCTTGCACTAATTTTTGCACCCATATACTTTTCACCCAGACTCTTCACCCAGAAACTCTTCTTGCAAATACTTTTCACCCACATACTTTTCACCCATAGACTCTTCACCAAGAAACTCTTCTTGCACATACTTTTCACCCATATACGTTTCACCCAGAGACTCTTCGCCCAGAAACTCTTATTGCACAGACTTTTCACCCAGAGACTCTTCTGGCACATACTTTTCACCCATATACTTTTCACCCAGATACTTTGAATCCAGAGGCTCTTCATCCAGAAACTCTTCTTGCACATACTTTTCACCAATATACTTTTCACCCATAGACTCTTCACCCAGAAACTCTTCTTGCACATACTTTTCACCCATATACTTTTCACCCATAGACTCTTCACCCAGAAACTCTTCTTGCACAACTTTTCACTCATATGCGTTTCACCCAGAGACTCTTCACCCAGAAACTCTTCTTGCACATACTTTTCACCCATATACTTTTCACCCAGACTCTTCGCCCAGAAACTCTTCTTGCACATACTTTTTACCCAGAAACTCTTCTTTCACATACTTTTCACCAAACTCTTCACCCAGAAACTCTTCTTGCACATACTTTTCACCCATATACTTTTCACCCAGAGACTCTTCACCCAGAAACTCTTTTTGCACATATTTTTCACCCAGAGACTCTTCACCGAGAAACTCTTCTTGCGCATACTGTTCACCCATAAACTTTTCACCCAGACTCTTCACCCAGAAACTCTTCTTGCACATACTTTTCACTCATATACTTTTCACCCAGAGACTCTTCACCCAGAAACTCTTCTTGCACATACTTTTCACCCAGAGACTCTTCACCCAGAAACTCCTCTTGCACAGACTTTTGACCCAGAGACTCTTCACCCAGAAACTCTTCTTGCACAGACTTTTCACCCATATACTTTTCACCCAGAGACTCTTCACCTACCCAATGTCCTTCTCTCTCCAATCTCCTCTAACTAGCTGGCCCATCTATCTGTCCATTGACTGAGCCCAGAAACCCCCAGAAAACCGGACCTAGGGGGAATCGATACCCACCGTCACTGTTTTGCCGCCTGGTACATTACCCTGCCAAACCATACTAGCGGCCGGCCATTTTTACCACCCCCGTTTGGCAACTAACCCCCCCCCAGACCCCCTATTCTCACTTCGTTCGCAAATAGCAACTAGCCAGCTTCCCGGCTGGCTTTCGTAATTGAAAATTTTGAAAATGACATAAATTGACTAAGCCGACTAAGCACAGTCCTATGCACGCTATGCACCTGAGAAATCTCAAGCTGCAGTCAAGTATCCCCAGGTAGACTTGCCAATACTTTGACAGTTTTGCCTGCCAAATGTCCAGAAGCACCATCATCAGTGTTGAAAGGCGGAGAGCTAAGCTGGCCTCAGTGGCAATGCGGAAATGCCATGATATCCATGAAGTGTCTATGGATGTCTATGGCCATCTATGGCCTATGGTCTTGATGGTCTTGGGACCTTGGGAGACTTTAGCTTCGAGGTTTCCTGATGGTTCCTGTCTACGTGACAGACTTCATGACCCAACAGCAGCAAATCATTCTACAGCAAAGGTTTTGATGGCCTGTGACGGTGATTGTTTTTGTCTGGATTGAGTGCTTGTGAGGCAGCTCTACAAATGCATTCATTGCAGCTGGCACCAACATGAGCTAGCAAAGTCGCAGTTTGAAAGCCAAGGTACACAAGTTGGTTATCTTCTCCTCAATGGCATCACCTAAGCTTCAAAATCTCAATGGACACACCTTTGTAAATCAATCAAACAGTAGCATAAATTCATTGATAATATTTAGTAACTCTTGATGTTCACTTCTGCGTGCCCAATGGCATGCTTTCCCAGCAGCTCTGAATTCCCTTAGGCTACTTCTTGTAAATGTAATATGACTATAATTGACTATATACATATATATAGTTATATACTACATATATATATATGTATTAATTTCAGATTATATACCCATATATACCCTATTAATTTCAGAATGCTTATAATTGCCTGGCTGCCTGGCCAAGCAACAATTGTCCAATTGCAGCTCTGAGAAGGAACGCACATCGCAATCAAGGGATGAAAAGCGCAAGACCCCATGGGATTCCTGCGGCAGGGGCAATCAGGGGCACCATGTACGCTTCGCATGGTTTTGCTGTCGCCGGCTCGGGCTATGACCCGTCCAACATCGTCCAACCGATTGTCTGAGTTATAAAAGATTATAAAAGAATTTCGTTTGCAACTGCAACCGTCAAATCAGAATGCATCTGCCTTGTAGGTCACAATCCTCCACAATCTGGTGTCTGGTCCACGAATCGCTCGTGGACACTCGAGTGATCTTATTGAGGTTATTTGCTCCCATTCGTGTATGTTGTTCACAAACAAGAAACCCAGCTGTCATACAGTCAGTATCGGTCAGTTAAATCCATCGAATGCACTTGGGAGTGCGTCCGTGACTTCAGGCCTTGTAGATACCATCCAGCGGTCGATTGATCAGACTGAGCTGATGCAGGTTGGCGAAAGGACATACAATGTTTCTTGAACATTCTTGAACAGTTTTGAACCATCTTTCAACATGTGACAACATGTTTAACATGTTTCAACCGTGCTCAACCCAAAGATTGTCAAAGTCTGCACTTCATTGCAGATCCTGCCAAGACACGTGGCCAGGCCGTAATTTCTTGCTGCCTGAGACATGGCAAGACTTGGCCAAAAAGGATTTCAGAGCCCAAATTCCGCTGCCTCGAACAAAGTTGGCGCTTCCACCGCAGACTTCGAATCTACGGCTGACCCATCGGCTTTGCGAGGCACATGGCCTTCGCTCTCGCAGCATCACCACAGTTGATAGCTGATGATCCTCATTTTCATCTGCTTTATATAATATATTAATATATTATATAATCATATATAATCATCTTTAATCGAATCTGCACTCACTTTCACAAACACATCCCAGCCTACCCACATTGCGTCAGCCTGCAAGAATTTTCCGAGTTATCAAAAGTCTGGAGGATTGGCAGATTGATTTAGCATGATTTAGCGGAGGAATGAGATATGCAGGATGCTGCCGGCGGTCAAGTCGGTCAAGTACCTCTGCAAAATTCAATGGGAATTGCAAAATCCTGAAATGGTGGTTCTTGGGCAATTGCTTCATGACCTTAGCTGGCATCCAGCATCCATCAGCAGTGTGTTACACAAGTATATATAATATAATTAGATATAATTATGTCACAAGTTACATGGCAAATTCAACAAGCAAACGATGTAAACCTGGCTCTTACACTCATCTCCCTTACCAAGCATGCACCAAAACTGTATAGCCCGAGCAGGATGGGAAGGCATATATAGCCAAAAACAATAATGTTTTAAACACAAACTAGATGGACAGATGGACGGTCTGTTGAGAACTGGTTTGTGCCGAAACCCATGAAAAACCTGGATTGGCCAACAGCGGACCAGGGCGCTGGGTGGCTTAAATATGCTAAAATACAACCCAAACCCTTGCCATACCAAAACAATGCTAGCATCTGTGCAGGCAAAATGGGAAACTGTCAGAAGTTGGGCAAATCTGTCGCCTCGAGCATCGTTAGGATTCCCGACCATGGACAAGTCCAAGTGTTGAGCATCGGTAGGTCTCAAGGGCATGAAGGCTGCAGATAAGCCATACATGGCCTGAGTCTGCAGTTCACAAAGATATGGGCGATGGTCCATCAGGTTGCAAAATGGTTCACTGTCCAGAGCTCAAATCGAACCTTTTTGTCTTTCAAAGGTGACATGTCCTGCCACAACTTGTACACAGAGGTCATGCAATTCATGACTGAGCATCGGTGAGAACACTGTGGAAGGAATTGCAGAATAAAACAAATATGTACAATGTACAAGTGCATCTGGTTGAGCGGGGAGAAAGCAGCTGGTTCAAGATGCGCTGCTGTTCTCCATTCACCATCAGCCAGGCTGTTACCAGCTGCCCATTGCAACTAGGCTATCGTGAGATGAGCACCATCTCACACAATTTTCAGGCAGCACTGCCTAAGAATATCTAATAATTGACTGGCTCTACACAGTCGGCCTGACCCCATGTCATCAGAATGTGATCATTCTCACCACATCCACCACAGATCATAGCGGCTTAGCGCATTTTTCCAGGGTCCATGGCCTCCAACTTCCATGTCGCCGTGATTTCACTGGTCCATCCCGAAGGAAGATTTCAACAAACGAGCTGCTCCAGCAGCTTGGGCTGCGGCACTGGCTGCCGTGTTGGCCATGGCTTCGTAAGCAAATCCTCCAGCTTCTGAAAACATCTGGCCCACGGCCTCAGACGTCAACCGTATGGATCCATATCGTACCATATACCGACACCGACGAAAACACGACAGCGACATACAGCAGCAGTGTATAAGTGTGAACAGAAACAGAGTGGAAAAGAGGGCATCAGATAATAGGTTTTAAAGAATCTTAATCGAGGTATTCTGGTACCGATTGTTCAACGACTCCTGTAGAACTCCTGGTGGATCTTCCTCTAGTTTCAGTTTCGCTAGGCACAGCAGAATGGAAGGATGTTATCGATCAAGGATATTGCTACTGCCACGACCCATTCTGGGGCTACACTTCACTCACTTCTAGAGGTTGTAAACACTTGTCATTTCAGGAAGCAAACAATTCTCGCACCGTATAGCACTAAGGCCTTGACACTCTCAACCGCAGCTTCCGCTCGGGGTTGCCAGCCAGCACGGCGAGCGTTTTGCTGCCACCCAGCACTCTCCTTCTTCTTTATCTGAGCCTGCACAGCCTGTCCTTCTTCCAAAATCACTCGGTTCTGGAAACCCGTGAAGCGCGGCAAGACATGGGAGCAAATCACTGCTGAAGCAACAGGTTCACATCGTGATAGAACACTTTCAAAAATGGGTGAATCTGATATAGTCTCAAGAGCAACTTTCACCAGGTGAGGTTTGGCCGGCTCTGGGCACAAAGCTGCCTCTATCAGAGAGTAAGGCCGACCACTACCACGACCTTCCGGTGCCAAACTCCAGAAGTATAGCTGAACAGTTATATCCAGGGCCAAGAGCTTCATTCGGAAGACCCATGGATTCGAGTATCCTGGGACCTTCACTTCCATCTGCACATATGGAATACCTGGAGCGGCTGCACACTCTGCGCACAGATTCAGGCCAATATTGTAGCACACCACACCATCACAGGGGGAATTGGCAGATCGAACAAATGTAACCTCCGGAGGCTGCGCGCCGAGTTCAACAGCTGTAACCACACCTTGGAAATGTCGTTGATTCACTATAGTTCGCATGCGTATCCAACCAGGGCTCAACAATTGCTGTAAGCCAACAGTTGACTTCACGTCTGCATCAGGACTATCAGCTGCAGCTGTCGAAGGTCTTACAAAGGATCCCAATTGTCGAATGTATGAGCACACCATCACCAAAGCAAAGCCCAGGACTATGTTGACAGCGAGCAAAGCCAGGAGTAGGGAGAAGGATGGTCGCCAAAGAACAAGCAAGGAGCAAACCAAGACGGCACCGGCCACTTTCGGGTCTAATTGGTCTAACTTGCTTTCTGGACTTGTCTTTTCATCTGCCGCACCAGAAGTATCTACTTTCTCTTTTGCAGAAGGTTCGCGTTGAGGTGTCTCGGACAATTCTGGCAGTTCCCATTCGCTTGTTGAACCTGTGCCTGTACTGTGTTTTCCACTGAGTTTCTCTGGATCCTGATGCCCTGGAAGTTGCACCGTTTCTGATGCTGCAGGAGATGAAGATGGTGCAGAGTTCCCTCGTGGTTTGGGCAAGCGGAGTTTCTGCAGAGCAGTCTTGATTGGTGAATCTGGTTTGTCCATCTCAAAAATTCTTAAAACCTAAATGAGTCTGCCTTTTTCGCCTGAGATCTGCTTGAGCAATACTTGGATATCACAGGCCAGGTGCTGTTTGCTGGCAATAGTCAAGTCAACACGCTTTGCATTAGCAACCAGCTGGAAACTGACTCATGGCAGTCATTACTCAATTATACTCAATTCATCTCAATTCATTGCAACCTGCCTGCCTTGGTGTCCAACAGTCTAACACATCTTGCTTTTGTGATGCAATGGATTACCAGATTGATGCTTTCATTGCTTCCAGATTGCGCCAGATTGAATGCGGAAAAAGGTGCATTTTCCACACGCAGCCGTGTCGAAAGCTGTCAGAGGCGACTCAATCCAGTAGCTCTCTCAGTTCTCAGTCATGGCAAAAATTATGATTGTCATTGCCCTCGTTGTGGCCCTGGCGCCAAAGATATCCAAGGATGCCATTGTTTTCATACATGCTCCCATTTTGGGAGAGGCTGGCGAACGGTTTTTGCATCTGGGTATGAAAACAATTGCATCTTTGGCGCCAGGGCCACAACGAGGGCAATGACAATCATAATTTTTGCCATGACTGAGAACTGAGAGAGCTACTGGATTGAGTCGCCTCTGACAGCTTTCGACACGGCTGCGTGTGGAAAATGCACCTTTTTCCGCATTCAATCTGGCGCAATCTGGAAGCAATGAAAGCATCAATCTGGTAATCAAGAAATCTCAAGATGGCTTACTTTAAGAATTCTACAAAATGTTCACGGAGTTCCAAGCACACGCCGTGAGACGCAACATGCTCTATATGCAGGACTGGCATCGGTGACATCTGACAATACTGTAGCATGTTGCATCATGTTGGTATGTTTTTATTCCCCCCAGTTGCAGCAAAGTGGCTATGCGGCCTTTTGCAACTTCCTTCTCAAGGTGCTCAAAAGCATCTCCTTGGATGAAATCACGGACTGGTTTCTGGATGTTTCTGGGATACCAGAGCTTGGCATGCAAGAGGTATGCTCATCAATCGGAGATGTGTCTGCTTGCATTGTAACATTGTGCGGTGTGTCCCGAAAATGTGAAAGCACATCTATGCAGTCAAGGCGCGTATTCTTGAATAGATCTCAGTCATGTCCATACCTGCCTTGCTCTGATACTCTGGGCAGTGCAAAAGCAGGCAATCGACACTCTTCAGCCTTGGACCACATGCGGAGAGTGGTCCGATGTCATGAGCACAAGGTTGAACGGGCAAATATCCAGTGCATCTAAATCTATCGTGATATATCATGATATTTCATGATTCTGAATCATGATTTATCTTATCAGTGATGTATGATGATTTACAGTACGCCATTGCCAATAGAAACACACAGAAACATTGTGCTTATCTGTACTGGCAAGGAACTGGAGTCGCTCCAGGCTTCGGGTCAACTCCTGGGGGTCTCAAGGCAGTAGTGAGAAAATAAAAGCTTTAGATGTTATTGTATAAGAGTCTATATGTTACATTGTATATTATAATTATTATATATATTATACATAACATTATATAACATATCGGGCTGTCTAAAAACCCCGATATCAATCAAATGGTGTTTCCACGCGTTATCGTTTTTTTTCCTCTTATCGTTTTTCCAAGTGCTGGCTTCACACCCTCATGAAACAATTCATATTGTGTTTTCTTTGTGAGATATCACCTTACAACCACCAGCTTCACATCTTTTCTTCGGGGTTGGAATGATGCGATCAGCTACTGGAGCTACTGGAGCATGTCCCATAAAATCCATAAACAATATATAATGTATATGTATGAGCATCGTTATCGTTTTTTTCCTCCTATCGTTTTCTCGAGTGAGAACTACATATGGCTAATGGGGGATCATGGCATACTAAACGAATAGGTGCCAGGTTATTATACTATCCCATATGTATATCATATCATGCCATATAAATATGTTATATTATATATTTTAGCAACTATTATAGTAAGCTTTAGTGGAAAAAACACGTTTCATTCCATCAACACCTCTTTGCGGTGCCGTGGAAGGTGATTTTCATAGTGTTCCACGATGTTCCACGCCTGCTGGATCCAAGCTGGCGAGATGCAGTGGTACAGGCCTCAGAAACATTCAGCAACAGGCCATGGCCATCCGATGCAGTGGCAATCTTTTTCATAACTGTCAAAACTGAATCATAATTGAGTCATAACCCATGCATTGTACGATTTCTTGTACGACATTGTACAATATTGTGCGATATTGGACAATATTGTATGCGCGTGTTGTTGATTCAAAAACTAAGCTGTTGCCGCTCCAGCCATTCCCAGACGAATCAGACTATAAATATCTATAAATGTGCAATGAATGTGAGGTTTTGCTCAATCGTATCTCAGCTCAGGACTCTCATTGATCTTGGCCATGTCGGGCACACCCTGAACAAATTTCATCTGCTGTCCCAACACGTTGCCGACCTGCACTGCAAAGCTTGAAACTGCACTCTGACTTGATCAACCTGTTTTCAACCTGTTTGTCATTGTGTAAAAAGGCTTGGTCTCACTGTCATGTATTCTTGAGAGAGACAGGGAGAGGAGCTGCGAATGGTCTCCAACAGGAACAACAACACTCGTGTGATTGATCGATAAATTATGACGAATCATGACACAATTCAATAAATCTATACGGACACTAATAGTTCTAATAGCTTGACCTGGCCTTTGTAGCTACAATGATCTCCTCTCGAGCCACCTGCACGGGTCGCGACGCGAAGTGGAACCTCTCCACTGCCACAAGCTGTGCAATTGGTGCTACTCAATTGCTTCAAAAAGCATCAAAAAGCTGTTTTGATCCGTCAAACCATCTATAGAACCAAAAATGCAAAAAAATCAAGGAGGCGATAGACGGATTGCTGTCCAAGTTCTGCCAGGTCCTATCTGCAGTCCGCAGACACTATGTGAACCTTCCCTGAACAAGCTGTCAATAGCTGTCACATTTGAAAGCGGGCACCTTCCGCTGCTGCATCATTTTCTGCAGCACCTCTCCAGCTACCTACACTTGGCGAAGGAGAAATAAGGAGAACAGTTGACTTCCTCTCCGCATGAATATGTTGAACACGAGGACAAGTCCGGCGTCAGCCACACGAAATCGCCTTTTCAGCTTCACCATCAGTGTAGTTTGGTGCCAGATCAACCTTACACAAAAATGGCACTAACAAAAAAGAGCATGTCTACATTTCTACATGATAGCGTGCCTGCTGGCAACACAATAGAACCTGCCTGTAAACATCCAGAAGTGCAAGCGCTATAGATTTCTTGCAAGTGATTGTCGTGCGACTTCCCTTCTATTAGGATACCTGTAAGAACATGTAAGAACAAACTCCTGGTCAATGACATCATTTTAAGAGGTGCTAAAATTGAAGAATAAACTGAATAATGCAATGATATGCAATGTGTGATTAAATCTTTGCAATTTGAACATGTTGTGGACGGCAGTTGCAAACGAGCATCGAAATTGCAACCAAGAGAGATTGCTAGTTCCAGCGCCCCCTTGTGGGACTCTGTGTCCTGCAGTGCACTCCATGTGATGTTCACAGATGTTTCCAACTTTAAAACATACAAAGGATTTTAAAGCGTCTGAAAAGGGCTCAGGTGCTATTGAAGAACAGCAAGCTTGTTATTTTTGTTGAGCTAGCCATGCTGTATTTCCTAATCGTCTTGCTGCCCTCATTGCCCAGTCGCTGAGTAGTCCCTCAATGCAAAAAGGTCAGTGTCATGCAGTCCCTCCTCGAGCCGATGGCAACCAAATCCCACGGGGGAAATGAAAAGACCCGTCTCTCCCAGTGCACGGAGGTTGCCCCTGAGTCTCTAGCGGTAGACACGACATAGTAGCGCAATCAATTTAAAAAAGCGAAGCTCAGCACAGTTTCATCAAGAGGAGCGCAAAGCTGCAGGCAAGACTCTGCACCAACTTCTTCCTGACCTTGGCTCGATTACTCAAGTGGCCTGCTACAGTATGGCCTGGTGTGCAGCCTCAGATCTCGGAATTCTATCTATATAATCAAGCAATGACTGAGGCACTTTGGGTGTCCGGGGGAGACTGTCGAAGGTCTTGTCTCAAGGTTCTTGCAAGCCACAAGGAAGCTTTTTGTCCCTTCCGGCGTCGCTGAAGAGGAGCTCGAATTAGAAGATGCCGAAACCGCAGAAACCATAAGATCGGAGTACTCCTCAGTGCCATCCAAAAACTTCCAGTTTTGTTGCCAAATGGCAGCCAGTGGCTAGCGACAAACATTCACCGAGGATCGTAGTAGTCGTACCTCTCCCCCAGAGAAACCTTTAAAGGCACACAGTCGGAGCCGTCATCAGCAACCTGGTTCACGCGCGGCTTTCCGATCCCATTGCAAGTGAAACTACACCGCTGTTTGCTTTTGAAAGAATGCCAAAAGAGGTCTCTTACTTTGAATGCCAGCATTGCATGACCCCATCAAAATATATCAAAATTATCATGATATGGTCAAACGTTATGGAATTGTTATGGAATTGCTGCAATGCCAACCCGTTTCATCCCATTTCTATGACGCTTCCGATGGGCTTGCAGCTCCATCCAAGTCCGCACTGCAGCCGGGAAACCACTAGTCCAATATCCCCGACCTTCAGCAGCCCTGATGGCTTCGGAACACGAAGTTGGACATGGTCACCAACCTGAACAAATTATACATAAATTTACACTTGTCCACTTGTCCATGATCTGTTCAAGAAAGAAACAGCAGGCAGGAAAGAAGCTGACCATCTGGACTGGAGCAAAATCACAAAAGTCATCAAGAACACTTGCACTGGAGGCCTGGGGTTTTCTGTCAACTGAGGTTGCTTGACCTCAGTTCATTGGCCAGTGAAGGGTACACAAACAAGAATACAAATATCACCAGGCTTGAAATACATCGCTATGAAGCAGCATGCCTGATCTCTACACTTTGCACTCCACAAAAGTGCTGAAACAAGAGTTTCTTGTCGTTCTGACATAACATTCCATGACCCTCTTTCTTGCTGCTCGGAGACTTGTAGGGGCAAGAACAGGAGTCGCATGCGGATTCTCGCCGGTTTCAAAGCAACCTTGGCTGCACTGTCTAGCAGACCAAAGTCAAGAAGCCTTCCCAAATAGGCCGTGTCATATCCGATCATATCTATGACTGCTTGTCTGGCTGTTGCGTGTTATCTCTGAACAGGATCAAGGGAGAACCTTTGCATGGCAGTCAACCTCCAGAAGTTGTGAACCAGTTGTGAATGTATTAACGATGTAAACGAATGTAAACGATGCAAAGGTCAACAGCTACAGTACAAGCTCGATCGTGGAATGATGCCTTCTCAGAGAAATAGAATTTAAGGCTTCACAACTACAAAAATCAAAAAAAAAACATGTTGAGGTTGCTTCTGTGAGCTTAGCTCTATCTCATCTGATCTGGGATCTATATAGTAGGATGTGGCAAGGTACCGTAGGAAAATCGCTCATGTGCTGCAGCCAAGGGCTGATCTGCACCTTAAACTGACCAAAGCCCGGAAAAAAGAGAGATGCGTGAAAATACAGAAGGCATAGTAGGCCATGCATGGTCATGAAACGAATAAAGGTGTGAGATAGTCTGGTACGGCATCACAATGCATCACACCACATGACATGATTATGATGAAGGATAGTGATGATAAGATTACTATCCTAATTTATACTAATTTATACATATATCATCATATATTTATTCTACATATTAATTCACTATGATGCTGCATGATGCTTGACCCTTTGACTTGGCATGCGATGAAATGCAGTGCCACCTCGTTCTGACCGCTTCGCACCACGGCTCTCCAGGTATCCTGCAACCTCGCCCTCCGCACCATCCAGCGCAGTGCCCCAACCCTGCACTGGTTTGGTCATGCGTGGCGAAATCATCCCAAATTCATGGAAGAAGTATGAAGAAGTTGCTTGCAAAAATCTGGCACAATTCAACATATTTAACACAGCCCTTGAAGAATTAGATTGAACATGATTGAACAACAAAAACTTGAAATCTCTTAAAGACGGGTTTTTCCCAAAGCCGGGCCTCTGCTGCCAAGTTCACGTTTGCGCCATTGTCACACAAGGCACGCACACACTCCAGGTGGCCATAATGAGCTGCCAGGATCAAAGGTACCACGCAATCTTCGTTGCCTTCGTTGGGATCCACTCCAGCTGCAATCAAGGCAGGGATGGCCTCGCAGCTAACCCTTGGCATGCGGGGCACCTTGAAAGATCTTGAAAGTGCAGGGCACACTAGCTACTTGCATGGAACCCTATGAATCCTATGATACAATCCATACATCATCTAAAGATGATTGATTGATTGATTGCACTACAATTCATGAAGTATCAGGTCTGCAAATGGCTGCAGGCCTCTGCACAATTCCCGCTCGCTGCGTGGTGCAAGAGCGTAGAACCATCATCCGTCCGAACCTATCTGGGAGGCACATCTGCGCAGATGTGCCACCCAATACAAACCAGTCGACTCATATCTGGTGCAGTAGCATGTAACATCCTGTAACAACAAGTCAAGCTGGAAAACCTGGAGTTCTGGACCACTTATATAATCTTATATACACATATATACACCTCGACTGTGCCAACTTCGCCTGGGCATCGGCACCACGGGCCAGAAGCTCTTTGATGATGTGGCTATGGCCGCTTCTTGCCTAGGTGCGATTTGTGCCACACCGGTGACACCTTCCAACAGTCAGCGGTGTACACACCATATAAGGCATCTCTGCAGAAAAACATATCGTTCTCCAAGTCAAAGTCTTCCAAATTGGTCTTGAGTGGATGGCAGCCATGACAAGGGCTGTAGACCCATCATATGCCATGTAGTCATCAGGCTTGCTGCCTTCCTTCAGTGCCTTCAACAAGTTGTCGACACTAACAGCCACACAAATCACACAAATCTAAAAAACTCGTCTTCGCTCCTTTGCCCCGCTTTCCAAAGGAAAATACCCGACACCTAGCCAGACTTTCCACATTCAAAAGCTTCGGCAAAGAACACAACCTTTAAGTCCTGCTTAGCCCACTCACAGGGCAATCTGTTGTGCAACCCGTACCCTGTAAGACTTGTTTACTGAGACATAACGCACTCATGTGCACCCTTTGTTCTTGAGCTGTAGAGGTTTCAATAGCTTTTCTTTCAGTCTGTCCTGATGGCTACCAACGCATCACTGACAGATGGATACAGATGGGGCTTCATGGCCGAACAGCATCTCCATGCGTCCCCCACCTCTCGCAGGCTTTCAAGGTCGCCTTTGCGACTGTACTCATAAACGTCGTAACCTCACGGCAAAAGAACGCAGAGAGTGCTGCTGTCAAAAAAGCAAAGAGATCTCTGGTCATGGCTGAGAGCCAGAATCAAACTTGATAGAGGTTGGTCTTTAACATTCCGCTACTCCCACAGGGTGTGGCGAAACAGGCAAAAGCTGCCGCAGAACCTCTCAGAGTCACGCCTTTCTCCATCGACTTCGCAGCTTCCAAGCTTTCTAAAGCTATACACCGCGAAAGCTCTTGCAAGCTGTCTTAGCTTAGCGTTGGCTTTGAACCAATCTCAATTGCTGCGGCAAACCAGGATTGAAAAAGATCTCCAAGCACAGACCTTGCACAAGCACCATCGACCAGTATTGTCTGTAGCTCTGTTGCAGGTCTACGAGCAAGACCAATTAGAAAAATTAGACTTAACTTTGCCTCAATCAATTCCTGCTTGCTGACAGCAGGAAGCCGTCGAGGAGATGGCGACTGCCTGACACCAACGTCTGCATAAACTCCGAAACGGCAATTCGAAGTCTTATCAGTAGATTCAGTAGCAATAAAATTAAGAACATGCAATACATGGTACAAGTAAGATTTGCAAAGGTCCTTGATTCCTTGATGATCCTTGTATCAGTCTGTCAGTCGGAGATAATGCTAGGATTGCAGCACTCAATGTCTCGTAAAAGATCCCAACATTTCCAATACGGCTTGTGCATAGAGTTTCATCAACTCAATCCCGATCATGCTGGGTCAAGCTGGGTCAAGCTGGCTCCTCTGGTTGTCTCCCTCTGGCCTCTCAGGCCTCTCCTGGGTCTTGCGGTTGGGCGATGCCCCTCCTGCAGGTGTGCCCTTTGGATTGCGGTTCCTCAGTCGCACCGATCTTCAAAGGAGGTCCTCACATGTCCTCACTATCACAGCGAGTCCAGTGCAGCAATGGGATGCGCTTGGGCGTGAATGGTTCATCTAATGGTTCTATGCAAATCAGAATGGCACCCACGTTCTTCGGCACGTTCGCGCAACAACTGCTCACACACCTCATCCGCACTGGTTGAAGCATGCAAGATTTCAACATATTTCCACCGTCTCCATGTTTTTGATATTCTCGGAACAGATGTCCAAAAAGAAGCAAAATGAGCGCTAGGCTTTCACAAGGGACTGGATTTGTTCTCGTAGATCCGCATCTGACCTGAAGCAAAATGGGCTAACAAACAGTCTGCGCCGTGTCTGGTAAAATCATCCGCCAAGAGATGCTGCAGCTGGCTGATTAGCCTTCTGCCTCCGTTCACAAATCACAGATTCGTGTTGGAAATAGCAGTAGTTCGCAGTTGGGGAGCAGGGAGGGGAGGGGATGAGCAAGGATGTTCGCTTGTCCGGTCTTTACAACGTCCGCTTGGGCTGTTCCACTTGTTCCACTTTGAGGTGCTGGCTGTCTTGGACTTTCAGCAGTGGGGACCTGCCACAGCGTCAGAATAAATCCACTCCACAGCTGAGATGCTACAGCGTGTGCCTCTGCTACCGCCGCGAGCTGCTCCCCACGCTTGACTGGGACACGGCCTAGCTGGAGTAGATTCAATAGATGTGAGGGATGCCATGGACAATAGACAGAGACTCTGTAGCCACTGTAGCCACTTTCTCCCCAATTCCTTCAGTGAAGGTAGCATACATAAGACATAAGATGAAAAGTGTCTTCCCACTTGCCCTGCAACAGCATATACTTTGCTGCCTCCCCGTCTCGCTTCTTCCTCTTCCCTGCAAATTCGATTGCTCATGCATAATTTCAAGACGCGGTGCAGCTTGGAGTGCTTCAATCACAAGCTGAATTGGACAAAGTCTTCCACAGGAGGCATCAGCATGCATCAGCTATCTCGCAGTGTTGGCTGGTTATTAATTATATAACCATGTCTTGGAGTGATCAAAAAGCATCAAGAGGAAACGAATTGACATGAATTTACAGTAATTGAAAGGAGATAAACGGGTACAAGTATGATGCGGTTCAGCTTTCGGACATTCCCAACACCCTGTGAAATCTGCTGGATCTCCCCGCAGAGAATTTGCATGTGCTTTTTTAGATATACCATGATATTATACCTTTTACGCTTGCCAGCAGTGTCATTCTCCCTTTGATCTAACTGGCACTATGCTGGCCTTATCCAGCTTGCTGCTACAGCGGCACGTGCACGCATGTCCTCATAGTCAAAGAACTTGAGATAGGACGGGGCAACATACAGGAGGACTGCTTGCTCTGATAAATCTAAACCAATCGATAAATCTAAGCCAGTCGCATAAAGTTCATAAGATATGACCAACACACCTACTGCTTCTACGATAACAAAAGAAGATCCTGTACCACAGCAGGCAGTTGCTTCTGTCGCAGTATGAAAGCTGCACGGTTGTCTCGACATGTCTCGACATACCTCACCTGATCATGGCTGCGATTCGGTGCGCTTTCCTGGCGAAAACATGTTCTGTCTTGCAATGTCTTGCAATAAATTGCAAGAAGCAACTTCAGTGCAAACTTCTCAAACCTTCATTCTTGAAACAGACTTTCTCAACTTGAGCAATTGGACCTCAAATTGACAGCACCTGAAGTGTTCTGGCCTTTAGAAACTGATAGTGTCCAACCATGTTTCGAACAAGCAAGATTTGCCCATGTATCGTTGGCATCGTAACTGTCTCCACGCTCCCGAAGCTCACGTCTGTCCTCAAAACAAATAGATAGTGGAAGGATGTAGAGGGTGCACATGAGACATGTAGAGATATTCAGGGAGCGACTTGCCGTGGGACACCCAACCGGCCATCCAAAGCCCAAAGCATCCAACAATTTCTGCGATTCCCAGAGCTTCGGAAAAATTGGCCATTTCAAACTGATATAGACCGGCATTTCTACTCTACAATCGATGGACTGCCAAGTCTCTGAAGTTCGCTCAGCACGTCTTCGACGACGGCGTGCCTGGCAATTTCCCATGGCATGTCAAAAGACAAGTCACACCCACACAAATTAATGTGAAAAATAACTCTCACACAGAGAGCCTCAGTTCTCTGCATCTCCTCTGTTTCCTCGGCTCAAGCCAGGATATATAGGTCAGGAGGTCCAAGCAAGTACGACAGCACTTCTTAATATGAGTCATATGTATATAATTTATATATAATAATTATATAGTTATACAATACATAATGTTGTTGAACAATGCTGTTCATCAATGTTGAAATGCAGGAGCAGGGATGAGCGGTGTACAGCATTAGAGAAGCGGCTATGATGTTCAGAACAGCTCAGGAAGGAGCCAAAACAGTTTGTAGCCCGTCAGGATGGTCTCCGTTGTCCTTTCGTGCCGCTCATGCTCATCAATGCTCATCACAAGTTACAATCACAAATTCAAGAAGACCAGTCACAACGTCCGCAACACAGAAAGCATGGAGAATCGATGAGAATCGTAGTGTTCGTATTCTTTGGAGTTTGGACAATCCCTTCTGTTCTGCCTGCGGGCTTGCCGTCAGCCATGGAACGGGAGACTGAGAATGGGTGTCCCTCTCCTAAGTCAGCAAGGCTTGGGATGATGCTCCAACCCTTAGAGCCCGGCAAACTTTGGCCCTTGCTGGAAGCATGCTATGGCTAAGGTTGGCATCTCGCCATGTCCTGGCTTTGGGACAGAATGTGGCTGTGACATGCTGTGACTGTAAGAATTTCTGTCCTTTTGTCTCGTTCAGATGCCTGCCAAGAACCGTCTTGAACCAGACCTCATTCTTGGAGGTGCCATGACATTCATCGTTTGCTGTCACAATCTTGAACAGTTCAATCCAGGAATTGGATGGAATTGGTACAGGAATCGGTGCAGGATAAGCCCGGATGGGAAAAGCATGACTCTGCAGGCAAGTGTCAGAGCTGTCATGTTTGAATATTGATGATATTTGATGATTATCCATCATGAAATCTGGAACAACCCTTCCCAGCCACCTGACACCCGATTCGAAAACTCGAGTAGCTTATGAAATCAGAAATCCAAATCATCCGGTCCAAATCCATGTTGTTTCTCCCAAATGGGTGAAGCCAGCCACAAAGACGGAACATACCAACTCCAAATTGACTCCAAACACATGAGAACACATGGAAACCACGCCAACTCTAAATGTGTAAGGCGGATAGATATGGATAGATACAGTAGATTGTGTATTCTGAGGCTCCATCCATTGGACTCTACCTCTCTCCGTCTTCGGCGAGGCCGACGACGTCGCCGCTCATCCCCATCCACCCACGGACCTGACAGGAAAAGTTTGAACCATTTACATATATATATATACTGTATTATATAATTTTATATATACTGTATATAATTATATATTCACACCTAGCCTATATGTATACGTATAATTGCAATGTATAATGACCATTATTTAAATGAATTCGAATAATATAAATAATATAAATAATAATAATAATAATAAGCATGTGTCATCATGCTTCAACGTTTCTTTACTACCCATTTGATGGGCAAGGGTGACTTCACTGGCCTGCAGAACTATCAGCTCGAAGGTGGGTGTAGCTGTTTGCACCTCGGTTGTGGAATAACCGTGCAATCTTGCAAAGCCAGCCGTGGGTCAGATATGGTCAGATCATGGGAATAAATTGGAAGTCAAAATTGTCAAGTCTCAAAATGGGTGGTGGCTTTCATGACTGTCCAGATGGTGTTTCTTGCTAGACATGCCTATAACATTCTATAACATGATTCTCATTGACTCTATATGATATGTTTCCATGTGATTGCATGTATAGATGCAAACATAGGCAGTGTTTCGTATTTCACCAGGCACCTCGACAAGAACTGCTGGGTTTTGGATCTAGGATTGATGCCAGGAGATTCGCATGCAAGGTCCTGAAGGAAACGGTTGACCACAAACACAAATTTCAAAGCACAACCCTGTATGTCTGGCGCCGAATAGATTCCGGAATGCAAACCAACAAAGTGTTGCAAGTATCAGTTTATCAGGATTTATCAGGATTTATCAGCTCTGAAGACAATCAGTTGGATGTTTCGGGGTCAAGTTTCCAACATTTGCCAAATGGTCAAGCGCTGAAAGCAAAGCCTTGCTGCTCTTTCGGCGTCGAACTTGCCCATGCCTCTGACATTGGAAGGGACATGAAGGGACCCCACTGCACTTGCAACTTCAGGCTGACATTATATAAAATATGTAACAAAACATAGTGACTTAGTGAGACAGAAACGTAAAAATGATGTGGAAATGTCCGCCATTTATCGCCATTTGTTATCAAAAATGTTCAAGTAATTTCTAGCAGCAAATGGCAGTGCTATGCAACACATCGGATGATTCTGCCAAGCGGCCCATGAGTTCGGCCTGGCGGCACCTGCACCAGGTGGTTGGACCCGCATGTTTCTGGATCTCAGAACCCTACTTGGTTTGGCGTGTCATTCAATGAATCGACAAAGTGAACCAACGTGAATCAAATAGGAACATGTTGAACCAATATGAACATTTTAGTTTATATGATTTATATGCATGTACTTGCAGTATCTTGTAGTATCTTGTAGTATCTTGTAGTATATATTATATAGTGTACAAAATATCTAAGTGCTCAAGTGTGCCAATGCGATTGGGCGTCAAACTCGTCGCTGTAGTATGATAAATCCAGGGTATATCAGTCCATGAATTCATTCAGCCTGCGCTTTCTATTCATCATCACAGAAATTGCTGCAAACACAAAGACAACCCGCGTTCGTCCTTAAAGTGCAAGTTGTTCTGAAGTTATTCTGGACAAGCATTAAAAAAAACTGGCCACGGTGTCAGGTTTCTCTGCGAAGTTTGGACCCTGCCTTTGGGGTTGGCTCGTTCTGAGCATCAGCCTGGCCTGAAAGAACTGCCTGGCTCAGTTTGCAATGCCCATTCAAAATTCAAAACGATGGGAAAGAAATGGAAAGAAAACATCACCTTGAAGCAACACAGGTACTACAGCCAGCACAGGAAAAATGCATCATTCTTCTCGCACACGGCGCTATGATCTGGCTGCTACCAGTTTCATGATTGCTTTGGCCAACAGCATCTTGTGGCCGGCTTGGGTGCACTGGATGCACTGGAAAAAGCTAGGATCTATGCGATCCACGGTTGATGGAGCTGCCAACCAACTCTCGTCTCGAACGAATTCCAACAGGTCCATCAGATCGTCCAGCTCTTGTGTCAGTTTGTCTCCATACTTCAGAAGTTTTCCTGTGCCTGTTGGATCGGCTGATCTCAGCCACTCTCTCAGATCCTCTTGTCCTCTTCCTAACTTTGCATCTTGTGCATCACGGACAGCTGGGCCTTCATGGCCCTGGGCCCCTTGAGCACCTTGAGAACCAGCGCCTGGAGGTGAAGGAGGCGATGCCGAAGTCTTCTGCGCTTTGCTTTTCGGAGCACCCGTTGCACTGGCTGCACGGGATGCACCACCGGCGTCACGATGGGCTGCACGACGGGTTGCTTCAAGGGTTGGGCTTGCGCCACTCGGAAGCTCTGTGAACCCTTTGGGCACTGTATTGGGCACTGTATTGGGCACTTGTTGCTCCAACACATCTGGCTTTTGAATCTCGCTGATCCTGGAGATTTTGGAGCGAGACCGAGAACGCTCTCGCGGCGCAGGTTCTGCAGGCTCCTCAGGCTTTGACGCCCGGACATCGATGCGAACAGTCTCACCTCCTTTCCACAACACATGTTTGCTTCTTGCCAACACTATTGACAGCCAATTTCGCCCAAGAGCAGCTTGGACTTCCTGAAGGTCTTGGCTTCTCATGAGGTTCATCTCTATCTGGTCCCATTGCATTTCCGGCATTCCACATGCCACAAGGGCCTCTTCAATTTGCTGGGTCCAAGTGTCCAAGCAATCATCCTTGTGGGACTCCTCAGCCTGGCACAAGCTGAAACAGGCAATTCAAAAGCCAAGTGAAAAACCCGCAACAGTGGAGACATGTGGAGACATGTGGAGACATGTGGAGACATGTGGAGACATGTGGAGACATGTGGAGACATGTGGAGACATGTGGAGACATGTGGAGACATGTGGAGACATGTGGAGACATGTGGAGACATGTGGAGACATGTGGAGACAAATGACCACTCCGGAAACAGAAACAAAATGAATCAAATTGGGCTGGCAACCGTAAGCAGCCGACTGCAAAGATCTTTACGATAGAAGAATTAGGTAACATATTGGGTTTTGACATGTTTCATTGTTCGAAATAATCTGAAATCAAATCTATCTTCTCAACAGAGGATGTGTGTAACCCTTGACAACCTTCGTGGAGATATCAAATCTGGACCATCTGCGCACACACAAGAGCTTACCCCTGAAATATATTCATGGCCACATTGATCACATTAACCATTTCTTTGGCTAAACATGAAATAGAAATGGAAATGGGTGGAAATGTGGAAATGAAAAGGCTCTAGTGAGTGGGCGAGTGCAAAAAGATTGCATACATACCCGTTTTGAGCATTTTGAGCTAATTGAACTTGAAGCTGCCGTGGTGAGTTCAGTACCAGAAGTGACGTTGAAAAAACTGGGATAGAGCTTGACTCCCATGACTCCTACAGAGTCCTACAGTAAGGGTTCCTTCAAGACCTGTTCCATCCTGTTCCCCAGGCCTTAAAGGAGCACGAATCCTCAATCCGTTTCACCAAGGTTTGCCATCCGGTCTCTGCTTCCGTCAGCGCATCTGTCAAACTCCGCACGAGTGACGGCATGGATGCCAAAGCTTCCACTTTGAACTGCAGCCCAGCTTTGACCACCTCAGGGAGAAGCACTGCCAGTGACGGATGAAACCAGGCCATTATGTTTCAGGGAGGAACGGTACAAGCACAGTAGGAAGTGCAAGCATGCGATTTTGCAGCACAATGAAATAAAATGAAATCAGATGAAAAATAAGCCTACATTTGTTTTGGTTACAAGAGCAAAACGTGCCTCATCACTGTTGGTAGTCCCAGCTTTCGCCAGAAACTGCATAAGCCTTCCAGCACAAAGAGATTCCAAGCGCGGCACTGACATCTGGGTGAAGGGCACAAGAAATTGTTCGAGAGTGTTCACAAGGTCGTGCAAGTCCTTGTGCTCGGTTGGAACCAAGTCCAAAAGAGACTTCCCAGAAAAAAAATGCTGCACCTGCGCTTTGCAATCTGCATCATCTTGACATGCATGCACCAGCCTTTGCAAATCCCTGGTTGACGGAACTTGGACTGTGGTCGCAGTGAGCACCTTTTCGAGGAGCAACTTTTTCACCTTTGACCTTGGAAGGTTGTCCAACATCACAATCATTGCCGGCATTGCAATGTCCTTGCCCTCCAGGAATCTAAAAGCAAAGTCATCTGCTCCAGGATCTTCTGTGCAGACGAAAGCTGCCAGGACGTGCACCACCTCCATTTGCCGAAGTGCCTCCAGGGGTAATGTTCCACACATCACAACAGATCCCAAAAAGCAAACAAACGGTTTCCACAATATAATGATAATATGAATTTCGCAGCAACACGGAATTGCGTCACTCAAAGCACTAAACCCTGCCCTACGAATGTTGTTCAACATTCACACACAGAGAAAATGCTCAATGGCCATTGAACGAGGAACTCCAAATCAAGGAATCAACAAGTCAGAAAATGATAGGAAGTTGATGAACGGAAAAAAAAGGACGTTCAAAATTTAGTTGGGAGTTTTGCTAACTGGACGTGTGAAAGCCTCTATAAGACCCACAAGCATGAATAGATGAATAGTCCACAATTAGCTCTTCATGACTCTTCAAACCTATGTGTTGTCTGCAACCCTTACAGTATACACTGATGAGATTCCACAAGACATGCGCAACGAAAACTACTGATCAGCGACAGAACAGCAGGGCAAGAAAAAGAATCAAAGCTCTTATCTTTGATTTCAAATGCAGTTGTGTGTTCATTGGCGTAAAGGTGAGTTTGTTGGTGTGAGTCATGCGAGTGACATGACGCTTGTTTCATTCCCAAAGTTTACCTTCCCGACTACCATCAAAGTAAGATAAATAAGGGAGATCAGTCCAATGAAACAACCCGTTTGAAAACTAAATTACATCATTTATATGTAATATGAATGCTTGCGTTGCAGCTGGGACAACTTCGGAGCTAAAAGCAACATGATATGATTTAGTCAAGTCAACATGCCAAAACAAGACAAAAAAAGAATCGTGCGCATGCTTCAACCTGTTTCAGATGGCCTTGGAAGCACAAATATGGCCGTGCAAAAAAAGTTGGTGGACCCGCAAAGTTGGCAGAAGGTGCATGAATTCCATAAGCACGTGTTAGGAATGATATAATGTAATATATAAAATACGTATGTATATCCGCCGACCCCGGCTGCGCAAGGGGGAGCGCGTTAGGGAATAAGACAGCAGCACCCAGCCAGTAGCCAGCAGTCAATATCCGCCGACCCCGGCAGACGCAAGGGGGAGCGTGCCAGGGAATAATACTTTTGACTCTTGTTTCGGACTACTACTACTACTACTACTCCTACTACTACTACTACTACTACTACTACTACTGCCATGGTGTTTTCCCATCCGGCAGGTGCCTTTTGAACAGAAGGAGTCACAGGAGCAGGAGCAGCAGCAGCAGCAGGAGGAAATAGAAGGTGTTTGACAAGACGGTTATCATCACAAAGGCAATTCTTTTTTTTCTAGGATTTCAGAAGAGACGTTAGGCACTTTTTGGGCTCGATTTTGGAGCGTTTTGGGCACGAAATTAGGTGGCGTTTCAGCGTTTCAAGTGGTGGCCATGAGCAGCAGCAGCAACAGGAGCAACAGGAGGGTTCTATGTCTCATTGCACAAACAGTGGTATAAACATTGGTCGAAAACTATAAACATTGGTATATTATTGTGATTGATTTTGCGTCATGTTCGGCACGAAATTAGGTGTCTGGCTGCTGGTTTCTTACTTTATTAGAGGCAGTAGCAGCAATCAAAATTAGAGATCAAATTGGACAAAATTAGATTTCTATTGGACAAAGTTGGATTTCTAGTAGGATTTCAGAAGGGACGTTTCGGCCCCCGAAAACCTATTCTTGTGATTGATTTTGCGTCATGTTCGGCAGGAAATTAGGTGGTGTTTTGCTGTTTCGGCTGTGTTTTAAAAAAGGTGTCTGGCTGCTGGTTTCTTGCTTTATTATAGGCAGCAGCAGCAGTCAAAATTAGAGATCAAAATTGGATAAAATTGGATTTCTAGTAGGAGTTCAGAAGGGACGTTTCGGCCCCCGAAAACCTAATATTGTGATTGATTTTCCGTCATGTTCGGCACGAAATTGGGTGGTGTTTTGCTGTTTCGGCTGTGTTTTAAAAAAGGTGTCTGGCTGCTGGTTTCTTGCTTTATTAGAGGTAGCAGCAGCAATCAAAATTAGCGATCAATCAAATTTGACTAAAATTAGATTTCTATTGGACAAAATTGGATTTCTAGTAGGATTTCAGAAGGGACGTTTCGGCCCCCGAAAACCTATTATTGTGATTGATTTTGCGTTATGTTCGGCACGAAATTAGGTGGTGTTTTGCTGTTTCGGTTGTGTTTTACAAAAGGTGTCTGGCTGCTGGTTTCTTGCTTTATTATAGGTAGCAGCAGCAGTCAAAATTAGAGATCAAAATTGGACAAAATTGGATTTCTAGTAGGATTTCAGAAGGGACGTTTCGGCCCCCGAAAACTTAATATTGTGATTGATTTTCCGTCATGTTCGGCACGAAATTGGGTGGTGTTTTGCTGTTTCGGCTGTGTTTTAAAAAAGGTGTCTGGCTGCTGGTTTCTCGCTTTATTAGAGGCAGCAGCAGCAATCAAAATTAGAGATCAAATTTGACTAAAATTAGATTTCTATTGGACAAAATTGGATTTCTAGTAGGATTTCAGAAGGGACGTTTCGGCCCCCGAAAACCTATTATTGTGATTGATTTTGCGTTATGTTCGTCACGAAATTAGGTGGTGTTTTGCTGTTTCGGCTGTGTTTTAAAAAAGGTGTCTGGCTGCTGGTTTCTTGCTTTATTATAGGTAGCAGCAGCAGTCAAAATTAGAGATCAAAATTGGACAATTGGACAAAATTGGATTTCTAGTAGGATTTCAGAAGGGACGTTTCGGCCCCCGAAAACTTAATATTGTGATTGATTTTCCGTCATGTTCGGCACGAAATTGGGTGGTGTTTTGCTGTTTCGGCTGTGTTTTAAAAAAGGTGTCTGGCTGCTGGTTTCTCGCTTTATTAGAGGCAGCAGCAGCAATCAAAATTAGAGATCAAATTTGATTAAAATTAGATTTCTATTGGACAAAATTGGATTTCTAGTAGGAGTTCAGAAGGGACGTTTCGGCCCCCGAAAACCTAATATTGTGATTGATTTTCCGTCATGTTCGGCACGAAATTGGGTGGTGTTTTGCTGTTTCGGCTGTGTTTTAAAAAAGGTGTCTGGCTGCTGGTTTCTTGCTTTATTAGAGGCAGCAGCAGCAATCAAAATTAGAGATCAATCAAATTTGACTAAAATTAGATTTCTATTGGACAAAATTGGATTTCTAGTAGGATTTCAGAAGGGACGTTTCGGCCCCCGAAAACCTATTATTGTGATTGATTTTGCGTTATGTTCGGCACGAAATTAGGTGGTGTTTTGCTGTTTCGGCTGTGTTTTACAAAAGGTGTCTGGCTGCTGGTTTCTTGCTTTATTATAGGTAGCAGCAGCAGTCAAAATTAGAGATCAAAATTGGACAAAATTGGATTCTAGTAGGATTTCAGAAGGGACGTTTCGGCCCCCGAAAACTTAATATTGTGATTGATTTTCCGTCATGTTCGGCACGAAATTGGGTGGTGTTTTGCTGTTTCGGCTGTGTTTTAAAAAAGGTGTCTGGCTGCTGGTTTCTCGCTTTATTAGAGGCAACAGCAGCAACAAACAGTGGTATAAACATTGGTCGAAAACTATAAACATTGGTATATTATTGTGATTGATTTTGCGTCATGTTCGGCACGAAATTAGGTGTCTGGCTGCTGGTTTCTTACTTTATTAGAGGCAGTAGCAGCAATCAAAATTAGAGATCAAATTGGACAAAATTAGATTTCTATTGGACAAAGTTGGATTTCTAGTAGGATTTCAGAAGGGACGTTTCGGCCCCCGAAAACCTATTCTTGTGATTGATTTTGCGTCATGTTCGGCAGGAAATTAGGTGGTGTTTTGCTGTTTCGGCTGTGTTTTAAAAAAGGTGTCTGGCTGCTGGTTTCTTGCTTTATTATAGGCAGCAGCAGCAGTCAAAATTAGAGATCAAAATTGGACAAAATTGGATTTCTAGTAGGAGTTCAGAAGGGACGTTTCGGCCCCCGAAAACCTAATATTGTGATTGATTTTCCGTCATGTTCGGCACGAAATTGGGTGGTGTTTTGCTGTTTCGGCTGTGTTTTAAAAAAGGTGTCTGGCTGCTGGTTTCTTGCTTTATTAGAGGTAGCAGCAGCAATCAAAATTAGCGATCAATCAAATTTGACTAAAATTAGATTTCTATTGGACAAAATTGGATTTCTAGTAGGATTTCAGAAGGGACGTTTCGGCCCCCGAAAACCTATTATTGTGATTGATTTTGCGTTATGTTCGGCACGAAATTAGGTGGTGTTTTGCTGTTTCGGTTGTGTTTTACAAAAGGTGTCTGGCTGCTGGTTTCTTGCTTTATTATAGGCAGCAGCAGCAGTCAAAATTAGAGATCAAAATTGGACAAAATTGGATTTCTAGTAGGAGTTCAGAAGGGACGTTTCGGCCCCCGAAAACTTAATATTGTGATTGATTTTCCGTCATGTTCGGCACGAAATTGGGTGGTGTTTTGCTGTTTCGGCTGTGTTTTAAAAAAGGTGTCTGGCTGCTGGTTTCTTGCTTTATTAGAGGTAGCAGCAGCAATCAAAATTAGCGATCAATCAAATTTGACTAAAATTAGATTTCTATTGGACAAAATTGGATTTCTAGTAGGATTTCAGAAGGGACGTTTCGGCCCCCGAAAACCTATTATTGTGATTGATTTTGCGTTATGTTCGGCACGAAATTAGGTGGTGTTTTGCTGTTTCGGTTGTGTTTTACAAAAGGTGTCTGGCTGCTGGTTTCTTGCTTGTGATAATGCATTTGCCAAAGTTTCTCGTCACACAGCTTGCCTGTTTCACCAGCAATCCCCGATTCTTTACCGGGGTCGGCGGCAGGGGCGGCAGCCCTTAAATATTCATTATGCACTTGTTACACTAAATGGATCTACATGGAGAATTGAATTCATAAACCAAACCGACAAAATGCATGTCTGCTACATGATGCGAACCATTGAGCACATTTGCAAAAGGAGTCAATGCACAAAGTTCAGCTCCAGGAACCACAAAGCAAAAACGGAACATGCTTACATCGTCCCCTTGACAAGAACATCGGTCAGGGCATGGGCATGATAAGTCAATCCACAGGCAGTTGCCATGACGTGTTCAAGCAAGTCTTATTTCATGTATTTTCATGTCACAACACGCCCCTTGTTTATCCTTTTCCTGCTTGATTGGGTATTGCTAATTTCCACTTTACTACGCCAAACCCCATTCCACTGGACAAAACCACATGTTCCGCCGTGGATGAATAACAGAACAGCGGTCACACAACAACTCATGGCCAAAACACATACTTCATCGAAACTAAACCGTCCCCACGTTTATCAAAGTTGCTTGATATTGCTGGTGACTGCGTTACACAAAAGCGACTGCCCTTCAACCCAAACATTGGACCCGTCCTTGTTTTCGCCTGGCTTCCAAGGAGCGGAAGAGCTATGTGCCACTTCTTTCAGTTTCTGCCCCAGCAAGCCACCCTCCTTCAAGATTTTCAGAAATGCTTGCAGCTGCCGCAACTGGCTTTGGTCCGCGAAGGCTTTGAGGATTTCAAAGCAAGAGACCGACACCTCCTGCAGTTTGTTCTGTCGTGCCAGTTTGCGCCCCATCCTGGTGGCTGCCTCTGCAATCTGTGCGAACAGCTCGGAATGATCATCAGAAGGTCCGTAAGCTGCGTAAGCTGTTGCAACAGCCCCACACTTCCCCAAGTCCCACTGCTCCTTGAGTTTGATTTTCGGAACAAGGGCGCGTGCCAGGATAGGTCGCAAACTTCCCAATCCCGATTCAGCCACAGCTGCCAGGTCGCGCGACTCACTTGAATCCACCTTTGCCAAGGTCGCAAATGTTGTGACCAATCGCTTCAAGGCAGATGGACTTTGCGCTGATATGTCTAAACAGAACTGCTTGCAAGAACTTGCTACAAGGCTGAATGCCTCTGTCACTTTCTGCCTGTGTTCAAGCACCAGGTGGGAGCACGCATGGATGTAGAAATTGGCCAACTGCTGGCACAGTTTTGCAAAATCCTGGATGGTGCTGTAGTCTGCTGAGAGACAAGCAGGGCATGTGTCAGCGTTCTCCGGCGTCAACTCCTTGATGATGCGACGCGATGCACTCACAGGCAGCATGGGAAGATCTTTCCAGTTCAGGCCAAAAAATGGTGTTCTCGTGGCCTCAATCAAATAGTCCGCCGCAACATGCAGTGGGGCAGGCAGACTTGATTCGCTGTCAAAGATGTCGGCGGAGGCTGCGTTCATCAGCATCATCAATGAATCATGGTCAAACGCTTTCTTCCCAGTTCCTGCGGCTTTCTGAAATGAAACCACGCCCTGCATCAACTGGACCACGTTGAATGGGAGCATATCTCTGATCAACTGTCTTGGCGGCAGGTTCGCCAGGCGCTTCAGTATACTTGCAGCCATCTCTGAGTTGCTGCATGTCTCACTCAAGCAAATGAAGAGGCCGCAGAACTCATCAGTCGCGGCTGGTGGCAACTGAGTTGCAGTGAGATTGCCTGAGCCCAGAAAACGTTTCAAGTACTGAGCTGCAAGGCGTGCAACACTCAGCTCTGATGCACTGCTGCTTCTCTGTTTGTTGTGCACATCTCTCTGCGCTGCTCGTTCCGTTCCAGCTTTGGTCAACTGCACGAACGGCCCGTGGCCTGCAACTTCTGTCACATAAAACGAGGTGTGCTGGAAAAAATCTTTGGTTATGGAACCAGCCTCTGGAAAAAACAGCTTCTGTATCTTCTGTGTTTCCTGCAAGGCCACGTCCAGTGCCAGTACGCTAGTTTCACTTTTCTGCATCAACTCATAAATTCCGTCCTCCACATCCTCCACCAAAGTTGTGCTATGAACTGATTTCTCCTCAGGAGTTTGTACACTTCGTGCAGCTATCTTGATGCCTTGAGTGGATACTTCGACATCATCATCCCCCACCAGAACCATCTCCAAGACTTCAGGGAGGTACCATTCCATGGGAAGTGGTACTCCACCATGTGAAGAGCTGTGGAGAACCAAACGCTGCCAATGCACATACAACACTGTGCTTTCAAGAAATTCGTGCCAGTCGTGCCACTTTGCGTCCTTGAGAAGGGCAGATGGCAGGAAAAATTGAACATGTTGGGATTGTCGGGTTGTCTGGTTAAGCGAGTCTGAATAGGAAGCTCCCCAAACCGTTTCAGAAAAACATGGTGCCATCAGACATCATGTGCCATCAGTAAATTCATCATCATCTGCTTGCCTGCTTGTTATTGAAATAACCGAAAGGAACATAAAGGAACCAAAAATTGTCACAAAAAGGAATCCATGCATGAGCTGCTGGTGGCTGTGTATGAACCTAGAACTGGACCTACTTGCTCATGCGACCCATCCAGCTTCAGTGGGCAGAACAGAGCGTTCAATTTCAGTTCAAGTCCAGTTCATCCCCGGTGCAACGCGGGCTCAGCTACTAGCTGACAACTGCTGACAAAGTGTCTAGATCATTCTAGATCATTCTAGATTTACTAAATGATCTAAATGGAAAAGAACATTAGTTCTTTCATTGAACCCAGTTGGATCCACTTGGTTTAAATTTAGATGAGGCACGGCAGGAACTACCGCCTTGGCTGCAATAATGCCCCTGCTGCGCAGAAAGCACCCGTCTTGGCTCTCAATGAAGCGCAAAAGAGATTGCAGAGTGTTGATCAAGGGTTCAGAAGCAAAGCGGATGGCCCGTGCACGCATGGAGCACGTGAGAAGCGTAGCTGTAGCTACCAACAAAGCTGCTCTTTGTCGAATCGAAAGCTTGCTGTACTCAAGATAGACGGCATCAGAGGAAATTGCTTGAATCAGAGGTCCCGTCAGCAAATTCTCCTTCAAGACTTTCACGCACAGAGGAACCAAAAGCTCAGACTCAGGAGTTTGAGTCAAGTTCAATGCAAAACGCAGGAGTTGGAGTACTGTCGGGTGGTCAGGCATTTTGTCGTTGGGAATCAATGTGCCACACTTGATTTTTCGTACTTCAAGAAAATGCTGATACATCCACACGTCTAGTTCGGAATCACCGGAACCAGGGATGCGAAGCCTGATGACTTGATGAAACCCAGTGGGAATGGTTGTTTTGAATCTCTTGAATGTGTTTTTTCCGGTTTTGCATTGATTGGATGGAAACAAAACAAACTACTAACATTTTTTTCCGGAAACGAAACATCCCATAGCAGGACCAAGAAACAAAACTCGTCCTCTGTAGTCCACCCATCTCAGCAGTTGTCCCACAACTTCTGGCTGATTGTTGCCAGTGACTTGAATCCTGCCATGATAGACTTTGGAGATCTGTGCTCCAGGAAAACGCTGAGGCAAGGTTCTGAAGTTCTGCTCCATGATCGGCATGCGGCAAATGAGATCTGATGGAACTATGAAGATCAGTCCCCCCGCTGGAGCTGAAAGTCCCAAGACGTGGTTGCGAAAAAAATTCAGTTGGTTTTTGCCATCGTCCACACTCCTGGGAGTTCCACTCACCAAGATCACCTTGGGAAAGAATTGCAAAAGTGCACTAAGCCTTGTGAATCTCAATTTTCCCCAGATTTTATTATTACTATACGTATATATAGATATAGTCAAAGGAAGTTTCATAGAGGGAACTCCGAGTTACGAAAAGTGAATATTCTGACCAACCAAAGGTCATTGTGTCCAGCTGGCATGTGCCTTAAGAGATCATGAAGTCACATTTTCACTAGCCTAAAGATCACTGTGTCCAGCGGGTACCTGCGTTTAGACATCATCAATTCACATTCTCACTAGCACAAAGATCATTGTGTCCAGTTGGCACGTGCCTTAAGATATCATGAAGTCACATTCTCACTAGCCTAAAGATCACTGTGTCCAGCCGGTACCTGCGTTTAGACATCATCAATTCACATTCTCACTAGCACAAAGATCATTGTGTCCAGTTGGCACGTGCCTTAAGATATCATGAAGTCACATTCTCACTAGCCTAAAGATCACTGTGTCCAGCGGGTACCTGCGTTTAGACATCATCAATTCACATTCTCACTAGCACAAAGATCATTGTGTCCAGTTGGCACGTGCCTTAAGATATCATAAAGTCACATTCTCACTAGCCTAAAGATCATTGTGCCCAGTGGGCACGCGCGCTTAGAGATTCTGAAGTCACATTCTCACTAGCACAAAGATCATTGTGTCCAGCTGGCACCTGCGCTTAGAGATCATGAAGCCACATTCTCACTAGCCCAAAGATCCAGCGGGCACCTGATATCATGAAGTCACATTCTCACTAGCCCAAAGATCACTGTGTCCAGTTGGCATGTGCCTTAAGAGATCATGAAGTCACATTCTCACTAGCCCAAAGGTCATTGTGTCCAATTGGCACGCGCCTTAAGAGATCATGAAGCCACAGTCTCACTAGCCTAAATTGTGCCCAGTTGGCATGTGCCTTAAGAGATCATGAAGTCACATTCTCACTAGCCTAAAGATCATTGTGTCCAGTGGGCACCTGCGCTTAGACATCATGAAGTCACATTCTCATTAGCCTAAAGATCATTGTCCAGTGGGCACCTGCGCTTAGACATCCTGAAGTCACATTCACATTCTCATTAGCCTAAATAAAGATCATTGTGTCCAGTGGGCACCTGCGCTTAGACATCATGAAGTCACATTCTCACTAGCCCAAAGATCCTTGTGTCCAGGTGGGCACCTGCGCTGAGAGATCATGAAGTCAAATTCTCACCAGCCCAAAGATCATTGTGTCCAGTGAGCACCCAAAAGATCATTGTGTCCAGTTGGCGTGTGCCTTAAGAGATCATGAAGTCACATTCTCACTAGCTAAAAGATCACTGTGTCCAGTTGGCACCTGAGTAGAGGCTGAGTAGAGGCAGAAGTAGGCGTAGAGTAGAGCAAAGCCGTGTAGAGTAGAGTAGAAGTAGGGTAGAGTAATGCTCTGTAGAGGAGAGAAGAGTAGAGTAGAGCAGAGTAGCGTAGAGCAGGGATACTTGTTCTGCAGTGCTGTGTTGCAATTCTGATTGTGTTTTGCAACTCATCGTTGCGCAGATCGCACTGGAACAGCTACATCCAAGATACGGTTTGAATGTTAGGATTTGCACGAAACATTGTGTTTTTTTCGGGTAAACAGAGATTACGTTTGAAAAGTTGGTTTGCGTGCGCGACGCTCTTAGGATCTCTTAGGTGTCGTCGCTTTGCCGTCGAATCCGGCTCGGTTTGCACGAGCGGTGTAATTGATGAGGTTCCAGGTGACTTTTTTCTTCTTTGTTGATGCTGTGCTATTGTGTTTTGCAATTCTGTCTGTGCAGATCGCAGTGGACTGGTTGCGGGAAGGCCTATCGAAGGATACTTGTTCTTCAGCAATGTCTTGCGATTCTGCTTGTGTTTTGCAAGTCATCCTTGGCAGATCGCATTGGAACTGCTACATCATGGATGCGATTTGAATGTTAGGACTTGCACGAAACATTGTGTTTTTTCGGGTAAACGGCGGCTATGGGTCGGAGAAAAGTTGGCTCCAGCGCGCAGCGCTCTTGGGATCTCTTATAGGTGTCGTCGCTTTGCCGTCGAATCCAGCTCGATTTGCGCGCGCACTTTAACTGAGGGTTTCAGGTTACTTTTTCTTTTCTTTGTTCATGCTGTGGTACAGTACCGGTGGTAACTTACGCCACATCCTTTAACCTTACCCCACCGCATGGCACACAGCTTACCCCACAACCTAAAGAACTTGTGCCATAGCCAAATCACCACGGCACACCGACACCGATCCATAAATGTGCACCTTGTTTTCATGAATTTCCGATGCGGACTGCAACGCTCTGTATTATGTTTTGCAATTGCGTCTGTGCAGATCGCAGTGGAATGGCTGCGTCAAGGTTCCTCACTGCTGCGGCTGCGTGCGAAATACTAACGCCGTTTGCAGCTGAAATTTGTAAACTGTATTGAAATGGTATGAAATGGTTGCATGAAGGTTTCGCATGGTGCTTTGGCATCGATTTTTTCTATTTTGGCGCTAATGATTTTCCTTTTCAATCCCTTTTCGTTCTTCCGCTTGTGCGTCGAGATCCGGTTTTGGAGCTGCAATTTGTGTCGCCGTTCTGCGTAATTCTATTGTGGGGTCTGTGGGTTACAGCCTCGTGTCTGCGGATCGCAGTGGAATTGCTGCGTCAAGGTTCCTCACTGCTGCGGCTGCGTGCGAAATACTAGTGTCTTTTGCAGCACAAATTCGTAAATCGTATTGTAGTGGTTGCATGAAGGTTTCGCATGGTGCTTTGGCGCAGATTTTTCCATTTTGGCGCTAATGATGTTCCTTTTCAATTCCTTTTGAAAAGTGCGTCAAAATCGTCGTTCTTCCGCTTGGGCGTCGAGATCCGGTTTTGGAGCTGCAATTTGTGTAGCCGCTCTGCGTAATTCTATTGTGTGTTACAGCCTCGTGTCTGCAGATCTCAGTTGAATGGCTGCGTCAAGGTTCCTCACTCCTGCGGCTGCGTGCGAAATACTACAGTAGTGTCTTTTGCAGCTGAAATTCGTAAATCGTATTGGAGTGACGGCATGAAGGCTGCAAATTAGGATGAGGCAGCAGACTTTCATGCATTTTGGTGCTGATGCTATTCAGCGTGGAGTGTGCAGCTGTGCTGCTCATGCTCATGTTGGCATGTTTAAGTGGCATGCTTGTTCGGAACCTGCATAAACGTGATCTGGCTGTCAGTTATTCATCGGGGAGCCTGCAGCTGTGCTGCTCACGCTCATGTTGGCATGCTTAAGTGCACTGGATGGCATCCGCTGGCATCACGATTTCAAATAAGCCGAATGCAACTTGAGCGACTCAAACGGATCGATCGAATGTAACGGCAGCTCAACTGGGCTGAAAAATAAAGTTTGCACTGTGTCACTTCAACCGGGCTGAGAAAAAATATTGGACAAGTGGAACTGAGGTGAGGTGAGGCAACACGAGTTGAAAGGAGTTGAGAAGAGAAGCGAGAGATGAAAGGAGAGTTGAGGAGAGTCAAGAAAATGTGCACTAAGATGAAGGTCGTTGAGAAGAGTTGACAAGAGGTGAGAAGTCGTTGGAAGAGTTGAGAAGTGGTTGGAAGAGTTGCGACAAGAGGTGAGAAGTCGTGGCAAGAGCATGGAAGTCTGCTGCAGCGCAAACCTTGTCTTTGGATCCTATAGCGTCACAGTCCTTAAACCTGGAAACTTCCGCTACCCGCCTTGCGCGGGATTTACGTGTATATTATATTACAAATATATTGCATATGATTATGTTAGATTTTTGCACAAGCATAATTCAGCATAATCCAGAAGAGAGTCTGATTGACCAGGAATGTCGGTGTCAAAGGGGAGCAAAGAAGCCCCCGATTGTGCCTCCATTGACCGCAATGCCCCGTTCCTCAACTGGCTAACGATCTCCTCTTGCATCACGACCTCCTCAACTCTTCCCTCAGGCTCTCTCAATCCCTCCGCCACACGAGCTATCACCACATCATTCATGGCTTCAGGGATGCCTCAGATGCAATATGACAGCAGTGACAGCAGTGCCAAATATTCTAGATGCCTGTCTGTTGTACCCGGGCAGCAAAAACAAACTGCGCATGCTCCACATATTGTATATATTGTGTTATACAACATGTTACGAGTACAACTCTCTTTCTTAGCCCAGCCTGGCCTAGTCTTTGCCAAATCGGTTGGAGAAGCCGTCCAGCGTCATAGTGTAGACCTTAGTGATAAAAGTTGGAACAAGATGGAACAAGATGGGACACGGAGTCTACGATGGAGTCTACGGAGTCGCAAATATCAAGGCTACCCTGACAACTGTCAATAACACCATAGTACACCGCACGGGATGCTTTGTGACTTTTGTGGCTTCTGCCACATTGTTAAACCATGGGCTATGGTACGCCATAACATGCCATAACCATCATAACATATAGATACATATAGATCATAACTTGTGACTTTTGCCTCAAACAAGTTCAAAACACCAAGGGCATACTTCTGAACATCTTCAAAATTGCTGAAGGTGCTAAGTAAATCTAAGCACCATGTCCTTCAGATTTGTATGTTCAGCAACTTTGACTCAGAACATCTCAGGACAAGTGGCGCTTCTGCGGATCTTTCAGCGTTTCGTATGCAGACTGTAGAATCTGGAACTGCTCCGCAGATGCCCTGGGCCGTGATTCTTCGCATCCAAACTTCCCTCGTGCACTTGCCCCACCATGGAACAAACTGCCCAATGGGTTCACAATGGGCTCACATTTTAACAAAGACTGACAGAGATTTGAATGTCTTGTCTCTCGTTGAGGATTGGCAAAGCTCTAACAATTCCAAACCAAGAAACTCTTCGGCATTCTTGTCCGGATGCAGGAGTAGAGACTTTGTTCGGAAGGCCTGGAGGAAGGAAAGAGCTTGTCTTGGGGGCAAGATGGGCCAAGCAGCTCCTATAAAAATCAAAATACCGCAAAGATCTGCGAAGTGCCAAGGACATCCAAGGACTACAAGCTCCAAAGTTACCTCTGCTTACACTGGTGACTGGTGCCCTTTGCTTAAAAACAGCATCTACCTTCAACTGCACGGCATTCTGATTTGTCTTCGTGCAACAGGCCCCAAGACTGACCTTGACGATTTCCGGATGAGAGGCTGTGACCTGGTCGTATGAAAGATCTAAACGACCCCATGTCAGTTTGAGAGTTTGTCTGTGCAAATGTTTCGACTCAAACAGCTCATTTGTGGTGAACAAAATCAGTCTCAATCAGCAGCGTTCAGCAAGTGTCAGCCTCCACTCCAAGAACGGCATAGAAGTCCATCAATGCAAGTCCACGCAACTGTACTAGACTTGCACAGCATTACACTGCAACGATCTACAAGGGCATAAAGTTGCTTCTCACCCAGTCATTGGTGAGTTGGGTACAATAGTTTCTGTTTGCATTGTTCATCTGATGTTGTGTCGTCTAATGAAAGAGCCTTGCCTTTTGTCTTGCTGCAAAAGAATCCGCCGGGAATTCTCAATTAGGTAATGTCTGTCGCTCTTGCAATGGCATGTCCTCCTTCAGGCGGATCAAAACGCATACATGTCAAACACTGCGAAGCGTGGCAAAGCCATGCTGCGTTCGAGCGACGCCAAAGACTTGAAAGATGTCCAACTCCACGTGCATGTCGCGGTTGGAAAACATTTCAAGCATCACAAAACAGGTACATTCAGGCACTGGTACATAGCAGCTATCATAGCACGTTCAAATAATTTGAAGTTGATAATGTTGATAATGTTGATACAACGCTGTGACATTCTATGACTCTGCAATCCAGTAGCAAAATTTTGTGGCCTGCTCGTGTCGATGTCTTTCCTCCAAGCGCGAGGAAAACTGCCCAAACTGGGCATAAGAATATGATTCATATCATACACATTTGCCATGAA